AATAATTTTAAAAATTATTCCAAAAAATATTTATTATTTTATATTATATTTATTTTATTATAAGTAAATTTTATTATTTTTAACGTAAATATTTTAATTATTATTATTAATTATAATATTTTATTAATAAAATAATTATAAATATATTATAAAAATATTTAATTTATATTTACTTTTATTTAATAAGTAATTTAAGAATTTATTTATAATTTAATATAAATAAAACTTATAATTAATAAAAATTAAATTTAATTTAATGTTTTAAATATAAAATTAATTATATTTTAATTTTTTAAAATATTTTACTTTATTATTAATGTTTTTAATAAAAGTAACAAATATTTTAATATTAATATAAAAGATAATATTAACCGATTTTTTTTTAAATTTAAGTTTTTATTAAAATAATATATTAAATTTAAATTATTTTTTAATATTTTTATACATATTTATTATATTTATAATATTTAAAAAAAATTATTATTTTTTTATTATTAATAATAATAAATATCTTAATATTAAAGTATTAATAAATAATAATAACGAGGTTTATTTTAAAATTAAATATATTATTAAATTTAAGAAATTAATAATAATTTTTTATAAGTTTTAAAGTAAAGTTATAATGTATTTTTCTTTTAAAAAGTAATAAATTTAAATAAATAATATATTTAATTTAATATATTATTAAATCTTTATATTTTTTTTTAATTATATTTAATTTTTTATTTTTTATTTTAATATGTTATTATTATTATTTTAAAAATTTATTTTTTATATATTATTACCTTTTTAAAATAATTATTTAAATAAGTATATTTTACGTTTTTTATGGTTGGAAATTATAAATAAAATTTTTTTAAATATTTATTAAAAATAAGTAAAAAATATATATTATCGTTAATATTATTAATAATTTTTTATAATTTTTTTTAATTTATTATAATCCTTTTATTTTAATATAATATTTTAATTATTTTAAAAATTTATTTTTTATAATAAATACTTTTTATATAAATTAATTATTATTTACTTTTTTTTAATAGTTTTTTTTTACTAATAAATTAGTTTTATTATTAATATAATATATAAATAAAATATAATTTTAAAATAAATAAATTTAAAATATTTATTATATTTTTAATATAAATTAAATAAAAATAAAAATAATAAATATAATTATTAATAAAATTTTATAAAAATTTTTAACTGTATTAATTATTAATATTTTTTTTTTTTTATAATTATTTTTTTTTATATTTTTTTTATTTTAAATAATCTTATTTTATATTTTTTTAACTTAAATATATTTAATATATCGATTTATTATTTTTTTATTTTTTTATTAAAAATCTTTTATAAAAATAAACTTTTTTTTTATAAATATTTAATAAATCTTTTATTTTTATTATTTTTAACTTTTATAAAATAATTATTTTATTTTTTTAAATTATATTTAAACGTATTTAACATATTTTCTTAATTATTAAACGGTAAAATTATAATATTTATTATTTAAAATTTATTTATTTTAAATATATTTTTTACATTTAAATTTATTTTTTAATTATATTAATAAATTATTTTATTTTTACTACTATTTAATAAATCTTTTATTTTTATCATTTTTAACTTTTATAAAATAAATAGTTTATTTTTCCAAATTATACTTATTTATTTAAAATATATTTAATATATTTTCTTACCTTTTAATTATATTAAAATAATATTTATTGTTTATTATTTATTTTAAATATTTTTATTATTTTTATTTTTATTTTTTAATTTTATTTATAAATTATATTATAAAATTTTAATTATTTATTTTTAAATGTTTAATAAACCTTCTTTTTTTATTATTTTATATTTTATACTTATCTTTTATATATATTAAATTTAAGTTAAAAATAATTTATTTAATATAATATATTTACATTTAATATTTATTATTTTTATTAAATAAATAAATTTTAATATTTTAAAATTAATTTATTTTATTTACTTATATTAGTTTTATATTATTTATATTATATTTATTTTATTTTTAATTTTTTTATTTTATTTATTATTTATATTAATTTTATACCACCTTTTTTTTTAATTAAATATTTAGATATTTTATTTATTTTTTTACTATAATATTAATTTTAAAACGTTATAAATTTTATTTTAAAAAATATTAAATTTTTAAAATAAATTTTAAAATTAATTAATATTTTTTACTTATTAAAATAACTATATAATTAATATTATTAAATATTTTAATAAAAAAAATTGTTTAAAAATAATAATAAACCTTATTAAAAAAATAATAAAAATTATAATAAACCTATTTTATTTATTAAAACTAACTTTTTAATATTACGTTTTTAATATAAATATAATTAGGTATTTAATAAATTTATTTTATTTATTAAAATTAACCTTTTAATATTACATTTTTAATATAAATATAATTAAATATTTAATAAATTTATTTCATTTATTAAAACTAACCTTTTAATATTTTACTTTTAACATAAATATAATTAAACATTTAATAAACTTTTTTTATTTATTTAAACTATTATAAAATTTAATTTTAGCCAATTTAAATACTAATTTAATAATATTTTTTTTTTTTTTTAGCTATTTTTTATAATTTTTATTAATACTTTACCAATATCTTTTTAAAAAATTAAACAATAATAATTTTAGTTTATTAAAATATAAGGTTTATTATTTGCTAATATTTAAATCGATATATTTTAATACTATTATTACATAAATTATTAATTAATTTAATAAAATAATACGTAAACAACTTACTTTTATTTTACTTAAAAATTTTAAATAAAAAATAATAAAAAAACATTTTTTTTAATTTTATTTTAAAATTATTTTAAAAATATTATTAAAAAACTAATATAATTAATTGTTTTTAATTTATAATATAATCGAAAAAATTAACTAATATAAATATTAAATAAATATAATTTTTTAATTCATTTTATAAATAATTATAAAAAATAATAATAAATTATTATTTTAAATGTTTAATAATAATATATTATATTATAATTACATTAACATTTTATGTATTAAATATTTAAATAATATTTATAATATAAAGTTAATTATTTACTTAATTAAATTCCTTAACGCCGAAAATTATTATAATATTATAATATTTAATTTAAAAAATTAATATTAATTATTTATTAATTTATAAATTATTTATTATAAAATATATTTTAAATTAATTATTAATTAATTACAAAAATAATTAATTAAAAATAATTTATTTTTAAAAAATATTAATAAAAATTTTATTTAAAATTATAACAAAATTATTATTATTACCAAATAAAATAATTTATAAATTTATAATTTAATAATTATTAATTTTATTTAAATATTTATAAAATAAAAATTAAATAATTAAACTTTTATATATAATAAAATAATATTTAAACAATTAATAATATATTAATAATTAATATAATTTCGTTATAAATTAAATTATAATTTAAATATTATTATACAATAATTATTTATTTTTTAACCAATTTATCGTAAATATTTTTAAAATTATTAATAAATAAAAACTTTACTATTATTATAAAATTTTACAAAAAAATTGCAATAAAATTTTATAAATTTATTATTTTTTAACTTATTATTTATTAAAACAAAAAATAACTTAACAACTTTAACATTTTTACTTATTTAAAATATTTTTAAAAAAACGCAAAATCAATTAAATAACCCATTTTTATTATTTAAAAACTTTTTAAAAATATTTTAACATTAATTTATCAATTTAATAAATCTTTTTTTTTTTAAAAAAACTTTTTAAATAACTTTTAAAACCAACCTATTAATTTAATAAATCCTTTTACATTTTTATAAAATTAAAACAAATATTAATTTAAAAAAATAAAAAATTAAAAAAAATTAAAAAAAAATAATAAAATAAAAAAATAAAAATAAATCGTTAAATTTTTTTAAAATATAATTAAATAATTACTTATTTAATATACGTTAATATATTAAATAATTTTTATACAATAATTTTTAATTAAATGCGTTAAATATTAAAATATACCATTAAATTAATTATTTAACATTAATTTTATTTAAATATATTATTTATTTATTATATTTTCAATTATATAATTTATATATTTAATATTTTTATATTTTAATATTTTATATATTTTATTATTTTATTATTTTATTATTTAAAGGTTTAAAATATTTTATTATTTTATTGTTTTAGCGGTTTTATATTCTTTGCCCGCCGTTTAATCACCACTCGCAAGACAATTACATTGCCGCATAACTGTGCCACGTACATACTAAACGTGTATCTCATTACGTGGTCACTCTAAGCCAGATACGAGAGCCTACAGCTATACATAGGTACTGAGAATGTCCTTTATTCTAGACGTATAATCTAAAATCCTGGCAAGCGAATAGGTAACTTCCTTCCAGAATATTAAGGTGGAATTACTAAAGTAAGATCAATATTCCTAACTTTCCTATCGTATAATAAATCACATGCATGCCTTTTTTAAGCCCCACAAAAGAAAAACCGCCTTATTTGCTGCCCGAAGATATAGCCTCAATTTTGCCACCCGGAATGAAGTAAGTTAACTGGTGTTGAATGGCCTTTAGGGTCTACAGGACTGCCACCTAGTTGACTAGGGCACATGGCGCTTTTACCCTAAGAACTTCGTTTGACACGAATTACCTGACATAGCCTGCTTCCAAAATGACGCGAAGCTGAAAACTTCGCCACTTACCATGAGAGGTTTGGGCAGCCATGCTGATGTGGCCTGAAAAGGCAACTAATCATACTACGAAGTACGAGGCAATGAAACAAAAGTTTCCCTAATCAGGGCTGCTCATTCTCGTATCCAATAATTAATTTGACGCCCGTCATCTACGGTATTGACAACACACATGTTGATGCAGGCTGAGAAATATCTTCAACGCGTTGTCATAAAAGAAGTAAGCCAATTGGAATGTTTATCATTTATATCCAGAACAATTTATCACTCATATCCAACAGCCATCATGGTAGGTAGCTACTACGTAAAATAATAGGTTAAAAAGAACGCCAGCGTAACATCCAACTAAGTGTTAAGCATTTTCCAAGACAAGGCACAGCATGACACGAATACATTCCTCAGACCTAACTGTTGGCTATGCCATACCAGTTGTCTCTTAAACGTCAACTCTTGTGGTTAACCCAACAGTATAGTGCTTCGCCGCTTGATACGGCGTTGTGCTGCTTTGGAAAAGCCCCCTATTTCATTTCTCAGTGTAATCCATACTTTCCAAAGCATTTGATATTCGATCGCGAGCCTCGCCACTAAGTGCCAAGTCGCCAGTGTCAGTAGAAAGTTCCAACAATCGTCTCTTCCAAAAGATCCAGCGTTTGATACTCAGCGGCTCTTCGGTATCGCAAAGTGGCCCTGTCATCAATGCACGGGCTGTGCTGTCGTCTAATTGCTCTGTGGAGTTCATCTCTTCGAACAGCACAGCTGCACAATGTATAATCCATTCCGTTGCCACCCATACCCGGCATTCCATTGCACCGCCTGCCACGGGGGGCTCCTCGAGTGCCATGGTAAGTTGCCAGATAGGGAAAACGAGCCAAGGGGCAAAGTCCGTACTGGTAATCCGAGCCACAAAAGAGTTCAAGTTTTTCCACTTGATAAATTCTTCGGGCAGCTCTTCACCCGTTTCTGTCGGGTCTAAAATGGTATTAGCATAACCCCCTTTAACTCTTGTGAAGCATTCATATCAGTACCATTCCAATTCTCTCTTAAGCGCATGGCCAAGTCTGGAAGGTCTTTCCACATGTATGCCTACTCGGTCAAAATTTGTTAGCACGATCTATAATCATGTCCACGATATTCATATATCTCACTCCGTGCTTAGGAACGTGACCCTCTTGGCGGCGGAGATTTCCTAAGGATTGAACTAGAACGTCTTGCCATGGGTGGTCTGGGGAAATGTATTGGACCATTTCGATAACCACAGACCAGATTTCCCAGAGATGTCCACCAGAGGCCGTATTTTCCTGCTGGGAGTTGCAAAAGAACTGGATATCGCTACATAGCTTGGTAGCCTTTAACTGTGAATCGACTGGGTACTGAAGGGTTGCTTTGAGAACGTTCAACATAGATTGTTCGCAAGGAGTTAGATTTGTTTCAGCGAATTGAAAATTGACTTCCATTTTTACGGTGGTGAATTGTGAACTGTTGACAGAATATGGCGGGATGAATTACTAGAAAATGATTTGCAATATAATTTTCAAAGTGTGTAAAATGTAGGCTGTGATCTTTTAAGTTGGTGGGACTAGGTAATACTTAAGAGGTGGGACATAAAATGTGATGCAACAGTCGATTACTTAAAACGATCATCCGTGGTCCTGTATTAGCCGTACCAACAGATGTTTCACATACTAACATAGGTACCCAAGCATCAACTGCGCCATAATGCCTCGATCATAGCCTCTGTAACTTTGCAAGGGCGCTTATTGAAATCGAATTACAAGCCACCTTTCTGATGTTGGTTCAATTAAGCGGCCAAACATCCTTACCAAGACAAACAAAGAAAACATAGTATCACAAAAAGATGGCAAGGAAGCGGCTGTCCAACAGCAAAGTTGGTGATAAAATAAACCTTTTCGATAAAATAGCTCGACAAAACAGCTTGCAGATAACCCCGGCACTCGCTCAAATAACCTATATAACTTCTAAGCGCCTTGACCGAGAAGGTTAGTTGTTGGGTGTACCACTTAAGGACTAAAATAAAACGAATAGATACTTGAGTCCTAATATTTCAGCGGTTATGAAGTAACGTCAATAGCAGCTACTAACGGATTTTCCCAACATATAATTAACAGCTGGTCGCCCGTGCAATACGAACTTATCCTTCACTATGTATAGTTCTACCTTATTCATACCAACCTCTTCTAAGTGTACTTTCTACGCATTCTGCCTTTCCTCTTCACCATGGCTTCGCAATCGACAACCTCCAGCTCCTCTAGCTCAGCTCCGCCTGGCCATACACCTGCTCACCGTATACCCACAGATTCGTCTTATGTGTGTATATTTACGATCTTCCACTTCCTCTAATATTACCTTAATCTAATATCATAACAGTATAGTTTCAATGGGAACCCGTGGGATAGGCGGAATCCCGAGTCCCAAACGTGGATGTACGCTCGGGAGGCGAGACAACAGCAGTCAGGTCTGCCCGACGGACAGGGAGTCCCGTATCCTTCCTACTTCGGAAACGGTGAGAGGGTCCCTCTGTCAACCCCCGGCTCCGCCTTAGCGCCAAGCGGGCGACATGGGTGGCTTCATCATCCCCTTATTCCAGGGCGGACAACTACCTGGACTCCTGGGAGTAATACACGTCCGGGAGGCGTACGTAGTATCTATACGGATGGAAACATAGTTGAATTCGATGTTGGGTACCACGATGTGAGAATCGGGACTACTGGAAGGGGATCTGGTAAATTTGCGGTAGCGAACTACCACTCCGCGGCAGCACCACCACCTCCCCGGACCCGGACCACATAATGGCAATTCATTCAGGATAATGTGTCTGCAAGGTGGCCGTGATGAGTGACTATTTGACTAGTCTTTTCTTGTTTCATTAATGACCTTGGGGATATATTATATACCTATGCTTGGATTATTAGAGGCGAGAAGCTGGGATGTTTTATATCCTCGCTCGGGGAGCTCACACATACCTTAGCCAACACGGGCTGTTAGCATGTATGCATGTGAGTCCTTTGCTCTAAGCGTCTTGGTGGTCTCGGAGGGTTGAAATCGCGGACGTGTTTCTGAACTGTCAGATATTGTGGTTTTGATTAGCAGCTTCTATGAGGTTCCATGTTGGGTATTTGAATATTCAGATCTATTTTTATTATACGGCTTTTGACTACAGACATATGAGGCTCCCTTTCATCTCTATATGAATCCATAATGTATTGATATGTGAGCGATATTGCGAGTGGGGTGTCCACTTCTAAGACGGGTTTGTTTGGCTGCTTCCTAGGCGGACATGTATGTATGCCTCAGGTAAGCACTTGTCTGCCTAGGTAGATATTATATCTGGCTATTTCTAGGTAATTAGGTTCGTCTCTTTCGTCATTGGTAATTGATAATTTAATATTATCCCTATTTCTATACCTTTATATGATCATCACTTAATCTTAAACCGGACCTTTCAACTCAGCCAGCCGCGTGTTATTCTCAAAATAGCACTCATATAACACAGCACAGTTATCCGGCGTTCGCTACTTTTAAGGAACGAAAGATATCGGAAAAGCTCGGAATTTCTCTTGGGAATACCCGGTACCCGAAAACGCTTTCTGGAATGATCTTCCCGTCACTGTTACGCGGAACGTTTTCCAGAGCTTCACCCAAGACGATGTTGAGCGATTAAGTATAGACCCCGAGAGTACGCTACAGAAAGAGAAGAAGCTCGAACTGCTCGCAAATATCCTTGACAAGAAACTGGCCGAAAGGGATGCTGCCGCCTCTCCTAGAACGTATTACGACGTGGATTATAACGGATAGGATATGCTTTGGCTCGCAAAAACCGCAATTCAGACGGAAATAGGTGACGCTAATTTCGAATAGACGGTGCGTATGATGTGCGACCGGAGAAAGGACAAGGCCAATCTCTCGCATTGCCATACTCTTACAGGTTTACTGTTGGAGCGTAATAAATATTCCGAGGCGGAAGAACGAAATTCAAAAGTAGCCCGATGATCGAATTAGTAGAAATTCCCCACAGGCACTCTGGGCAAGTAGAATCGTTATTGAATCCACGTGGAAGCAGGGCGCGGCGCGACAACTTGAGGCGAAGACTTAATTGAGGAAGCGAGGTTAATCGTTGAACAGATGAGGGCCAGCCCATTCACTGCCTACCAAGATGAGGAGAGAAAACTTATAAATAAACTGGTAAATCGACTTAATGAGGCTTAGATGAACTGAATTCTTATATCCTTTGGTTCAGGTATTTAACTGACATGTAGCAACTAGTTCACTGCGCCTCTTATTAATGATATGAGTCGTACCTATTCTCATTTCATAGGAATCCAATCTTGATGCGTTTCCCTTGTAAGGAAAATTCTAGTAGACACTTCTAGGTACCTAGGCAAATAATGCATTTTATGATAATGGTACTTTACTTCCGTTACTCGCCATTGAAGCTTGTTCGTATAGCGTTCCATCATGGTGGCAGTGCTCAAATCTATTCGACGCCGATGGGCATGATGACCGCGACCAACGCGTTCGTACTACCACCTCGATGGTCGGGAGTTACCTAACATACACAGTTAATAGTACGGAAAGCGGTTGCTGTCAAGGGGTAGCACCTAACTAATTGTGCGCATATATAGCAATGAGGCGGTGTTTATCTAAATACGGCCTAATTCATACTTGTTTAATAGACACAGCCAGGAATCCAAGCTGAGGATTTGGACACATGCATTGGTTCGTATTTTTATCGATTCATGGATTAACTGATAGGTACGACAATAGATCTCACTTTAGTAATGGTTAAAAGGAATGATCATATTGTAATGGCGTATTGATCTATTAAATTGAATATGTAAGATGAAAAGCAAACACTAGAGTGTGCTTTAAGAGTTATATCACCGATCTAAATTCTATCTATCAACTAACTAGTTCGTGGAAGTTGGGCTGGGGTAACAAAATGAATGCTGAAGCAAGTAACCTAAAGCAATGAAAAATATTAAATAACGTGTGTGTAGATCTATAAACATAGATCGCGGTCAAGGCCATTGACGAATTTATCAAAATGCCCGAGTTTACGAGGGGTTATTGTGTCGAATTTTTTCCATGGCCCAAATAGGAAAGTAACTCAATGGGCAGTATATGGCACGTGCGCAATTATGTAAACTCGGGCATATTGTGCAGCCCGCAGGGCTGCCTCCAGTCCAAACAACGTCTCGTACGCTACTGGATTAAGTCCATTGTCAAACACATCAACATCTAATTTGTGAATCATCTATAATGTTATAATATTGAGATTTATATCAAGGAGTTAAGCATTTAAATTTGAGCATATTGTTCGCAAATCTCCTAATGTTCGAATAAAAATACCATGGATACCTAGGGGTAGATCTACTAGGATTGGCTATAGAAGAGGCGCGCAACGCCCTCGAAAGAGGATAGGGGGCCAGGCATTAATAATTCAATACACTTATCCTGGCATTCACTTTATGTATGACATCCATCACGGGTATAAATCTAACAGGTATATATTTTATTTCTATGATGTGAGCCATAGCGTGATATTCAAATGGTAAGGTATTATATGTACTATGATACAGCATGGAATACGCCATCAACCATATTATTCCATCTAATAAAGCCGATCAGTCCAGTTCATTATAAGTAGCATCGGGTCAGCATTTTTATAAACACTGAGAATAATTAGCTATCAGAACAAATGTAGATAGGCCAAGAGGCGTATGTAGTACATACCGTTAAACATCTACCACCGCATTGCTACCATTTTGACGAGACGTAAGCTCCTGGAGTGGAACTGTGGTTGATGCTCTTCGGGATTCTTGTGCCCGTATGATGCTGCTAACGGTACTATATGATCGCAGCTTGAAGTTCTCGTCCTATAGTAGTGCGGCCCCTGCCCCATCGAAGACGGATGGTATCTAACTGTACTTGTCTATACGCATTAATGGATAGGCACGCCTTCGTGACTGTTCCGTAGTCGCTTGCCTGCTGCCGGAAGCCCGAGGAACTAGGTGGTATATACCAATCCGGACGCCGAGCTCTATATAGGCCACCTCAGTTATACCTACCGAGATATACGACTTCATCCCGCTCTCGAGATTATTATAGTTACCTAGGTATGGATCCGACGATTAGATGCGCCTGCATACCGACATGATTGGTCTTTATTCCAACATCTAATTAATTTGCTAATTTTAAGGGCTACTCTCCTAGGACTTTATTTCCTACAGAGTTGCGGTACGTGCCGTTCTCGTTAGGTGCCTCGTTCACGTCTCAAGAATAACACTGGCCCTTGTAGTGTCTTACTTCATTTGCTATATGTGCATTGATAAGCGATGTCAATTACGAAGTAGACCACGAGCCATCGCTAACCAGATGAACGTTTGGTTACCTTATGCAGTTCGCCTTCCGATGTAGAGTTGGGCATACCCTAGCTCGGTAGTTGAGAACGCCAGGCGAGGTGTGACAACCCATCGTCCAGCCGCGTAACTTGGCAAAGTTAAAACTCTGATCTCTCGAGTTGTACGAGAAAGAACCTTGGTTCCGTATACTGTCACTTCTGTCCGTTTCCGGGCATGATCTGGCCGGACATATTGACACCCTAGAGGATATAGACATAAGTTGAGTCCGATAGTTCTCTATTATCGGTTGCAAAGCCGAAGTAAAGCTTCCCAGCCGCTTTAGCAAGCTGATTTAATCGTGCTGCGGCACCTTGGATGGCTAGGAGGAAGACTGTCGGCGTAAAGATACAAGGAGTAGGGCAATGATTAGTGTCGTGGTAACTGGCCCGTTATTACACTACTGCCTGAAGCTCTGCCCCACGATTGGCCTTAGAATATACGCGTACCTTACATTAGGTATCTAGGTATATATCCCAAGACCTCGGATTCAAAATTGAATGATGGCAAGGCGATGCTATGTTTCCGTCGCCTAAGCAGTATTTTCGAGGCTCTAACTGCTGACGATAGCATAGTCACGTCGGGGCGATAAGATTGCGGTCAAGCTGGTCAGGTGTAGACATGGCGGACGGCATTGGTGATCGCGGAGCGGTTTAGAATATATGAGGTGTGTCGGGGTAGTCAACGAGTACTCGTGCAAAGCATTTCCTCTCAGTGATAAGCTACGCCGGCAAGGCCAAGAATTTCCTACGGTCACAGCACAGTGGAACAAACTTGAATCGGATCCGAAATTAGAATAGGCAGCTGTCTTTTTTAATACTACCACTACCTCATACCGATATACACCGTCATGTAATCCATAAAGTCCAGGTCATAAGATAAGCAGGAGTCTAGGAACAGTGATGCCTCTGCCGACAATGCAACCCGAACGCCACCTCGTGTCGCCAATTATGTGCGTCGTACAACCTCATTCTTCCGCTAGGAATGCATTCTATTAACAAATTTATGTCCTCCCCGTTGAAAATGAATACCCCGGGAAGCCTCTAGCGAGAATCCAAATAAAACTTTTCCCAACTTGCCTTGTTAGGGTATCAATCCAATACTCCAATACCGATGATAGTAATCGTAGGTCAAATTCGAAAACCGTTAGCTCCTTTATAAATGCTGAGTGGTGTACGAGGGTGCCCCATTAACCTCTGCGCTCTAGTAAACCCCCGGCCATGTTCAGCGTCATAGGTATTGCTGGCCGTTGAATTTCCAGGCTCCTGCTCGGGACCATCCTCCCGCCCGGCGTCCTCGGATGAGGTACGTTTACCCGTCCGCTCCGCTCTGTGAGCCTGCTAAGCGTTTCGACTGCTTCGTCCGCGCTATCCGAATCGCCGTCGTCGTAACTAGCCAACCTCGTAAAATAGTCGGCAAGACCGTCTACGCTGGGCGTTCCGACGACGACGTCGTATTGCGGCGGCGGCGTAGGCATGGGTGGCGGCGGCTCGTCGTCGTCGAAAGCCGGAGGGTTAAAGCTCGGACACCTTAGGAGATGCATAGGCCGCGGCGCCCAAGGCATATAAGACTGTCTCTGTACGGGCTGCGAGCCGGCTGCTGGATGCTGCTGTATGTGGGCGGCCGGGGGCGGTACGATTCCGGGAGAGTCGGCGGAGGGTATCGTACCTGTGCTAGACGCGGGGCTGGGGCTCGTGGCGAGTATCTCGGCGTCGGGACAACCGCAACTCGCCTGCTGGCGATACATGGGCTGGTCGGCGCCCGAATACTCGGGCAGAGCGGTGTTGGCTTGTGTGGCACGGCAGTTAAGGACGGTAAAAGGCGAGTCGATGCTAATCTCGAAATGCCGACGCCGCTTGCCCGCGGGATCTTCGGGATCGAGGCGAGAGATGCGCATGACGATCTGCAAAGAGTTAATTATATACTCGCCATCGTACGATAGGTTTCGCAGGGGAGATCTTGGGAGACAATCATACCTTAATCCAGTGATATACGTTTACATTTTTCCAACTGCAGTCGGGATGCAACCGCAAGCTCTTGTCTTTGGCCATCTGCGAGCAGGTTGGAATCTGGACGTTCATCTCGATCTCCGTCGATCCCCAATAAGCCTCCAACCCCAAATCTAGATCGCCTAGCAAGTTGTCCGTAGGATCGGGCAGCGGCTGGGGTGCCGTATGCGCTCTCGAGGCCTCTATACTCCGCCGCCGTTGCGCCGCGATGCGCGCCTCGTGTCTCTGATCCGGGGTCAGCTCGCCGCCGCTCAGAACCCTCACGTCCGACGCCTCGAACTGCTTGTCTAGAGGCTTCCCCGCCGACTTCTCCAGCAGTAATATCTTCCGTCCCGGATCCTTCCGAGTGACCCGTCGATCGTTTGTCCAATACTCGACGGATTCGGTCACGAACACTTTTAGCTTGTGAACCTGCACCTTGGCCAACGGCGTCAGTTTGAAGGCGATGGGAATTTTGGTGCCGATAGGAAAAGATTTTCCCGATATCATTATGTCGTAATGCAGCTGATCTTCCCACTGCCTACTGATAGAGATGGGCTCCGTCATTTCGAGGGACAGCTGATCCGGGACGCGCACGATGCAAACTTCCTTGGCGCCGTGGAGATTTGGTTTGAAGGCGCCGGCTCGCTCTACGATGGCCTCTAATTCCCATTTGACCGATCCAAATTGGAGTTTCGTAGTCTCGAGTTGATGGTGGTCGATGGGCAATTCGAAAGAGTACTCGTAGGTGCCGGGATAAAATATTTTGTATGTCTTCTGCTGCACGATATTTGGATTGGGCGTGTCGCCCTTACCGAAGCTACGAGACTGCACAGACTGAAGCGATAATCGCTTGTAATCACGGGCTGTTAGGTGACCGGTAGGTCTATTCTTCAAGGCTAAAGAAATTGTCGACTGGGAGGGAGATGCGCCCCGGCGACCGGCAGCGTACTCGGCGTTCCCCCGAATCGAATACGTACACTGGTTCCCAAACTCGGTCTCCCCCGTATCGTGCGCGGCGTGGAAGAACGCCAGCACCTGAGTCCTAAGCGATTCTTCCTCGAACTGATCAACTTTCATCGGCGGGATACCTTCCGGCCATTCCGTCCTGGCCCTGCCGTGAAGCTTAAGGGTCACGGACTTTATCTTCACATTCTTGGATACGTTCAGCTGTAGTTTACCCCTCAGCAGCGCCGTGGAGTTGGCTGCGTCGTTCCGAGGCTGGCCGTCGTGCTCGAACCCGGTAAGAAAGACGTTCGGCTCCGCCAGGATTATAGAACACGAAACTCCGCTTCCGCTCGCCACGGGTTTTGGGACTTCGGTTACCGAGCTCATTATGCTTTTAGCTGAGCGCACCGATATTATACTATTTCGATGCGAAGCGTGAGAGGGTCTCGCCAGCATTGGCGACTGAGCGGGGGCCGTCATGACGGAGGTTCCTAGCATCGAAGGTGCTGTGGTGGAAGAAGGAAACACGAACATGGATTGCGGTCGAACAGGCGGATTATTAGGTGTGCACGGTCTCGGAGCTAGTCTTGAATTGCCGGAGACGCTAGGAGGCGTAGGATTGTCCACAGCCACGTACTGCGAGAGGTGGAGCTTTAAAGGTCCCAATACCCTCTCAATTACCCGCCGCGGTGAGCTTTTATATCCGGATGCGTCGTCCTTCTTTGCTTCCGCTCTATTGCTCTTCTCCTTCCTAAATTTAGACGACTTGGACTTGACAAAAGGGGGCGGTCTTAAGTCGGGGGGTGTATAGCCGGCGGGATAAGATACGATATGGATAGACTGAGGTCGACGCTGGCGTGGTCGGATATGCGGGGTGGGTAGGCTCGGAGTTGGGCGGTGTCTCCGTTCTGAAGACCTCGGCCTATAGTAGACGTTCCCAGCTACGGGGTACGCGTATTGTTCCGGGCGATCTGGACCGCTTACGTCTGCCATGATGATGCTGTTAGGAATAGAGAACTAAAAAATATTTGGCCGCCAAGAATGCACAAGGGGGAGCGAACGGTTCTCCCGTCGTCTACTTGTTGAGTCGGATGCGTGCTCAAGATATGCTTAGCAAGGCGCATGCCAGGCCAGCGGGGATTACACGACACGGACGAACGGGATAGCTCCGAATCATGCGGCGACAACTTGTGCTAAGCAGGAGCGCGTGTGATGATAGAATTAGATGTTGATAGGCATCGTAGGTTAAGCGTGGCCAGGAAAAGTAGGCCACAAGGCTAAAAAAAAAAAATAGAATAAAGAGAAATGGAGCAGGCTGAAAAGAGCAGTACGATGGTGTTGAAGAGGAAGGGGGTTAGAACCTACAACAAGGTGAATCATAACCAAGTCATGATTGACACTGGGGGGACCCAATTGTAAGTGATAGGCAAAGTGATAGGCAAAGTGATAGGCAGTAAGTGATGGGCAGGGCTAGATGGCTGGCCAGGCTGCTGAATAGAGCAGAGTCAAAAAAGTAAATAGCCGCTTAGAAGGAAATACCTTGGGTTGGAAAGTCCAGGATGTGCTGCGAACCATACGTTGTGTCCCCGCCTAATGCGTGTAAGATGTAGGTAATAAGAAAGCAGTATCTGACTGGAACGCAACGGCGAGAAAGAAACGTTCGCAGCGGGAGTAAGACTATACAATACAAGATACAAATGCGGGTGAATTAGGGCGGACTGGATGCGGTCAAGGAGGTAGTATGATGTGGTCGGCTGGGTGTTGAGCAATTATTGGGGGTAGGATTTCGACATTATTCGCTAGATTTCTTTCCTGTCGGTGAGAGTGGGCGGGATGGCTGTTAGAATATACCCTTTTGACAGTTTGATGCGATGTTGAGGAAATGCTGGTTGACCAGGTTTAGTAGCAGATGACGGTATGTCACTAATAAGTTTCCTATGATGTATTATTTCCCAGGGTAAGCCCCTGCTGATGCTGTTTACACTAACACCAGTAGGGTTAAGCCTGGAAATCGTTGAAGACTAGTGACCGCGGCGCAGTCGGCATTTGCTTAGGTACGTATATATGATCTACTACATGGTATGCAGATTCCAAATTCCAAATGCTTAACTGAGGAAACTCATCAGTATGTATATTTAGCTGCGCAGTATTTTGGCTCTATCGTGTCTTCATCATGTATATACTTACAAGTCATAACCGATAAATCACAAATATAAATGACCACGCTCCCATAACAGTATTTAAGATAATTTTTCATGCTCTTTAAAATATAATAAAATAAAATAAATGCGACAGCCCGATTACATCCTTGTCTCGCCCAGGTTCATCCCGAATGTTCATCCCAAATCAGGAATTCGTGGAGGGGCCAATATTTCGATTTTTATACCAATCAATCATGTGAACGTTCAGATATACATAGATCCCCACGTCACAAGCAAGCAAGCCGTGATCCAGTAGATGGCGATTATCTTGGAAGATCCCTGTAAAAGGATATGCGGTACCATACAATACCGTAGCCGACAGCTTTTGGTGCTTAGCTAGTGTAATTCATGTAATTCTTCACAGGGAACTCAATTCATGCTGACATGTATGAAATGAGACGAGGCGAGTCGGAAACGAGATGGGCATTTCCGGTTCTAGTCCGAGAGGCCAAGTCACACCGCATACAAGGTAGATATGAAGATGAGCCGAACTCATCCGTCATGACTTTATGTTGGATGTTGGAGATTTCAGAAGCCGGGCAAGGCAAGGCAAGGCAAGACAGACGCTATCTTATCCGTCTCTTCCGATCAACACGCTAGGTACCTACACTAGACGAATATCCCATGAGAAATGCCGGAGAACCAGTCTAGCCTTATAATGCATAGAGTCGTTTCGCTATTTTCTTTGCGGTTCGACGATTCTCAGCCCGTTCAACTTTAATTTGAACTGACTCATGCGCCTGCGCGACATTCTAGATTGGGCAACATAGATGCGGAACGTTCGGCAGCTCGCGAGGCTTCACAGTCGTCATCACCGACAATCGGGATGCCGCGAGTGGTACTGAACGCTGACATGCAGCCCAACGCCTTAATACCGGGCTCCCGCATTAAGATGAGTCTCGGAAATCATCTAGCTACCTGTGTACCTCCTAAGCCACCTAATGACAAGATTCGTTCGGTATTTATCACGTGTAGTAAAGGAAGCGTAATTTAACCTGACCCCGAACCCCGTATGCCTCAATTTACATAGCAAACGTGCTTCTATGTAAAAAGAGACTACCTAATAGAGAACGGTCTGTCGTACAGGGTATGTAAGACATGATCAAAAATGTTGCCTGCCAAGACATCGATCGCATCGATCACATCGTACCGCCCCCACCACTTCTACAAATACTAAATAATAACGATGAGAATCAAGCCAAACAGGCGTCCAATAGACACTCAGTAGAAGCTAAATATGAACATCCACGATTCGTAACGTATATTAAACGTACGATTTCGAGCAATATAATTCCAGTTGCTAATAGCTAGAAACGCCTCTTTGATTATGTCTCGCTTCGGCTTCGCGCTTGAATTCTTCGTATGTCTTGTACTAAGAGGATATTAGCAACTTGATCAACTCTCTTATATTTTATTAGTACTGCCACAATTTTTTCAGCCAATCAGATCCTTAGAATCGCCCCGCAGTTGGCGACTTTTTCCTTTGCCATTTTATCGCATAAGGTTTAAAACACATGCAAATAAAATAAAAAGGTCATGTAAAACGCGCTTTATTTAACGATACCAATTATTAAAGTTTTTATATAATAATATAATAAATTAATTGATTTTACAAAAAATTCATCGGACGTGCGTTAAAGTGTGGTTAGTTAATTAAAGGTTAAAGTTATTTATAACCGTAAAAAAACACTTTTAAAACTATTTATCCGGGTGGGAAAAGTTTTAAAATAAATTAATACCATTTTATTAACATTATAAAAAAAAATTAAAATAATTTATTTAAACAATAAAAACTCACACGTTTTATATCGGATATTATTTAATTTAAAAATTTTAATTATTTTAATAAAAATATTTTTAAAGTTTTAAATTTAATTTAAATATAATAATAAAAATAATAATTTGGTAAAGTTAAATTAATATTATTTTTTTATTAATATTGTATTTTTAACAGTGTGTTAATTACATAATTTTAAAGTTACACGAATAAAATGTATATAATATATAATCATGTTATGTTTATAATAAAAACATTAATATAATACACATTTTAATATAATATTAATGGCACCATTAATATATTTATTTAATAAATATTATACATTAAAAAATATATATATATATATATTAAATAAAAATTAAAAAAAGGCCATTTTAAACACTTTTTATTTTAAAATGTTTAAAATCGTTTATTTTTTTATTAAATCACGATAAAATTTAAATAATTACAAATTAAATTATAAATTAAATTAAAAATCAGGTTATAAATTTACAAGTTATTTAAATTAATTACAAAACATTACATTACATTACATTATATTACGTACGCGTATAAAAAAGTAATTTATTATTTTATATAAAATATATTAAAACATTTACTTTTTTTAAATTAATTAAAATGTTTTAAACTATTAAAAATTAATATATTAATTAAATTATTATATTAATAAAACTTATTTAATATTAACGTCATTAAATAAATAAAAGTTATTATATTAATTATATTAAATTAAAATTAACGTAATAAAATAAATATAATAACCGTATTAATAAACTTTATTATATTAATAAAAATTACTTATTATTAACGGTAATAACATTTTATCTTTAACAGTTTTTTTTATTTTTACAAATATTATTTTTTTTACAAAAGTTTTTTTTTTATTTTAATTTTAAAGCCATAATAACACTTATTAAAACAATATAAAATTAACAATATTAAAGCTATTTTAATCAACATATTATTTTTATAAAAAAGGCCTGTGCTAAAATGTATGGTTAGTGCATGTATATATTCTCACGGAAAAGATCGGAAGTAACGTTAGCATTTTTTTATACAATTATAGTATAGTTCTGTTAACAGGCTTTCCCCGAATTAACATTATAGTACATTTCAACATTCTAAAGTCATACTGTCCTAAGACCCCCCCCACCCGGGTAAGTAGGTAGACACTCCCCCCGTAAGCGCCTGCGCGAACGGGTAACGCAGCTAGTTTTGAATATGCGCCTTGTTTGATATTTCAATGCCGCTTCTTGCAATACTGTTCTAGCGCCAGGCCAAGTCTTCCGACCATACCCCGGTATACCACCTGGGTTAGTAACTATTCATAGAGCCCTTTTGAAGCCTTTTAAAGCCAGGTCCACAACTCGTGATCGTTCCACCAAAGCCAACAACCGCGGCTAGGACACATGTGATCGAGTTTATCGTACAGGCCAGTACCCTTCGCATCGTGAAGGAACCAGTAGAACAGATAGGCTCAAACGAAACCCAAATGTACAGAATCATTCTTCTCCATTTCGCCCCGCCATCATTCATGATATGCGTCTGCTTATGCGTTCATCTCATCTCACCCAAAAAGGATACCGGAGCAGACAAGCGATAGCTACCTAGCCGTTTCCGCTGCTTATACTTATTCTTTTGAGGTGCCATCTAGCTCAGGAAAGCTACATACGAGGCCCAACGCGGAGGTGATAGCATTGGGAATAGACGAGGAAGATGTGGCTTCTCCATCTCCATCCTAGTCATGAAGGTAAAGTCAAGCAGGCGCCAGGCCATTCTTCTTTCACTTTAAAGTCCGCGTTTCACCCTTTTGGAATGAGAGACGCTCGGCTGCGTTATTTATCATCTCATTTATCATTATTCTGTATGTGAGGATTGTCATTGGTCTAATAACTTTTTTATCTAAATCCCTTAGGCGTAAAGTTAACCACTTATCGTGATATTCGTGATATTGCGAGGCTATTATCCTACCACTCCTACAGCTTTGATACATTATAAAAATATGCTAGCATAAAGTGAGAGTAGCCTATTTTATTGAAAGTGAAGATAATTAATATAGCTTTTGATTCAGTAGCTCGGAAATAGTGTGGGTGTCTTACCTCTCGTAATTGGATAATCGCTAAAGCTAGACTGGCTCGTAAGTCCTATATGATAAGGAGATAGGTCGTAGCTTGCTCATTATGAATTTACTACCGTTGCTAGCCGTCTCTTCTAGTTTAGAAGTAAAGATAGAACTACTATCAAATGACCAAAGTCCACCAACCTTGTCTCGTCTTTCAAAAGTAGCTATGTTGAATCCTTCCTCGTGTAAATTCTTCAACGTCATTAGTCCCGCAGCTCCTAGGTATTCGATTGATTTAGTATAATAATAATTGTGAGGTGCGTCCTGTAATTAATACCTAGGGTGACGGCTGTAACCCTATGCCTTCCATTGCTCGAGAATTTCTAGCTATTAACGTAGACGTCAGTTATGCTTATAGTTTACCCACTGCGGCCAACTTTTATATACGTACCCACGAATGTCAAAAATGGTGTAGGCATATGTAATTACCTATCCTATGAAGTACGAATTAATCACAAGCTAAGAGTCTTGTAGATCACGAGGTTAACAGATACTGCGGAAGGAGGTGTACTCTTCAAACTTCCCTATATTATCCTTACAGAAAGACAGCAACTAATAAAAATCTGCTACATTATCTGTTCAAGATATCATGTTCGACATAGAACATGCGTAAGATTGCAAAGACGATATTATTCTATCGTAAAAAAGATGATTATAAATATAAGCAATTTGGCTAGTTACTAAAAAATAGTATTTTACGTACGTACAAAAGACATAACTAAATTAGCTATACTATCCTTCTATCGCCTATTACATATTACACGTAAGTTAAAGATAAATTCTTTCGATTCTGGAGCAATTATTAGGAGATAAGGTTAGGTACTTACCTTACAGAAGTGCTTTCTTAGTATTCCCAGACAATAAAATACAATATATTCGAGGGAATACAAGTTCTAAGATTTATTTATGCCTATCCTTGAGAAGGGGTTACCACCTAAGGAAAAATTAGGCGCGTGATAAAAAGAGCTTCAAGGCTCGTAAAATAAGTGCAGATTATAAGTAATGAGTGTAAATTAATATTGTTCTCAGCTATGGTAAGTAGCCAAGTCTATTTTAACCTCCAACACCGATATGTAAATAGTGCGATGCCCAAATAAACCACAATATACCCGATCTTGAAATACAGTCGCTTCCTTTGGCGGATCACGGAGCAACACGGCACCGCCTACCCGGCATATAAGCTTCCGGTTATTAAGTTGGAAATATAAGGGTCACAAGCGTTTGTGCCGTGGGTATTTAATCAAGAGTCGAGGCTGTTGATGTACAGGCAGTCCGATCCGCCTTCGACAAACTCAGTGGAGCCGAGCGATCCAATAAACTCGCAAAGTTCTCCCTGAACGAAGTTCACACCGTGGCAGAACCAGTAGTCGCCGTCCTGCCTCTCGCTCAGCTCGCCACGCTTAGCCTTCTCGAAAGACCCAGTGCAAGCCTTCATGCAGGAGTCCAGACTGTCGTTCTCCGGTCGGATCAAGGTCTGAGAGGCGACGGCGGGGGTGCACTTGGTGTCGCATCGAACTAGACCGAGGTACGGGTTTCCGAATGCCGGGGAGTCAGAGCTATAAGGGGGGCATTGGCAGAAAGAGTTGTAGTCTGGGTAGCCCGTTGTCTGGTTAGGGTTGTCGCAGGTAGTTCCGGTTGATTCGGACGCCGTCACAGGTGTGGGCAAGTCATCTCGCCTCAGCACGGCACCTCCAGCAGCAGCGGTGCTAGCCAAGGTCGACAGTAGGCAAAGACCAAACCAGAATGAGGTGCTGGTTTTTCGGAGCATTTTGATCGATTTGATTAGGTGTTGATGAAGCGATTGTGGGTAATAAAACGAGAGTTGTCTGTTTTGTTGGTGAAGAATTGCAACTTTCGAGCGAAGACTGCTAGAACTTATATATCATGATCAACTACTGTCTGAATCTCACGATACGCCGGGAGGCTTTGAAGATCTCAGCCGTTAACATCCTGACAAGGAATCGTCAATGGATCTACAAATAGATAGTACTGGTGCTCTGATTGGTTATCCTCTGCGAGCTGTTATAAAACAGCCTATATAAATCGCAGTTCGCCAATTCATGCGCAGCCCAAGAATCCTTCGGTTATCGGCAAGGCCATGCACAATTGGCGAAGGCGATCAATGAAAGCGGTGCCAAGCGAGTTGGAGCTACATAAAACATACATAGCCCCAATCGTCCAGCTTCTCGGTAGGGTAATGTAATACGACGACGAGCCAGTAAGCTACCAGTTACCTCACGACAATTTTGTTACTTACAGAGGTTTCATTTCTTTGCATTCAACTTGAGACATTGCCAACTGTGCTGGAAGTACTACACCTCTTGAATGGAGTGCAACGTTGCGGCTAAGTATAAGAACCTGCCACTCTCGTACGTAGAAAGTGTTCCGTCCTTCTACTGAGGCTCATGACACCTTGTCTAACAAGGGCATACGAGCTACTACAGCCGTGCCATAAATTCTTATTGGTGCCTCGCAGCGAAGTTTTGGCATCAAAACGTTGTATAGCTAAGACCAAGCCCTAAACTAGTATACGACGAGCTTAGCGTAGGCTATTATATACATTGACCTCTATAGTAGCGTCTTAGCTGACGCTATCACCGACCGGGTACGCATTGGACGTATATACGACGCGACACGCCGAAAGAGACACAATCGAAACTTATAACATGTTTTGCTTGTCCGGTCTAAGAATAGTTCTCTACTAAGGTTACATTTTCATAGAACTCTAGGGAAGCAAATCAATTATAGAGGTCTTGTCGTATTGCGGAGGAAGGATAGTTTATTAGCTGTAATAAATTCATCATGCATACCACGTATTCTTAATCCAGTCGGTTTATCGACATTCTTAGCCATCGCGTTTCTAACAATCTTGATCCTTGGCTAATTCTAAGAATATTCAAGCCGTATCCGTGCCACATCAAGCCACACTCTTATTGGGCAGCTTAGGTTGTGAATCGTATAATCTTCAATCATCATCATCATCATTTTTGCCCTTTATGCGTATCCTTCCCGTTGATGTCTCTGCGGCCGTGACTCGTTGAAAGATCAATGTCGTCTGCGCCGTCGAGCCATTGCTCCATCTTCTCGTATAACTCCAACCGTGGTATATCTAAAGACCCAGATTCCGGACCTTGAATAGTTGGAAGAGAAGGGTCGATATCGTGCCCGAGTGTGCTTTGAGCTGCACCAAGATACTTATACCCTTCTGGGTACCTGTCGAGCGCATCCTTGGGGAAGCCTGGACAAGCCTTGCCGTCGACAGGAACGAGTTTGTCTTTCTCGTATATTAGCTTGACGTACTTAACCTTCCAGGCATTGGTATCCGAGTCAAGAAAACAGAAGAAATGAAACCGACAGTCGCAGTCCACGTCGAATATGACCGGTTCGAGTCCTACGCTGCTGTTCTCTCCAATCTTAAATCGTTGGGTTATAGTTGCCTTCATCTTGCCAACTGCTCGGAGCGCCGACAAGTTGAGCTCCACAAGAGTACCGCATTCGCGATGCATGATGAAGTCGCCGTTTGACTTTCCCTCTTTTGACTTTTGGATAAAGTTGTCAATGGGCTGACGCTTACTCCACGCTGGACGAGACTAATTAGCCATGCTATGCTCCCACAGTCTTAATATCAAGAGACGGTTACTCACTCGTCCAGACGCACGCGTCATCAGAGAAAAGGGAGCGGAAATTCTTCCACTCCGATGCGTCGCGGTATATGGGCCAGCCCTTGCACAATTCGGCCACAGCTAATCTCGCTAGGATGTCGCTCTCTCTACCGTTTATGTGGGAATAAACTTTGGCCTGAGGATCGTCTGGAGTAGTCATTTTTAAAAGTATTTTATAATGCTCAAGATAGAAAGATGATAGAGGGGATATATATAAGTAGGATTCAATTCTGCCGTGATATGACCGAGAGAAAGATGTAGAGATTACCTTTTCTAACTGCTGCTCTAGCTAGACACTCCCAGCCATGTAGGTGGGATATCGCAACCTTTAATATAGCCCGTCCATCATCCCGTGCGCCTCGTAGCAAATTTTCTTTTTCTTCGCCAAACCCGGAGATATGCGAAAGCCTGTCCTCGCCCGAAGAGGCGTTCTGCTTGTTACGGCTCGCACGGGAGGTCGTCAGGCCTGTAATACCGGCCTCGCCAGTAACTGGTGATATTACGGCAACTAGCCGCCAGCGTACTCGCCATGACTAGGGGGAGACTGATTTAGGCGTCTATAGCAATAGATGTAGTAGTACCCAGAAGTAACGATTGAATTCTTCGCCTACTTAGGTATATAGGAGGTTAAGTTCTGGTTAGCCACCAAAAGAATAGCATATATGGGACCTAATTATCAGCCTTACAGAGCTAGTTAATAACCCTACCAATTTTTAACACGGCCTCTTCAGAAGTACTAAAATCTAAGAGAAGAGCGGAAATATACCCAGGTCCATTACAAAGCAACGATGCGCTTCGTCCCGTCTTACCGGTCGGTCTGCCCAGGCACTAGAGACTGGATGGATATGTAAATTGTAAACCAGGAGAATCACCTAGGTCGATACACCGACACGTGTTTCGTGGTAAACGCATCCGTCACACCGGAAGGCTGCGTCGAAGAGGCCTGCATGAGATCAAGATCGGTTTTTCATCCGACGGGTCTATCAATCGCGGTCGAAGCGTTCCCGTCCCGTATAACTGTTCAATACCGTGCTAGCGACATCTGCTCTGCCAGAAAATCCATGTTTGTTGGTGAGGCATTCCACAGTGTCTCTGTAAGATCCCGTTCACTCGGTAACTCGCATTTTCCACGGGATAGCGTAAACGGTATCCCGAGAGATATTATAGTTGAGTTCGGCAGCCTATCATCTCTTCGACATAGGCGACATTTTTGATAGCGAAGGTATTGATGAGGTCCCGGGAATCGTCTTTGCGCCGACTCGGTATCGTTCATCTGTTGAATTAACCATGTTGCTTCCAACATGTCAAATGTATGAAAGTGGCTTATGATCCTTTTAGTATCCAGTTTCAAGGAAAGGGGGCGGGGCAGTTGGTTTCTACGTGGGGGGCTTTTTAAATGGACGTTCTCTACGGAATAATCCGTAAATATTTAGTAAGATTGCTTGCCGGGGGAGAATCCTCCAGGCTATTCATAGTGCCGGGAGTTTGGTGAGAAATCATACCCACCCTTGCCACTCTTGAAATCATTGCAATGAGGGCCCTTGCATCTATTCTTGCATATGCCAAGTATTTGGGCTCCGATCACATCTGAAGAGATAATACCATAGTTCTAAATTATGACGTTACTTACACAGTATATCATGATCAAATTTACCCAAGATGTCAACGTGATATTATTTATAAGCATATGTCTTACAGAGGTAGCTGTTAAGACTTCAACATGGCATACGTGAACTGCGCAATTACGAGTCGGGTATAACTAAACCGCTTTGGACTTAGGGTCAAGTGATGTATAAGATCCGGTCCGGGCCGGTATAGTACTTACGGCATCCATACCTAATATATGTAAGCAGACCTTTATCAATTGTAAGAGTAAGCGCGAGTAAGTCCGAGATCAACTTAACCTTATCTATCGGTTTCCGATGCATCGCCGGAAATAGGCGATCTATACATGATACATACATGGAATCGACATACCTACCTAGGTATGTATGCGTGTAAGATCCTTCTTTGTTCTCACGGTGATCCTTGTAAGAGACCTAGGTAGAAAAGAGATGGGAAAGAGGCAGGTAAACTTCTTGCCTCCCCTGTACTAAGAACTTACCAATCACTTACATATGCAGTATCCACGATGTGGGATGTGGGCATCTACATAGTAAGATCATGTTTCTAATATTTTCTGGCTTCTGACGAGAGACGGCCCTGTCAAATTTGTTGGCGCCGAAAAATTGTCTCTGTCCTGCCTAGCTCAAATGTAAGCATCGCTACATGGTGCTCTTTTCTTCTTCTTCTTATTCTTATTCTTCTTCTTCTTCCTCTTTTCACACTCTGGGGAGATTTCTCTCGTACGTCCGAATTTGTGTACTGGATTTTGCGGCGGCTCGGTCCTACGAATCACATCGGAACTCGTCAATCTCTTAAGCACGTCAACCTTGGGACGCCACTAAATTTACCTAACGGGGGATGACGGTTAGCGAACACGGCGGCGTTAGCTCTAGTGCTTCTAGCGCCACGGCGGCGCCTGTTACAAACCGGGAGAATATTATTATGGACGAACCGGTAGGGCTGTCGCGTGATGATGCGGTGCCGTCACAGTCTAGCAGGACTTCCGATCCGGACGGCTCGTTCCTGGTTAGCCAAGCCGGAACCCTGTCCCCGATGCAAGACGACTCCTGGACGAGCAGCGACGAAAAGGACAGCGGTGACAGGAGGATGGATGAGCAGGTAGAGGAAGAGAAGGGTACCAAAAGTCGAGACTTAGCGAGGACCGACACGAACATGTCTATCGCCGAAACGCTTTCCTTGCCTCGGGAAATCCTATTCGTCCTTGTCATTTGCCTTGCGCAACTCTTCACGCGTACGTCCCTCGCTTACACTGCGGTGAAATCCACGACTTAATTCTTGTCCTAGCTAACGATCGTATGTAAAGAGAGTGGCCTTGGTCAAACCATAAGCATCATTCATACAATCGGTGAACATTTCGGTATCACGAATCCTGGAGAGCTAAGCTGGTTCATGGCCGGCTACAGCTTAACCATAGGCACATTTATCCTTTTCTCGGGAAGGCTGGGCGATGTCTTCGGTCACAAAACCCTGTTTCTCTACGGTATGGGTTGGTATTCCATCTGGAGCATTGTTTGTGGGCTCTCCGTCTACTCGAATCACGTCCTTTTTATATTCGCCCGTGTTCTACAGGGAATCGGCCCCGCCATCATCCTTCCGAACGGATTGGCTATCCTTGGTGTCACGTACGCCCCCGGCCGACGTAAGGAGATGATATTCGCCATTTTCGGCGCGATGGCACCGACTGGCTCTGTTATCGGCTCGCTATTCGCTGCTATCCTTGCTCTTGCCTGGTGGCCTTGGGCATTCTGGGCATTTGGCATTGTTCTCGCCGCAACCGTCGTCATAGGCTACTACGCTATCCCGGAAGCTTCGAATAGGCATCATGCCCAGCCCAAAGGCTTCAAGAATACGCTACGAGAGCTCGATCTTATAGGGACAGTCCTCGGCGTGGGTGGTCTCGTCCTCGTCAATTTTGCGTGGAATCAAGCCCCCGTTGTAGGCTGGGATAAGCCTTACGTTTACGTTTTGCTCATCGTCGGATTGCTACTTCTTGCCGCGTTCTTCGTATTCGAACTAAAATTCGCTCAATACCCTCTCATTCCTTTCAACGCCTTCTCCTACGAAGTGTCCTTCGTCCTAGCTGCTATAGCATGTGGGTGGTCTTGCTTCGGCATCTGGTTCTTCTACTCCTGGGAATTCCTGCTCGTCCTTCGAAGAGTGCCGCCCTTGTTGGCCACGGCGATGTTCATTCCGACTGTTATCTCGGGAATATTTGCCGCCCTTTTCACGGGTTATACTCTGCATCGTCTTAGACCGCCTGTAGTTATGACCATGGCTCTCGTTTTCTTTACGACAGGCATCATCATCCTCGCGACCTGTCCTGTTGAGCAGGTCTACTGGGGCCAGTATTTTGTCTCTGGCATTATCATGCCTTGGGGGAGTAAGTAACATTGGCAGTTCTTTTTTACCCCTTTTTATTTATCTTGGGAAACAGTACTTCCCTCCCGTACTAATCAAGGACTTGATGTTCCCCGCAAATAACTGAGCCCTAAATTCCTTATTAGAAGTAACTAATTCTCGGTATAGTGGACATGAGCTTCCCCGCCGCGACCCTCATCCTCTCCGATGCTGTACCACGAAAGCACCAAGGCATTGCTGCGAGCTTGGTTAATACCGTAGTCAACTACAGCATTTCGTTAGGGTTAGGCTTCGCAGGTACGGTCGAGACGCAAGTCAACAAAGGTGGGGAGACCCCAGGGGATATCTTAAAGGGATACCGAGGGGCGTACTACATGGGCATCGGGCTTGCGAGTGTAGGCGTGCTTGTGTGTATTGCCTTTGTCGCTAAAAGTAAAACCCGAAAAAATACTACTAGCCAAGATACGCCTTGAAAATTTGTCATAATCCGGACGGTTTTATGCTACGCTACGCACCTCTTACTATTCCCCTTGGGCATATTGACATTTAAGGGAGCAACGCAAGTTACCTTATATAACCCGAATCTGCTTGGTGAACCGTGGGCTATTTTCGTTAATACGTCGGCAATATTAAGAGCAACGCAGGAAAACCTAGACGGTCGAATCCTACGGTGCTGGGTACTAGGAGGTACCTAGGTGGCAATATCTCCTATTTAGGACATGCGATAGATTACGTTGCCTCGTATTTACGTTCATACGAAGATCACGATACTTAGAGGCGGCAATACTCGATAGACGTGAAGGCGTAAGCGACAGGTCGGTTAAGAATAGAGGGGTAGGCATATATCAGCACAATAGATTCCAGTACACCTAAAAGTATTTTGATGATGAGGTAAATAAAAGCCGTTGCGGCTTCTTTCGTTGTATATATATGCGATCCTAGATCTATGCGAACGAACCATGACAGCCGTATCCGTGGTTTGTAGCAAGCCAACCTCCTTTAGAACGCAACACCCAGCGCTCAAACGCCCCTTTAATGCATTTCGTTGTGTAAAACGTTTATGGTCACGAACTATATACATTTCATAAATGAAGCCACAATTTTCCAGACAGCATTCGAGTTCAGTCGGGGTTATCATCATTCTCGATCTCTCCGGAATTCTGTACGCTACGGCCCGTGGCATCTTGCCTGCGAGTAGCGAAAGATGCGATCGCTTCCCATCCTCTACCACCTGTCCGCATCACGAGATGTGGGTTGATATCTGCCGTGAAGTATCTTTCCCGCCTTGTACTAGCTCGGGCGCCGCCCTCTATTGCCGAGTATGCGCTCCTCGTTGTGCGCATGCGCTTCCTCCCTGGCTGTCCACCTTCGCTGAGGAGACTGCTGCGAGAAAGCCTTTCTTGTTGGAGCCTCTGATCGTATGCCACGATGCCGCGTACGTATGGCGCGATATCAAGGCTGATCGTCTTCGTGGTTCCGTCAAATACTGAGGGCTCAAGGTAACCCGCAGCCATATTCTTCTCCGAAGCGGCGATAGGGTCGAAGGCAAGGCTATAATCCAAGCGTACAACGGCCGGCTCTGCACGCAGCAAGTCGCTAAGATAGACTTCTAATTTGGTGGTGACCTGGGCTTCGTCTAACGGTCTACAGACGTCTCTGGTCCCGTCAAACGTCTGGGCATCCCTTAACTCGTTTTTACCAAGATCCTTCAAGGCCGTGGACACGTCAAGACCCATCGTGTCGTATCGGACCAAAGGGAATGCCTCAAGTAACTGCCGACCCACAATGAAATCTTCTCTCGTCTTTGTCGGAATATGGGGGATCGAGGCGTCCATAGAAACCTGGTTAGGCACATCTGAGAAATCTGACGAGCCTATATCTGCATCGCTCATGAAGCCGGTAAAAGATTCGATTGACTTGAGAAGTTCAAGCCGTTCTTTGGCGGGCGACCCTCGCTCGATAGCTGTTGCCGCCCTAGAAACAAAATCGTCGTATGTGCATGATTCATATGCATCGAAAGACCAGTTACAGAAAGCTTGCTGATGCAGCTCCTCCTGTGTCGAACGCAGTAACGAATTACTAACGGCAGCGTCTCTATTTAACCAGCCCATACCGGTTTGGTAAGTATCCTGACTGACAACCCGGATGGTATCTCCTCCTTCGTCAACATCACTACCCTTGGGCCATCTAGGATAAAACCAGTTGAAGCCTCCTTGCGCATCTCCAACTCCAATTTGACACCAGTAATTGAGCTCAGTGATCGAAGCGCGGAGATCATGGCCGCGTGAGTCGTAGAGCGTCTCCACCGCGTGTCGTCGGAGGGCATGACCTTCATTTGCGGCAATCAACAATAATAAATCGACAGCTAGGTCCTTGGTCGGACTAGAGAAGCGGAAGATGCCATGCAGGTTCAAACTCTGCAGGGGAACCAAGGTCTCATCGTTGCAAGTCATGACAAAAGGACGTTTAGATTGTAAAATCATAGAGATGACAGTGGTCCAAAATTGTTTATCCTCTTCATAGAGGACGTCGACTTCTTCCAGCAGGATTAGAGACTGCTTTTGTGTTTTAGAAGACTTCTTTACCTCCTTTACGCCGGACAAATCTGCCGACTTGGCTGGCTTTTGCGCCAGAGCTGGGTTTGGCTTGAAGAAAGCTGTCATGGTGCCTTGTTTGCCAGATTTTAGGTCCCGATCTACCTCGTCTTCGGCGACCACCTCTTCTCGTTGCGAGTCGTTTTTGTGGTGACGCTGGACGAGATGGTTCCGTGTCATATCTCCAACCTTCTCTAGGACGTCTTTGCCGTTCCTTCTAGCCCCTGCGTTAATTTCGAATACTTCGAAGTCAAGCTCCTTGGCGATGGCATACACGGTAGCAGTTTTGCCGCAACCGTGCGGGCCGCTGAGAACTACAGCATTAACAAAGCGACCACCGTCTCGAGAGTCTCGATGAGAACCAGACCGCATCACTGTCTTCTTCGCATTGCTATTGCTGCCGCTTGCCGACCAGTCTCCTATCGCGTCTGATATCTCGCCAAGTTCATCTGCTTCCTCGTCGCTGGAGACAATGAAATCATCCGATTTTTTCTTTCTCTTGCCTTTACCTTTCGTTGCAGCGATTGCCTTGGGCTTTGTTCCAGAATCTATCGTACCGGTGTCTACGGCCAACACTTTTAGGTTTTCTAGCCAATCGCGTAGTAACTCGGCTTCCCGACCGCTCTGGAGCACTCGCTCCGCTGATGAGGGTGCATACTTCTGCGCCCAAGAGCTTGTCTCACAGGTTGACCTATCGAAAGCGGATAAACCTTTCTCGATGGAATTGTAGGCGTGCGCGATTGCCGGGTGTGTCTTTGGATCGTCGCCACAACGTCGATGGAGAGTTTTCAATTCGCCAAAAATGCGCGCCTGGAGATTCTTCCCACTTTCGAAATGCCTTCCAGGAATCCGCAAGACCGCAGGAGGAGGATGAAATTTGTCATTGTCGCAAGCCTTTAATTCTCCCGCCAACTGCTTCAAATTCAAATTCGACACAACCTGGTTCAAAACAGATTCCGATTCGCTAATTCGAACTTGCTGCCCTTTCGCCTTTCGTTCCTTCAGAAGGTATTCAGGGATCACATCTTCACAGGTCTCGTAAGGCTGGAGTATGTCACCCCGTACGTGTGCCGCCTCTTTCGACGGCCAGGCCGGATACTGTGCGCCTGGTACCTTGACATTGTTGCTATGGCTCATACCGGGAGTTGGGAAGTTGAACCTGGGCGGTACTGGTCTAATATGTTTTGATGAGTTGGGGGTCGAGCTGAAAAAGACCTTTCTTTTGACTTGTGATGTTGTCGTAAGCTTGGATTTTTCCTTCTCTTCTGCGGCAGTGCTAGGTTTCGGTTTTCCTTGAAAGAATGGGTGAGTGGGTTTGTCGGGTGTTATATCGGTCTTGGATGCGGCGGGTTGAAATGTCTGCTCTCCTGGTATACACTTGGTAGCACCCTTTTGCTGGGTGCTTTCTTCTTGTATGTCTAGGCCGTTGCCAGGCTGCTTATTTGTATCTCGGCTCGAGGGGGGCGTGTTGGGAAGAGCATCTCGTGTAATCTTGAGTTTCGTCCCTTGGGAACCTGCCAAAATCTCGTTGATCCTTTGCGCTATTCTAACTCGGGAAGCATCGTCGCCCTGGCCGTAACGTATCGAAGCTAAGAAAGTCTTGGGTTTTCGACCCCGCTTCGTATTCTTTTTACTTATAATAGGTTGGGATCTTGGAGGAGAGCCGATAGTTCCAGTTGCGAGATTCAGTTTCAGCACCTTTGGTGGCTTGGATGAGGAACCTGTGCTGTTAGTATTGTGCTTGCTCAACAGCACACCATTACGGGGCTTCTCATACCTAAGAAGGAAGTATCTCGGGCATCATCAGTTTGCCGATGTTTCCTCTTGCGCTTGCCCTTGCCCGACAGAGGAGTTGAGTCGGTGCTGTTATCAACAGATTTAGGGCTACAGGAAGGGTCTGGCGTAACAGGGGTTACATTGCTGAACAGATTATCTTTGGAAGAATTCTTTGGTGCCACGAAAAAAGGATGTATTTTCTTATTTTGAGGGTCGACAACGTCGCCATTTTCAACCATGGTGACCATGGTAATGGCAATAATGATAGCCGGAATAGGTACAACGAGCTACTATCGATAGGGTCGTCACGTCTGTAGACATGAAGGAGAGATTTAACAAACAGCACCGTGCCTAATCATGCTTTGAATATGTAAATAGACGTGTAGGTTATAGGTTGTAGGTATATTGTTGTCAGTCGGCGAGTAGGTGCATGAGTGATTAGATAGAGTGGGCAGTGACCTTTCTCATTATTAAATTCACATGAATTAGAAAGGTACTCCAGTAGTCGCGTCTAAGTAATCGCGTCCAACGCGACTGCATCATTGAATTGCTCAATTGAATTTTTGATCCACTAATGCTACCCCACAAAGTGCATATGCAGTACATTAGCTGATTAGGTACCTATGTACTTTAAGTAGTGCCGCTTAATTTTCGGGTCGGTGCTTTTCATATCCAAGTCCGACTTTGCAACTTTTTTTTTTTAGTCTCCAAGTACATCTGAGCAGTTCACAATACAACAGTATATTGCTGTGGCCGATGACAGCCTCTCAATTCTAGTCGCGCAGTTATAAATAAATATGGCTTCTCACTTTCAAATTCAGAAGCCATACGTGCTAGCTACGTTACCCCGGCCCTTCGATCCGACAACAGGCCGCTACGTTGTTAGTGAGGTTTATGGATGCGCACCCGGTTCAAAGAAGAGGAAGCGCCACGAGCTTGCGGTAGGAATTGATGGAGAAGCTATCAATATTTATAATGTGAGAATGTCATAGAATAACTATGCGCTCAAAGTATTGACCCTCTATAGGTTTCGTCTGCCAGACTTGTCACTTCGTATCCGGTCCCTCCCCAGTCCCTCTTCTCGTGTCCTATAGCTTCCATTCGGCGAAAAGTAGAAGAAACACAAGAGACTTCAAGATATACGTTCGCAGCCACTAAGGAGTCGCATCAACACAAGATCATCCAATTCAAGGACCACGTGGATGTATCTGACAATACACACTCCACTACTAGATCGACATTGCTTGATCCAGGCCAGCCAGTTATATGTGTTGCTCCTATCATCGCGCCGGCTGCGCAAGGGCTAGCTGGCCATCAAACATCAGACGATGGGCTTCTTGTTGTGCGCACAGACGGGAAAGTGACTTATCTTGACGCCGAGACATTACAGAAGAAATGGGACTCGTCACCCGCATCGTTGTATCAGGAGCTTCCGGGAGCTTCGAACGCGGATTTCAGAATTGACTTTTGCTTTCCCGTACCGCTATCAGATCTTATTCACGGCATATTCAAGGGCGATGGTGGCGCCTTGAGCGTCTTCCCCGACATCAAGCAAAACGTAAGCGCGGATGCCGAAGTCTTGGTCCTCATCTCGAGTCACGGCTCAAGCAGACAGCAAAGTCGTCATCTTCATATCGTAGCCGTTCTACCATCGTCACAAAGCTCGACCGGTGCCCAGCGCCAGGGTATTGTCCAGCTCCATGCTATTCCGATACCATCGTTCGTAAAAGAAGAAGCCAGTGCAGCCTCGTACCGTCTCGATCTTCGATCCGGAAGCCTACTCGAGTTACGCGGCTCTACGTTCAACATGTATGACCTAACGACCAGCCTTCCGAAAGTCACATCTACAATGGAACTCATGGGCACAACATCTTTCCTGCGCCTCAGTAAAAGCTCGCTACTTTGCACTACGCCCACTCATCTTAGTATCTATAATCCGGTCTATCGGTCTCTCCAAAATTCCGTCCCTGTCGATCTCGACACCGATACAGACCTGGCAACCTGTTTTCTCGCTGCTTACTTCTCCCGTCTGGAACTCGCAGTTGCTATTGTCGATACCAATTTGGTCGCCATCCAACTGGAAGCCCCAATCCTACGAACCAGAAAACGCCGTGCGGAGGGTCTTTTGATTGATTCGATCGGACGCGGTGTACAACTCACCAAACGGCCTTCAGTTCGTGATACTTATGGAGAGACAGAGACGTCTATATTCTCCAATTATTTGCCGGGTTCTATCAGAGGTGAATATTGGGAATCGTGGAAGATAGACGAGGCCAAAGCCGACGCTCTTCTTAACGCAAATGATATTCGTGGCCTCGAAAAGCTATTAGCTCAAAAGTTCGGTATCCAAGTCCAGAACGAAGCCCGTGCACCGAGTGGCACGAACGAGGAGGAGCCAGCTTCGTCCAGAACTAATACGACCTCTTGGACATGGCCGAAGACGAGGGCGGGTTACCCTCCCGCAGATAGGAGATGGATTCTATATGCTATCAGTCGAGCTTTTCAGTGGAACGACGCCTTTCCGGATGACCCGACAATCCCTCGGCTTATTTGTCAGTTGCCGCAGAGCGATATCGTCAATTATCTTGTAGACGCTGGTCATCTGACCCTATCTAATGTGAAGTCTGCGCTCCGCAGGCAACTTAGAGATGATGAAAAAGCGGATTCGTTCCTAGCCGAGCAAATCGTCCTTCGGCTTGCTGATGTCGACCCTTCTTTAGAGCTCCTCGTCGCTTATATATCGGCCACTAACCTTGGGGCGGTGGAATTGCTCCTTGCTGTACGAACGATCATGAGGAGTCTCGAGCTAGTTCAAGATCCGAAGAAACCGCCCCCGAAATTACTCACTAACGGCTCAACCGACGAAGCAGGAGTGAACGGAGAAGGTGAGGCCGAGGCCGAGGCCGACTGTCAAAATATTGGCATGGAACTGGACGATCTCGAGGATGAGATTCAAAAGACAGTGACGTATCTTAACGAAGATGCGGGCATTCGCGGCAACGGACTAAGCGTAGCCTTTGCGAAGCTCGGTAATTGCCCAGGCATTTCTATGATCAAATCTTTACGAGTCACATTCAAACCGGAAGAGATTTTGTCTCTCATCTACCTCCTTCGGGTCGAGTTGGTTAGGGGTGCGTGGACGTCTCGCTACCTTGACACGACCGATTTTGAAAGAGATTCGACTCTTGACGCACCACCTGACGGCATTGTTAAGCTCCTCGCGGATCTGCTTGGACGCTGTGTAGACTCGATAGGCCCTGGTGGTTGGCTTTTGAACGACGCAGTACTTTCAGGTGATGAGACTGGAGATTTCATCGCCTCGCTTAAGCTTGAAGTTAGCGCGGCCTTGGAAGGACTAGAAGATGTAGTCTACCTCCGTGGCATTGTTGGCGAGGCGGTGAAGTATTGCGAAGCGGCGAAGAAGCCCGAGATGGGGGATGTGGTGGACAAGACGAAGCCCATCCTTTTGCACATAAAAGACTCTACTGCTCAGGCGTTGCCTCTAGGCCTCAAAACAAAGGATCGAATTTCAAGTCAAAAAATTGTGTCAGGCGGCGAGATCATGGAGAGATCTCAGAGAGAGACTGGTCACCTTAGGAGTCAGCAGGTCGGGCACTACTCGCTGGAAAGGATCGCTATATGAAGCTTGTCAGATCCGGCCAAAACTCATGTACGTACAGGCTATTGTGTATTATCTGATCGCGTCAACACTCTACCAGGTGTGGGAATTATCAGCATTGAAAGCTCAGCTTCCATCCCGTTTATAGCACTATTTATATCTATTACATTAGTTAGCTCTGCCTCTTTCACCTCTGGTATAAAGCTCTAGCCTATGTTATAAATTCGATCGCGGCGCAACTTGGTTCAAGAGTATAATTCCACCGGGCTCCCTAGAATATCATTAGCAGCATGCATGTTTAGGCATAGCACCCTCATAGTTGTCATAAGAGGTAGATACCTAATCTAACCGACTACAACCATCTTGGTCATGTCACTAAATTCGTATGTGCTTATGCCAGAATTTAGAGCCGCATTTCAACCATTTTCCGTGTACCCAAGCATGTTTCCTAACGGTACTACCCTCGGGCGCTCGTGGCACCCATCTCGAATCTTAGGCTTAAGGGGGGCTAATCAATGGGTTCAGGCCTCAGGAGTTTGATCCACCACGATCCTGACGACTGTTTGCCCACACTTGCTCGCCCCGTCTCGTGCAACACTCTCGGTCTCCTTATGATATCTCCTTGGCGTAAACTCCAGAGAGAGCGTACAACAACGCTAACGTATCTCGCCGTGCCGACAACGTAGACATATCAGACCGCAGCATATCCATAGATACCTAACACAGCGATCGGAAGGACACAAGTATTAGGTATTCAGCATAATGTCGGTCAACTAACGAAGTATAGTAAGTACAATGCATTAAACTCGAGAAAATACACACTATTACAGGGCGACCTACAACGAGCCATACAAAAAGGTCGCATTGCTTTAATTGATCTTATGCAGTATAGACATCACACGATTGACGCAGCGAAATGCCGTCCTAGGTATAATCCGCATACGATTGGGCATCAAGTGACGAGGGGTCCTGCAGATCGTACTAGAGCCCTAGAGCCTCGCCTTGTTCTATCTCAGTTTGCCTCATTCTTCACTTTTGCATACCAATAGCTAGCTGTTAGCTAACTGCCTACGGCTATGAAGTGTAAGCCACCGACTTTCTTACGATAGACGGAGAATGCGTTGCCGTCGGTGATTGTTGCCCGTGGAGAGAACGGCTGAAGATTTAGCCTTGTCGCACCGATGAACTTATACATAGGTAGTCTAACAAGAGCTAAGTTATGTACATATAGGGACTCTGCAGCTATTTGCTGACGGAATATGGAGAAGTGGCTATAGAAAAATCCCATGCAGTCATGCTCCCATACATTAGGATAGATATTTCAAGCGAGGTGGCGCAGCGAATCACCAGAGCCCAGCAGTACGAAGAAAAAAAGAATGTATCTGGGTATTCTATTCTATCCGAGAGGCGAGAGAATAGAGGAGCCACCCGGAACTCCCCTACAAGGATGATGGCAAAAAAATAGACCATGATTGGACAGCCCTGCCGCCCTTGGACCCTGGACCACAAGTTATGATGACATGTTTTGCCAATTCTCATCAGCTCATACGTCACTGTCCAACCGGGCCACCTTCACGATTATTCTCTTCTTCATCCACGGCCTTCGTGACCAAGGGGGAAATCGGTACTCATTTCTTCGTGTTCATCTACTCTTTTCAGGCAATCTCCTGTCTATCGAATGTAACTCCAAGAATTCCTTATAATAGATTTCTCAACGGTCGTGATCGTTGTTTTGTACATTGTACAACAAATAATCCTAGCCTAGCCGAGGGGAATTATTATTATTCATTCGCCGTTCGTGATGATAGTAGCAGTTCCCCAAGGCACAAATCAATAAACCAGATCAAAATATTAATTTATCATCTCACTGTACGCCGTAGAAATGGTTACTCTCCTACTTCAACGTCGGACAAAACATACCCATATGCTGTACTCTTCGTGTTAGCAGTTTTAAATATCTTGGTTACACCAGCAAACACATTTTCGAAGACTTGGGCTTTGCAAACTTGAACTAGTAGTATTGACGAGCTTAACAAGCTTAACGAGTAGCCTGAAACCAAGACGAGCTTGGCCCTGAGAGACCCCATGTTTTCCTATAACACTAGCTCGAGTCTAGCCAACCGAACCGTCGCCAGCGAATCCTACTTTCACTCTAACGTCCCTTACTTAGGTATTCTTCACTAATTCTTTCCCCCACCAGCACGTAAATTCGATACACATCATCTCATTTCACCCGCTTTTCTCGCCCACTCGAAATATCACAACGTTACCTTCATACGGAACAGTCCTCAAACCAAGGGGACTCTGGTCCCGCTTCTCTATCATACACGCACTATTCGCGATGACAGTCGGCAATCCGAGCGATGCGCCGCCGTTAAGTAGTGCCTCCGGTATGCGTATCTCGCCCGCCAACATCGAACAAGTCGATGTGCTCGCGAGAAAGTTGTACAAGCGAGCGCGAGTAAACCCCGAGCTTGAGGGGGTAGCAGATGCAGTGCGCAGTCTACATGCGGTCCTAAAACATCTAAAGTTCGAGACTGAGGATCCAGGATCACTACTTAATGTTGATAGCAGTGCTGTATATACGCGGCAACTAACACCTATTCTCGAGGACTCGGAGTTCGCGCTTAAGCAGCTAGACACCATACTCGATAAGAAATATGGAAGAGGCAGCGATGACGGCAGTGGTGATAGTGTTAGTAGAGGGATGCAGATGGACGGAGAGAAAGGCTGGACGATTTTAGAAAGCCGCGAGCGCGACATGATTAATTTAATACATACCAAGCTCACAAATCAGAAGCTAAATATCGACATGTTCCTCGATACCGTCCAGCTTCATAACCCGTCTAAATCTCGTCGGCTAGTCGATACGAATAGCGCCAATCTCGACTCTATCAAGGATAAGGTAGATTTCATCGCATCTCGCATATGCCAACGAACGAATTCAAATTTGAGCGACGGTAACGAAGAGGAGCTTTGGGAGCAGTTTCGAGATGAGCTAGAGCAAGCAGGTTTCTCTAAGGACGTATTGCGTAAAAATCAGGTTAGCCAGCCCCCTTCATTGTTCAAACCCTCCAATCTAGTATAACGAAATTAACATGCGTTATGCACCAGGACGTCATACGAGCCTACATCCGCCAGTTAGACAACCAGCTCAGCGCCAACGGCGGCGGCAGCACCCCTTCGGTGCGGGGACTTCTGGAGTATTACCGTCCTCGAGGTTATGACGGGCTACAAATCACTCCGTACCCAACGAACCCTACCCCGGCCGATTTCAGCCCGGAGGAATTGCAGCCCAACATCGATGAGGAGAAGCTATTTCCGTCGATGAGGATGAAGCGTTTAGAAGACGAAGACGACAACAACAACATAGAACGGCAAATATCGAAACCGCCCAGCATGCCAGATTATCCTACGAATCTCTCTTACGATCGCCACTCATCAGGCGGCGATGGCGGCGATGAGTCGACGGCGCTCATGTCCACGCGGGAGCTCATGGCATTTGACAAACAGTCCAACATGACTCTCGCGATGGAAAACATGCACTTACAGCAACCACCGAACCCGGCCGGCTCAAATTATCACATGTCTATCTCACCCACACTTCATTCTCTTCCCCCTTCGGTCTCTCAGCCTACCCTACCGTCTTCCGCCCCGCAAGCCGCCCCCGACCCATTCGGGACCCACCTGCACCGCCCCCCTCCTCTTCCCTCAGCTGCTGTCAGCTCACCACCGACCCGCCGCCCGAATTCCGTGTCTGTAGCTGAGGTAAGCCAACAGCAGCAACAAGCTCTTGTGACTTCGACGCAGCGGAATGCACGGCTAGCGCCTGATAGCAAAGGCCGCGAGATCCCGCTAGATGCCAAGTGGACTCGGATCTCACGACGCCTGGTCTCGCCCGAAGTCTTGGCTGGTGCTGGGGTACGGTACGAAGCACGGCCAGATTTCGTGGCTGTACTAGGAGAACTGAGCCGGGACGAGGTGATCTACTTTGCTCACCGGACTACCGAGGTGCGTGCTGCGAGGGGTCGGCGAACTAGTACTACGCCTGCTGCGGCTACTGTGATAAGCGGCGATGGTGTGAAAGGAAGAAAGGTTGATGATAAGTATCATCCGGATAAGTATCGAAACTGGAACGTTATTGAAGCAGAGGAGCGGCAGCGGCAGAGACGAAAAGAAGGAAATAAGAACAGCCATGATACGGATAGTGACGACGATACTGGCGACGACGGCGTAACTTACATCGTCAATAACCGTAGTCGGCGACGAAAGGGGAGTACAGCTAGTACGGTGAGCGCGCTCTACGATTCGAGTAACGGCTCAGGATCATCAGATGGGGAAACGGACTCCGATGACAGAGACCAAGAATCGCATGGTTCCTCATCTTACTCTCAATCATACCCACGCTCCAGCTCGTATCTGGATGATTACCATCACTCCCGCTCACAGGCACATCGGCGCAGTTCTACCATTCCCTCGACCTCACACAAGCGCGATGACAAAGCACACTCCCAAGCTAAAGGCAGAGTGAATAGCGATGCCGCAGACGAGATAGGCCGTAAAAATAATAAAGACAGGAACGAAAGGGGTGCTAAGGCATACCCATTCATCGTGTCACCGCCATCCTCTATGATCGGGAAGGACAAGGGCAAAGACAAAGACACCGGCACTGGTACTAGCCCAGCTGCCACCGTAAAGCCGAAGCCTATTCTCAAGAATAAGAACGATGACCCTCACGTGCGAATCGATCCCAACCCCCAAATTATCGAGGAAGGCTCAAGCTCTCTACCGCGGAGCCTACCTTCATATCGACGGAGCGAACGCGAGCGTCGAGAGCGGGATAAGGACAGAGATCGAGAGAGGAGCAAAGACAGGGAGAGGGAGAGGGATAGAGATAGAGATAGAGATAGAGAAAACGACCGTGATCGTGAGAAGAGATATCGCTCGGACAGGTATACAGCAGGAGGACGAGAAAAAGAACGACATACAGATCGCGATCGCGATCGCGACCGAGACAGAGGGGACCGAACCCGAGAGAAAGAATACTATTCAAACCGGGACCGCGACGAGGGCCGGGCTGAGTATCCGCACCGGCACCGCCATCGGAGCCACGGCCACAGGTACCATTCATCGAGTGCTCCCAGGAAAGAACGGGAGCGCGAATATTATGACGACCACTATGTCAGCAGTAGCAACCGGCTCCGAGAAGACCGTACCTCCAAGAAGAAGGCTCGAGACGAGACGATACGGGCCGTGGGCCTCGGCGGCGCGGCAGCTGCTATGCTAAGCATGCTGAGTGAGGCGGCACTATAAAGAGTCTACTGAGAAGCCATGTTTACATTGAATTTGAGAATATTACGAGAGAGAGATGAGCGAGGTAAAGGGGTAACGGATACGACTGGATAGCGGGACCTTGGTTACTATTCGAGTCCTACACGGGTGGAAGGGGGAGACCTTATAGTAGAAGGCAAAATGTAGGGCAGACAAGTCGAGAAAGAAGAGGGGATAGATCGAGAGATCGGAGATTGAGAAAACGAGGGCTTGATCAAGCGAAGACAAAAACACATGCCAAACAAGCAATCCTACTTGTAGTCGATGAGCTAGCTAGCCGGTTTCTTAGCTCTGCTACCTGAAATACGCATCACACGTACTCCATTCGCTTTCACGGAATCTGCAAGTAGCATTATTGCTTGGGAGTTAGAAGGATCAGGGTAGGACATGGGAGATAGATTATCGATACCCAGTTGAACAGGCAAATATACAATTTTAGGATAGGGAATCAAGGAGTTTCAGGTCACGCTTTCGATCGACATCAAATTCATTTACATTCACTTTGCTGCTACTCTAAAATAGGCACAGCATGGCATTCCGCGTAGATGCGCTCTTGCTCTAGAACGCACTACCGTCACGAATATGCTAATGTTAAGTCCGTATCCAACCCTCATCCGGCGATGCTCATGTCTTGCTGAGAGGTTTATAACTGCAGGCGATTTCTTTCAAATCGATTAATCCTGACCCTCGCTATTCGATCCGAGTATGAACAAGATCACCGGCGCCTAGTAGTCCTTTTTGCTAAAGGCTTTTGCGCATTACCGTCTAACTTGCCATCTTCCTTTGCGAGCACTAAATGATCTTTCCTCTGGCTCTGCACGTTGCCATTTATATCGCTCTGCTTGCTATCCGCCATCATCCGACCCACAACAGCCGCCCGATGCTGCCGGGCTTCGGGGTTGTCATACTCCAGCTGCGTGGCCCGAGGCGGGCTATCACCATTCTCTGCCCCAAGGCTGCTGTTTCCGCCCTCCTGCATAATCACCTTGTCTAGAAACCCGAAAGTATTTGTACCCTGCATCGAGTCTAAGCGTGATGCTGAAGACTCGGCTCTTCTGAGATTAGATCTAGAACTGCTCATATGTGTTAACGATTCCACACTTGTGCTTGACGCCGTCGACACATTACTCGCCGCACGACCAAAGATCTCTCGCCTCCGTCGCTGCTGTCGCGGTGCTGGTTGCGGCTTTATACCGTCGCTCTCTTGAGCCGTTCCGTCGCGAGCCATAAGAGAGTTTAATCGTTTGGACATCTCTTCGCGCTCTGCTGCTTTTGCCCGTTCAGCCTGTCGCTTCTGTTCTTCCTCCTCATCCTTTCCTGTATCTTGGTGCTCTTGCAGGTGGGTAACGGAAGCATCAGAATCTTCTCCGCTTTCGGAGTCGCTTACTTCACCTCCGGTTGGGAAGCGTTTCAACTTGCGCGGTACCGGTGTAGCCTTCTGTGGTGACGGTGACTTGTTAAGTGCGTTCGAGGTCAACTCCGAGAGCGCCGTAGTGGTAGTTATAGGCTCAAGATCTGTACCTTCTGTTTGATGAGTAGGTGCCGTTTCGAATTTGGATTCGCCTGTTTTCTGCTCCTGAGCTATCGCCTCCTCAGGCATTGGGATATCGTCATCGAAAGCTGTCGTATCGATGCCACTTTTTATCGCTGGTGCTGGATGATTTGACTTGAATTCGTTCTTAGACCTGAAGTCCGATTTTGATCCCAGAAAGTTACCCTTCGCCATATTCGCAGGCGCGTCGCGCGACATAACGACCTGCTGAGCGAGTGATGTGAATAAGAATTTATCCCATGGTACTAAACAACCCGTAGTAATGCATTGCCAAAGCCAGTCAGCATCGACCACGGGGATCTTGGACAGCACGGCAAAATCCAGCTTCTGTTTCCTCACGCCGTCAAGAGAAGGGCAGACTAGTATCGAACATCGGGCGTTTAATCGCTCTGAATATTTGGCGCCAAGTTGAACAATGGCTTTTTCCACCTGGTTTAATTGCTCGTTCCTAAACCCGGACGTGCATATCATTAAATCACGGAAATCCTCAATAGGAAACCGCGGGAAAGGTTGTCCAAGCACGTGTTCACGCGGCTTAAAAAGGATCTTATTATGGACACATCGCTCAATATAGAATTCGGTAACGATGTGCATTCCTTCCGGAATTTGAGGGTGAGTATCGGGTTGCGAGGTTTGGGGCACGATGAGATAACGCCGATCTGGTGGCTCACTATGACGAGTTGAAGCGGCATCCTCGACAGACTCTGAGATCTGCCCATCATGAGATGAGATATGATGGCGTACAACTTCCTGTTTGCTCCGAGGGAAACCGTGGACATAAAAGCGACACGAGGAGAATACGCCGCTATCAAGAGGCTGAATGTGACTGTTGGATAACTGTTGGTCTCCAACGGTAGGACCCGTCAAGTCGGCCGCAAGAATAGGGGGCACGCTGGCCGGACGCTCACTCGTCATGGTGGCAGCTGACTTAGATAGATCGGTCGACGATTGGCCAACGAGAATGTCACCCCAAAGATTATCTCTTTGGCTAGTGAGCTTCATACTCGCAGTCTTCCTGAGCTTCCTCCTACTCTCGTCTCCCGGAGGAGCAGTCACGCCGTCACGCATCCTCTTACCCAGAGAGGCTCCTCGTTTAAGCTCCCTTCTTATCCAAGCCCCCTTGCCCCGTTCTTCCGCAGGCAATGTCGGGTCGTAGCACTCCTCGTTAAGTATCATACCTCGCTCGATGCTGTCGTGTAGCCACTCGATAGAGACGGTTCTTATCCCCCACTTCCGCGCGGCGACGTACTTCTTCCCTTCAGGTTTGCAGACGATAAGATGGGTAACGCGCCGAGAAAGATCACCAATATAATCGCCGCCGTTCGCTCTAACCTTATCCTCTATCATGACACGCGTATCATCTTTTTCTTGTCAGCACATCTAATCGCGGGTTCATTAGATAGACAACTTACTATCCTCGAATCCGGTTAAGCAGCATATCAGTCTTGTCTTTTCTCTTTGCTCCTCGATCGGACTTTTAGGGATACCACCGCCTGTTTCGAAAGTCTTTAGCCTCCACTCCTCCTCCAAGGCGGTAAAGTCGAAGTCCTTGTCTTCCAGCCACAGCCCCCGCACAGCATCGATCCAGCCGGCCGCCATAGGCTTGATGTCAGGCCTCTCCCTTGCGACATGGCGATATTTAGCTGTGTCGTAGTCTCCGACGATAAGATGGGTTACATCTGGAGTAAGGTCGTACTTATGGATGCCGCCTAGATCGATAGTTCGCTGGGCAATTTCTGTCTAAACAATGACACGATTAGTCGAGACAAATTCAACCAAGAATGTATATATACCTAGGTAATTAATGTACATGATCAAGAATCGCTTACACGTAGGTCTGCCTCGATACTTGTGCAGCAAAGAACGAGCCCCCCAAAAGGCTTAGAGGGATCAAACGGCTTATCTGGCGTCGGGGAAGAAGAATCCATTATCTCAGGGTACTTTACGGAAGCAAAGCATTGTAGCAACGGTTAAAAGTGTTAGGCGACTGGTAAGATGATAGGGTGGAGCGATATCTTTGTTAGCACCAAGTTCAAGTTCAAGTTCAAGTTCGACAACTTCTTAATTAAGTCGCGTCAAAGTTTCCAAAACGGCTTCTAAAGTCGCGTCGCCTTTTAGGGTGACTTCCATCCATTTACGTTCGGTACCTATTACCATGTACCGACCTAGTGAACGACCTGCAGTTTTAGTGGCTGAACGCCTCCTTTCAGCCAGGTTAGATTAGGTCATTAGGTACCTAGGTATAGTGGGTCTAGCTTGCTATTTCGATGCTCATCGTCCATTAGGTACATTCTACATCATCATCTTCCTCATCTTCCTCATCTCCCTCACCACCTATAACACTACGTTCAATCTTCCAACATCGGCTTCCAAGTAGTTACGTCAATCCTACATTACCTTGGTAGCGTTCATCCCGAATACAGGCACATCCCATATCCTCAACATATCTAGTAGAAACACCCTGTACATATAACTTATACCGTCACTACGGGAATCTCCGCTCCGCCTCTGCCGCCATACACTATTGCAAGGTATATATTTATTGTAATATGTATCGATATGGTTTAAGTGTTTGGTATATCCGCAAACAAGAGACATAATAGCCTCCTACCAAGCCACGTAGTCATAATAGATATGAACGACTGCCCCAGCGCTTCTAAAAGCCTGTCTTGACTGTCGTACGATGTACTACATATTCACCCTTCATTTAAATAACAAGGTATCCGATTCGTCTGTCCTGTCCGCCCTATATACTCTGTCGTGACTCTTCAAGCGTTCTTCACGTATTATATATGGCTGTTAGTCCGCCTCCTACATCATATTATGGAACTTCCCCGGCTGCTCGATATCTGATCGTACATAATGCCGAGTAGTATATGCTCGCTGTTTGCCCTTTAAATCTGTAAACATCTTGTCTTAACGATTATCGAATCATTCTGTCATTAGTTCCTTAAAAAGAAGGGAAATAATCATCTTTCGGCAATTATAACAACAGCTCGTTGTCACAGTTCATCATGCCTCATTATACGCCTTCCTCTCCATCTCCATCTCAGACTCCACATCCCCGTTCATCGTCCTGTTCCCGATGTAACACTTCTACGAATACCCAGAAGGGACGCCAACGGCCTCGATCACCATCACACTCAGATAAAAGGAAAGACGCATTAAAAACATCTTTAGTCTTTCTCGGTGCTGTCGGAGCTGCCTCGCTAGCTGCCTCCAAGCTTTGGCCCAAGGGCATACTTTACGGTGAAAAAGAATCGTGGGCACAGGAAGCAAAAGAGGAAGTTAAGCATGCTCTAGGTGGAAACAAGCCAGACAACAAAGAAAACCGGAGAAGAACTCGGAGCGTTGGTCATGGTAGCGGGGGCTCAAGACGCCAGCAACTGCCTCGGGTTGAAATGCGAGACGAAATCGTCGCCGAGAGACCCGGTCATCGTAGTATGTACAGATGATGACCACGGTAGGCGATGCCGCTCTGACGCTTGAGAGAGAGGAATCAACAACGAGCCGAGTAGATTAAGAAACCCCCGGGCTTCAAATTCCGATAGATAAGCTCAGCTAGGACGTTCGGAAGGGGACAGCTAGGTTTATGTGCATAATGATTAACGAAATTAGTTTCTTCACCAACATCAATCAAAGTATCATGAATGCGGGCACGAGATATACTCATTCCATCTAATTAGACTCATCCTGTCTGTGGCGTACAAGGGAAGGGTTCGATAATAAGTAAGGTTATTCAAAAGAGGATATGAGTATACGTGTCTAGTCTATCTATCACATATTTACCTAGAATTATCAGGAGGTTTTCCATAGCATTACATACCATATATAATCCGTACCCCTTATAAGATCAATAAAAGCATAGAGGTATAGGTGGTAATGTGTTAAACATTTGACACTCAGTCTCCATAAAGTGATCAAGGACAAGTCCACCGCTTAATGAAAGCTTCGGGTTTAATTGGCCAGTATTTCGAACATACGTATGTACTTGGTAGTGTACACTAATGCAGGGCCGGACAGACAAAGCAGCCTGAACCAGGAACAAAAGACGACTTCAATGTTAGTGGCCGCTAAACCCCTGTCCAACCCATGTCTAATGACGCCAACATAATGTTCGCCGTTCCTGGATCCTCCCCGTCATCATTCATCGTCATCTCGCATTATGTAAATAAGACAAGCAGTTGTCCAAGTAGATCAGCCATGCCGGGGTGGTCTGGGGAAGGATAAAAACGAAGGGTCTACCTCTCTTCCATACCCTTAGCCAGTTTCCATCTGATACCGCATTCTGCGACAAACACAATGGCCTCGTCATTCGTTGGAGAGCTGCTTTGGCTCAGTGCGCTCGTTCTTCTAATACTTCAACCATGTTCTGCCGCGTCTCTCTATTCCACATATAAATTCAACCCTCTGGAACATCTTGGCGGCGTAGCCCCGTACTTCGAGCCCCAAGACCCGCCGACGTCGCCGTCGCCTCCACAGGGTTGTTCAGTGTCCCGAGCGGTCTATCTCTCTCGCCACGCTGCAATCTACGCTAACGACTACGACTACGAAGCGTACATCGACCCATTCGTATCCAAGTTGGAAAACAACACCGCGGTCGACTGGAGCAAGGTTCCAGCGCTCAGCTTCCTCGCCGGTTGGACAGCCCCGCTGACGGATGCGGAACAAGAGTTGTTGACTCGCGCGGGTAGACTAGAAGCGGCGCAACTTGGCGTAACGCTGTCTTTCCGGTACCCTAATCTCAGGCTGCCGTCTCGTATATGGACATCCTCCGCCGAGCGCACTGAAAAATCGGCCGAGTCGTTCGCGAGGAGCCTCGAGCTAAATGAGGATGGAATCAACGTCGTGAGCATTTACGAATCCGAGGAAGCTGGCGCGAACAGCCTCACGCCGTACAAAAGTTGTCCGGCCTACTCGTCGTCATTTGGCAGCGATCAATCAGCAGTCTATCTCGAAAAGTTCACCAAGCCCATAATAGCGAGATTGAATGCGATAGCCCCCGGGTTTAATTTCACGGCCAACGACGTGTATGGCATGATGGAACTGTGCGGGTACGAATCTGTTATTCGTGGTAGCTCCCCATTCTGCGACCTGGACCTCTTTACGCCAGACGACTGGCTTGGCTGGGAATATACGGCCGATATCATGTACCACTACAACGTGGGATACGGTAATCAGATCTCTGGCGTGGTGGGGTTACCTTGGCTTAATGCATCGGCAAGCCTACTTTTAGAAGAATCGTCTGGGAAGCAAGATATATTTGTTAGCTTTACTCATCGAGAGCTACCTCCTATGGTCTTTGTTGCCATGGGTTTGTTTAATAATTCCGAGTTCAGCGGAGGCGAGGCCTCTATTAACGATACGATGCCGCTAGACCGTATCAACCACCGGCGCGCGTGGAAAAGTTCGCACGTATTGCCTTTTCTGAGCAACGCGGCTATCGAGAGGCTGAATTGTTCAGGTAGTTATGGTTACGAAGACGGTGATTACTATCGGATACTCGTGAATAGTGCGCCTCAACCACTGCCTAACTGTGCTGATGGGCCGGGTACAACTTGCTCGAGGGCAGGGTTTGAACAGTATCTTGAAGAACGAGTCGACATGTTCCAAGGGTTTTCTGAGAGGTGCGGGGTGGACAACGGTAACTCGACTGATATCTTATCAATTTATACGGATGCGGGAGTAGGTAACGGTACTGCTGTTGGGAAGAGGTATAAAGCGTTGTGTGAGAGGGATATTGATATGAGATTATTGTAAGATTATTTGTTGTTGGATGGTAGATTCAATTATTACCATTCCACCACTAACTTAATTGTACCTATGTAGGTAGGTACCTATGTACCTAGGTAGATAGACCCCGCAATCCAAGTACCCAAGTACCCAAGGTATACCTATTACGTAAGTACTTCCTTCCAAGTGTTGGTACATTCCTAGACTTCTAAAATCGAAACTATCAATTACTTTCCCATCATTAATAAACAGGCGATAGTAGGTAGGCAAACAAAATGTAGTTGCTAAGCTACAATACCTACCTACTTTAGGTCAGTACGGCACGTACCGCAACTAAGTTTATCAACCATCACTCCCACGTCTCCCGCCGTCCGCTCTAGATTAGATTCACCGATTCTCACGCAACGGACGCGCAAACATGGCGCCGCGAACATCCATCGAAGAGTTCAAGCAGCTCTTAAGTTCTAGCAACAGGGTCCTGGCTCTCTGTGGTGCCGGTCTATCAGCAGCCTCTGGACTTCCAACCTTTCGTGGTGCTGGCGGTCTATGGCGCAATCACGAGTCCACTTCCCTCGCAACCCCAACGGCCTTCAAAAAGGACCCAGCCCTTGTTTGGTTATTCTACGCATGGCGTAGACACATGGCGCTAAAGGCGAATCCCAACCGTGGCCATTATGCCCTTGCCGAGTTGGCCAAGAAGATGGACAACTTCCTGTGCTTAACTCAGAACGTTGATGGTAAGCCTACCTACATTCCCAACCATGGCGAAGCTCTATATCACAAAAAATGTATCACGGCAAGCCTCTAATAATATGATCCCGTCGTCTTAGGTTTGTCGCCACGCGCTGGACATCCCGAATCTAAGCTTCGACTCCTTCATGGGAGCATCCTTGATAACAAATGCTTCAACGACGATTGCGACTACGTCGACCGGAATAATCTAAGCGACCCCGTATGCCCGGCTCTCGCCCCTGCCGCTGAGGACTACCTGCCTGACCAGACTCTTCCGTTACTCGATCCTAACGTTCCCGTACCGCCCATCAAGGTCGAGGATCTCCCGCATTGTCCGAATTGCAAGACGGGCTTGCTCCGACCCGGCGTCGTTTGGTTCGAAGAACCTCTCGACGAACAGATGCTCACAGATGTTGACAGCTGGATCTGGCAAGGACGCATCGATATTATGCTCGTGATTGGAACGGCGGCTGTCGTCTATCCTGCTGCAGGTTATGCGCACCAGGCTGTAGAACAGGGGGCTATTATCGTGGTAGTGAATCCCGACCCTGACTCAGCAGAAGGCCTATTGGAGGAAGATTTCTTCTTTCAAGGAGACGCTTCTGAACTCCTACCGAAACTCTTTGAGGGTGTTATCGGGAAGATGGATGAGAACGGGAAGGTCCTGTAAATCCACTAGATATGAGATGTTGTTTTCTTATGATACCCCGTTTATAATGCGATAAGTATTGCGCAAACGATATATAAAGTGCTTGGCCGATAAAATCAAGGATTTGGTCGTTATTAAAATACCACCTCGTCTTAGTAAAGTATCGAAACCCCCAGCAGCAAATCGTATTCATAGTTCCGTTAAACCAACAGAAGTACTATTCTAATAAGATACGATAGTAATTTTATACGAGTATAACTTCAATCGTCAAGTAGAAGTATCCCAACCTATTTTATCCATTAAACCAAAATATTGATTACCTATTCATGAAACGATCTATTTTCCCTCGTAACTGGTAAGATGGCTGCGTTTATGTCATATTATATTTGTGTATTGGCGACTACGTGATCAACTACTGGTAACATATTGAAGGGCGGAGAAATGAAGTTGGTACGTCTAGGTACCTAACCCCTTCACGATCACCTTCTCATCAACAACTACTCGGTTTATTGTGAGTAGCCTAGTAACAAATAGGAAGTCGAGCAAGCACTCCCTGCTGATTATAGGGTCTAGGTCGGCCGGTAACACCGTATACTTTTAAACTACCTCAAACGAGCCATATCTGTAGACTCTACCCGCCCTCAGAACCACATTCCGAGGGTTAATACGCCGGCATGTAGTACCCTACATACACCCAGATGAGATCAGATCTCTCGTAACGACGACCTTATCAGGTTATCACAGCCAGGCGCATAACTCAGATACCACCCTCCTGCCGAATGTAGCCTAGGTCAAGTAGTATTCGCAGAGGATGGGCGGGAGATCACCCCGGACTTGGCAAGTCGATACAACTCGAGTGGTCAGGACCTTAGATTACGAGCCAGTCGGCATGGTTGGGAAGATGCCTTGACGTCGAACCCATGTAACGGTAGGATCAATTGGTTGAGCATAGCATAGCACGCAATTGCAATATGTAAAGATTTATTTACTTACTACTACGTTGATGTTTATTAATTTGCTCGCAGCTCCCCTCACGGAGTAGTTGAGGGCACTCGTTTGTTCTTCACCTTCATTTGGCGAGGGAGGGAAGAAAACCACAACGAAAGACTCACTGTGCAATTCTTCGAGGAAAAGCTCTCACCATGCGCTCTCTTCTTCTCCTCTTCGCCTCGGCCGCGACGGCTAAGGTGATGGACAGTCTCGCCTCCGTCCCTAAAGGCTGGGCAGAAGTTCGTCAGGCCTCTCCAAATGACCCTGTTACCTTGCGTGTTGGTCTCAAGCAGCAACATGCGGCTGCGCTGGAGCAAGCCGTGATCGAGATTTCTACGCCGGGGCATCCAAACTACGGCATGCACCTATCGCGTGACGAAGTCCGGGCTTATACGGCACCGACAAAAAGATCTATCTCGTCAGTTGCCGATTGGTTAACCAAGAGCGGCGTCGAGTCCACGGTAAATAACGACTGGATCACTTTCAAGACGGATGTTAAAACCGCAAACGACCTGCTTGGCGCGAACTTCGCCTGGTACCAATATGAGAAGGGTGGCAGTCCCAAGTTGCGGACGTTGTCGTACAGCGTCCCCGACGAGCTTGCAGGAAGCATCGATCTCATACAGCCGACCACTCGATTCGGCCAGCTCGGCGCCAAGAGGTCAACCATTTTTGAGATGCAGCTCCTTGAGCCCGAGGAAGAGGATGCCGTAAAGGCGGACATGGCCGTCGATGCCGCCGACTGCAATACCTCGAGGATCACGCCCGCCTGTCTCAAGTCACTGTACAATATCAAGTACACCGCGCCCACCGAGGGAAACCTGGTTGCATTCAGCTCTTACTTGGAGGAATACGCCCGGTATTCGGATCTGCAGTCCTTCGAGAACCAGTATTTGACGCAGGCCAAAGGCCAGAACTTCAGCGTCGAGTTGGTCAATGGGGGTCTAGATGACCAGAGTAGTAACGACGATAGCGGTATGTTGCGGCCCTTGTCAGAAATTGCCAGACTGAACATTTACTAAACATTTACGCAGGGGAGGCAAACCTCGATGTGCAATACATATTAGCCATCAGCAGCCCTATCCCGATCCGCGAATACAGCACTGGTGGTCGTGGGTGAGTTGTTAGCCATTTTTATAACTGGGCTTTAAACATGACTGACAGTTTATTGAAGACCGCTTGAACCTACGCAGGACGAGCCTGGGCCCTCGTCAAACGAGCCTTACTTGGAATTCCTGACGTACCTCCTCGATCAAGACGATTCTGCTTTGCCGCAGACGCTCTCCACCTCGTACGGAGAGGAGGAGCAGTCGGTACCAGCGGAGTATGCGCTCAGAGTATGTAATCTATTCATGCAACTCGGCGCCCGCGGTGTGAGCGTGTTGTTTTCATCCGGCGACTCTGGACCAGGTGATTCGTGCATAAGAGAGTCAGACCAAGCGCCGTATTTCCAGCCCTCATTCCCCGCAGGCTGCCCGTACGTGACCTCTGTCGGTGCTACTTATAACGTCGAGCCCGAACAGGGCGTGAGCTTTTCGAGCGGCGGTTTCAGCTCGCTTCACGCTCAACCGGCGTGGCAGGCAGATTCTGTCAATGCGTACCTAAAATCAATAGGCAAAACCTATTCTGCGTACTTCAACTCGTCCAACAGAGGCTTCCCCGATGTTGCGGCTCAGGGGAGTCGGTTTATAGTCATCGATAAGGGCAGATCTGCGCTCCTGTCGGGTACGAGTGCTTCGAGTCCCGTCTTCGCCGGTGTGGTAGCTCTCCTAAACGCCGCACGAAAGAGCCAAGGTCAGCCGCCGCTAGGCTTCCTCAACCCGTGGTTATACAACAACAGCGCCGCCCTGATAGATATAACATCCGGTTACGGAAGCGGTTGCTCGGGTAACTCAGCTTTCAGAAACGGAGCAAGGTGGAATGCCACTGCGGGATGGGACCCTGTTACGGGATTGGGTACCCCCGACTTTGGAAAATTGCTCGCTGCTGCCGCCCCAGGAGTAGAGAACGCTTAAAAGAGATTCATTCTACGAGTCCTGTAAATACCTATGTATCTAACTTATCTAAAAGTAAATTAATTTATTTGCTAACCTTTGTCGTCTAATCCTGCTGCCTAAATCCTTTAATCCTACGTTTTGATCAGGCAGATTCTTGAGCATCATCAATATCTGGTTGGCCGAAACATACGGCGCTGAGGAGTCAAGTGAAGATCATAGTGGCTGTGCCAAGTAACCAACAATCACAGCTGTGCCGCATTCTAAGAGATAAAACCCCTTTGGCCTTTCAAGCTTGCAGAAAGCGCCTAGGCAATCTATGGTATTTTATTGATCCCATATGTTAACTATAAGGATACCATGGCTTTGAACAAGATTGAAATTCCGATCCCCCGCCTTCGCCCCTGGACGGGCGGCAGTGCCCTCTTTATTACACTCGTCGTCGCGGTTTTGCTTTATGCAAATATCTTGTCTCAACATGTCTACTTGATAGAGTGGATGAGAGAACACGACCTCAGATGGTCAGGCGGATTTCATATCTGGTTCGGAAAGGAACGCCTCCAAACACCTTGGCTACCTACTCTCTTGTATCGAGGCCCTCATCATCAGCTCGCTATCGCAGCGTCTATAGTGAATATTATTGTCAGCTTTCTAGTAATGGGCCTCTTCGTTACCAGCGTTTACGTCAAGAAGGTTTGTCACTCTCCTAGTAATGCACCGACAGAGATGAGAGCTAACATGCATCGATAAAAAGAACTTTCGGCAGCACTGGCTTCTCCTTGCTCTCTTTATCCCAGCTATCACTCTTACTACTACGGCACTCCTCTATAACTTTATCGAGCATGGGATTACCGGCCGTCTGGATACGTACAGCTTATACGTAGCAGCGTCTCCTACATCATACTCCCCGTACGGTCGCAACTGGATGGACTTTGAAAGTTGGAGTTGTGGTCTAACCCAACTATCTATGGATGGGGGACCGCATTCAGATAGGTCTATCTGGGTGGATAACTGTCACCGGTCGCAGCTCGGTAGATGGCTTCTTTTAGCTTTATGGTTTGTCCTCTGTGCTACCATCTTCATTTCTTGGTTCGCATTCCGTGGACTTCCCGGCTGGAGAGGAAAATCGGATGACGAAGATGAAGTCGAAGGCGGAGAAGGGAGACTTAGGCTGTAGAAGCCTGCTCCGTATTAGCATAACGATTTGATAACGATTTGTTGCTTGAGTAGATAACTAAGAACAGCCACGAGGAGGAAGACTTCTTCAGTAGTTAGCTATACTTGTTTGATCTCTTTTCTCTCCTTGTAGCTCTGAATTTGGCCTATCCTTTCTGGAAGCATGTTGGTCGTCTTTTTTTATTACGGATCTAAGCTAGCTTCTGGTAAATATCATGTTATTAATGGTATTTACTTAAATTCTCTTTAATTATCCACCATCAAGACTGCTCTTCACGAATATTGGTTCTAGAATAATAACTAAGGTACCTAATCTACTCGGTTACTCTTCTCGGCGAGAGATCTTTCGTATCTAGGCCTAATACCATACAAGACGGAAATGATCATATGAGATGGATGGAAAACAGCCGAGACAAAGAAGTTTGTTCTAGGCCCATCTATCACCCAGTTAGCACAGAGGACTAGACAACTCGTCGATACCTTTCTTTTAGTCCCAGTCTCCCGAACCCATGTTAACCGTAGAGTTTTCGACGTCTTTCTGCATGTCATCGATGTTCCAGGGCTCGTACTTATAGCCGGGCGGATAGTTTGGCGGCACCGTGTCGACTTGATCAAAAGGAATTCCCTTCCTGATAGTTTCAGCCATCTTCTCGTAGTTCTCGTATGCGTACTGCTCAGGGTCATGCTTCCAGATCCATCTTGGGAGCTTAGGCTGCGCTAGCTTTGGGTTGAGCTTGACTTTCTCCCAGTTGGTGTGCTGGAGAAGCTCTGCATTGGTGAATCCCATCTTCTGCGCGCAGGAACATCGGATGAAGCGGAGACGCACATGTGTGCTTACTGCTTCTGGTACGTTTTGCTTTCCTCCAATCTGGAGGCAGGAAGCCAACGAGACGGCATCCTCGATGGCTTGCGTAGCGCCGTTGCCCGAGGCGGGCAGGAAAGAATGTGCGGCATCGCCAATGAGAACCACGCGGGCGCCTGGGGAAGCCCAAGTCGGTTGGGGATCGCGCCAGAATAGTTCAAAGTTGACGATAGTCTTGGATGGTGTCAGCTTGACGAGCTCCTTGATCCTAGGGTCCCAAGTGAGCGGGCCCAACCCTTTGTCGATGTTCTTTAATACATCGTCTGATTCGACGGTATGAGTCCAGCTTTCTTCCTCGGAGCCGGTAATCTATACCTGATCAGCACGCCGAGCTGAGCATTACTTTCATGCATCATCACCTACATCGTGGTTCATAATCCACACGCAAGTCTCCTGACGAATCAGGACCATGGCGTACGTTCCGGGGCTACCGAGTTGCAACTATTAGCCAAACAACGTCCGGCATGGGAAGCGATGGGAGCGCCACGTACCCAAGCCATGTTCTGACCATTGGCTCGTCGTTGTTCGGACCGCCCATATTCAAAAACTCTTTGAGCTTAGGGTTCTTGTCTAAGTGGTGTATTGGGAAAGCTGCTCGCCACATGGCTCTGCCGGCACTCATCGCTCTAACTTGCCCGCCTACCAGCTTTTGGCCCTTGGAACCTACACCGTCCGCGGCGATTACGACGTCGGCTTCGAAGCGCTCGCCCTTGTCTGTCACGACGCCTGCCTTCTGACGTTCTTGGTCCTCATAGTAGTCAACGACGCGCTGGCCGAATTGGATTTGAATTCCTTGCCTCTGGACTTCGTTTAGATACATCTGGTAGATGAGCGGCCGCATCTGAAAAGCGCCGGGTGGCGTGTTCGGATCCATACCAGCTTGACGCAAACGCTCTGAAACCTTTAGTGGCGTTATCATCCGTTCGCCGACATGCTTGAAAGTCTCGATCCAGGCATTATTCATAGATATCAGCTCATACTCTTTCGATAGCTCGGGCCAGTGACGAAAGAACTTGGTAGCACTGTGACCCATGAAGTACATATCGCCTAGATGGGGGCAAAAACAAAGTCACGTTCTCAGCGTATTGCAGGTATTTGCAGGGGGGGGAGGGCGTCTAAGTCCAGCTACATACCTGCGGTATTAATATCATCATGGCGCTCAATAATGCGCACGTTGTGTCCCTTGCGCGTGCATTCAATAGACGCCGTTAGTCCCGCAAGCCCGGTACCAACAATTAAGACATCGATACCCGACGGCGGGTAAGATCCTACGGGCCTGCAGTCGGTATCATTAAGGGAACCCATCTTGTGAATATGTGGCTTGGACTCTTGGACTTTTGGACTTTTGAACTCTTGAACTCTTAGACGTAGACCTAGTGAAGTTCAGAAAGGCGCATAAGCAGTGATCGAATTAAAGGAGCAGTATGCCTCTTCGTCAAGTGCTTCTTGGCCAGGTCCTTTCGGCGACGATGCTACTCTATTAAGAATATAATATATGGAAACTAGAAGAGTAAATTGTACATGACGGAACAGCGGGTGTGGCCACGAAGCCTCAGTATGCTTTTTTCGCGCCACTCGGTCATTAACCTAAAGTCTACCGTCGTCGCGGAGGTTGAAGTGTCCTACAAAGTGCCGACCCTTGATCCTGTTCGGACCCGAAGTATATTCCTGACCACCCAAACGCAATGTGCCTGGACACCTTATTGGCTCATTTCACCTCGATGTATGCCAGTATACCTAATCATAATTGCAGCGGACATAACTTACCCAGGTAATATCCTACGCGTCCGTATACGCGTTAAAAGTTCTGTCGGGACTAGTTAATCATAAGAAAAGATGTTACTTATAAGAGTTATAAAAGTAAACATGATACCGCTAATGGATATATTAAATATGATATAACCATCAAGGAACTGAGACCGACATATATGCGGCTGGTTTATAGTTTAAAAGCCAATATGCTACCTAGTCTTACTCAGATCGTCGGGCCAAGGGAGGCGGTACATACATAGCCGTCGATGGGCTGGTTCCACGACGTGCGCCCACCGCAATGGAACATAAAACGTCTTTTATATTATCAATGGGCTGAGTCGTATCGACCTTAAAACTTACGCTACGATGTCTTGATTGGATCACCAACCGTCACAGTCGCTTATCTACCCTATCGACCTCTCAACACCATCAGGATGTTATGGGCCGGCACTTTATGCATACCTAGGTATACATATACGTATGCGCCTACCAAATGTATGTACACCTATTGTATGTACACCTACCTACCTATGTATACCGTACGCGGGAAGATATGCGGCACCGATAGTTCAGCTATACGCGTGCTTACAAACGGTCCACTCCAACTTACAACAACATATGCCAACTGATATTCGAATCTTAGCATCAAGGCTTAAACACACGGGGATTTTCATACCTATTAGCATCACCATTTACGCGTGAGCTAGTGAGCATAAGTGATTCGGTGTCTATCAATTTTAGTATTTATTAATAAATAGGTATCTAGCCCCTTAACCCGCGATATATTGCTATTCCACAATAATACCGAAGCGGCAGCATCAGCCCCGTCACCTGGCATTTCGCTTTTACATATCAACGGAGGTTGTCCGGACTTTGTTGGCCGGACTTGACTGTTTTGGGCGATATTCTACGACATATGCAAGTGGCTTTCCGGCCTATCGATGTTCGCCCTACGATCTCACTGTTGCCACGACGAAATCGGGCAATGGACCCTACAATACCCTTGGCTATCTTGTATGGAATGTTTCGGACTTTTAACACTCGAAGCTATTCTCGGAAGTACCTTGTTTCTAGAAGAATGTAAACTTTAAAAAGCATAATTTTATAAGCATAACTGGGTACGATCGTACCTGATGCCCGGTCATACTTTGATGTCAGCCTGAGTAGGGGACACCCGGTTAAGAATCGATACATCGCACCATCGCCCTTGAAAGCCCGACGATTCTCGCCGCTCAACACCATCGAGGGTAATTACTACAAGTAGAGTTATCATTGTGTCGCTTAGTGCCTAAGGTGTATAGTTTAAATCGTGTGAAAGCCCTGCGAATACATCTTGTCCGGGAAGTGTTCTGGTCAGTCCGTTCCGCAGCCCTTCCTCAGTTTAAATTCCTGCTATACTCGTACACAAGACCTTGTTTCTACCCAGTGGTTGATCATGCAACTGTTTACGCCGGCAATCCTCTGCGCCGCCCTCATCGGCGTGGTAGCTATCCACTTGGTTAAGTTATTCAGGGAGATTAACCACCCGCGTAAGATACCCGGTCCGACCTTACTACCATATATCGGTCGTATACATGACCTTCCCATCCAGTACATGTGGCTGAAGTTCAAGGAATGGGCCGACCTGTATAGCGGCACGGATGGCTTTTACTTCACGGAGATGCTCGGGGCAAAGTTCTTAATTGTCACGAAAGAGAATGTGGCCGAGGAGCTCTTGGTGAAGCGCGCGAAATACAACTCAGACAGGCCCATGGTAAGGTCTCTATTCGACTCGAAGAGCACGCATGGATCGATGGAGTATCTCCCCCTGATGGGAAAGAACCGTGAGTGTCCAACGGATTAACTAGCAAATCTCATTACTAAATAAGACGTGGGTTAGAGTACTGGTCTCGGCAACGCAAATTTACCCATGCCTACCTGACAGAAGCGAGCAACGCTCACTACTATGGTGTTATGTATCATGAGGCTAAACGCTGGCTCGCTCGGTTGATCGAGAACCCTGACGACTTCGAATTCTCCTTGGAGGATATGTCATCCAAGGTTATGTGCCAGCTAGCTTGGGACGACACGGATCTCAGCGAAGCCTGCACAAAGAGCGCATGTGGCCTTTTAAACCAGATGTCGCCAGCTGGACCAATCACTAACGTCATAACCCCCCTTTGGCATCTACCCAAGATGGTAAACCCCTGGAAGATCGCCGAGCACAAGCGACACGACGAACAGCAGGCTTGGTGGATGGAACGCCTGACGAACACGCGTAACGCACTAGAACGGGGACGGCAGAGGGCCTGCTTCACTAGCCAATACATCGAAAGAGGAGAGAAGCGCTCAAATATCTCTGGCGACTATGAAGCTTCTTGCGTCATAGGGATGATGGCTCTCGTCGGCATCTTCACCGTAGTCGGCCCCTTGTCATACTTCTTGGTGTCCATGATACATCATCCAAAGTGGCAGGCGGCCGTGCAGAAGGAAGTTGACGAGGCATGCGAGGGGCGAGTACCAACTCTCGACGACGCGCCTAAGCTTCCAATCCTCCGAGCTTGCATCAAGGAAACGATGCGATGGAGGCCAAACGTGCCCACAGGTTAGTTAACAACAAAACGTAGGAATAGAAGAAGGCAACTGACACACTAGTACTAGGCGTCGCGCATGAGATGGAGGCCGACGATGAATTTCGCGGTTACTTTCTCCCCAAAGGAACAAGGATACTTCCATTAGACTGGTAAGTGAAGTGCCAATCTGTTCAGTCTGTTATAATTTATAGTCCTGTTGTATAAAATACTAAAAGTCGGCAGGGCATTCCTTCGTGATCCAGAAAAGTATCCTGACCCGGATAACTTCAGGCCCGAGCGTTGGTTGGAACCGGGATGGCCGACGTATCAGGAGCCGCTTAGCATGTATCCTACCATTAAAGGCATGACGTCATTTGGTTGGGGGCAGCGTCAGTGTCTAGGACAGTCGCTCACGCAAGACGAACTCATAGTGGCTTGCGGCGCGCTTAGCTGGTGCTTCAACCTTAAAGCGAAGAAGGATCCGGTCACGGGCCAGGAGATAGCAGTTCCTCACGACAAGTCGAACTCTCTACTGATTATCAGGCCAGATTCCTTTCAGATGGCTTTCGAGCCGAGGAGCGAGGCCCGAAAGGAGGAGGCGCTTAGGCTATGGGCCGAGTCTGACGCCAAGTATCGGCAAGAAAAGGAAGAGTTCCTCAAAGCCGCGGAAGAGAAGAATCAGAATATGGAAGTTGTATAAGATGTACAAGTGGTATAGATCGCATGAGAGAAGAACGGCGGGTATATCATTGAGAGTTGGATTTAGACGGCTAAATTTACGGTCGTTACATAACATATGTTGGATTAAAGATCATTGATTGATTGAATTAACACTAAGAACATTACTGTTTTTGTTGCCTGCAAGCGGCAAGATGATGAAAAGGGCAAGACTTGGTGATTGAAGCTATTTAGAAAGTGCCAAGCTAGTATGGGTCTAGTCTGCCTAGGCTCACCGCCTTGACAGGTGCACAGGCCACATATGGGGCAGTGCAACAGTTTCATCTTGACTTTATACTTTTCACAGAACTATAGTATTATTTTTCTTTAGTTAAGCGAATGATTCATGGAAGTTTACTTGATAAAAACCAGAAAATAAAAAAAGAATAACAGCCTTTACTGCTAATAGCTAAAGCCGTTAAAAAGATGGGAAAAATAAAAAATAAAATAAAAAAAAGAGAAAGGCCTTACATACGGTGTAGCAATTGTATGCGGAATACGCATTTATAACCCCCATTAATAGCTGGTGGTATAATAGATCTATTCGTTAGCAAGGCGCTTATAAATTCCGTCTGTCGGCCCTTGAGATGGGAGCGTAGACGGAGCCACGGTAATTACTGTGTCCGATATCATATCGGTCAGGTCAAAGTTACGGGTTATAATTCGTAATCCGGCGGCGGCGGCAAGGCGGCAGCTACCGTATGCCGTCAGAAATTGACGTGTCGCCTAACGCAAGCTTCGGTACCTTAGGTACCTACCTATCCCAGCGTTAGGTACTTGTAAGAGTTTATAGCGTCTGTCGGTACCGATCAAACAAACGTTGCGTAATGGTAAGCATTGTAACCCCCCGCCATTGTCCCCCCCTATAAGCCTTTTACGCTTCTATATCATGTATGTTTTTTGCTAGCCTTTCGGCATACAAAGACTTTCGACTAATGATTCCTTAAAAAGCTTCCCCAATATCTGACCCGTGGACCTGACTTGTCTACAAGTGTTTCAATATCATACCACCTAAGCCACCTGAGACCGGGCGGATTCATCGGATCGAATGACAAACGACGAGCAGATACTGACGACAATAGAGTCTCGGCACGGACAACGACGTAAAACATTACAATATATAAATCTACTTAGGTAGATTCGACGAGGGATGATTCAAAGTCTTCTTCTAAGAATCAAATCAATCAAGTCAATCAAGTCGTGAGCATCCCTTCCGTCGTCATTACGATCAATAAATAGAAAACATAATTAGAAATAAAGTCGCAACCATCAACTATGGCTGTATCTCCCGAGGCCGTTCTTGGAACTACCGTTGCGTTTTCCTTTATCCTCTTCGGTCAGTATAGAATGAATCATAAGAGGTAACCGTCCTGACACTTGTATAGGAAATGCCATCACGCAGTCATTCATGGGTGTTCCCGCTTTACTGGTTGACTTCCCGCCGCCATCGTCGCCCGAGCACGCAGCCCGCGCGCGATTGCTTGGTCGGCAGTGGCCCGTATTCTGGGTTGTAGGCAATCAATTCTTCAGGCCGATTAGCACGCTCGGCATCTTTGGCTACGCCTATACATCATGGGTAGCTTCTACGCAGGGGCCGGATGGCAGACTTGGTGACTGGCGACCGTACGCGGTATCGGCGCTGTGCCATCTCATCACCGTTGTCCATTCCGCGGCCAACATGCAGCCTATCAACCAGAAAATCGATGCCCTGCGTGAGCCTAAGGGCAAGGTCGACCCCAAGCAGGCCGAGAGTTACGCTCGGAAATGGATCAAATTCAACACCGTGCGCCTCATTACGCCGGTCGTTGCTGGGTCGCTGGCTCTCTTCCAGTTGTTGAAACTACATTAGAGTATGGGCAAGGGCGCGGGTACTCTTCAGTTCCGCAACGTCTAGGAATGGGTTGTCTCGGCTGGGTTATTGGTCCTGGTACATGCTGTATAGCATATAAGTTACTTACGTAGACGCTTCTCCTACACCTTCTTTTAGCCCCTATTAATTCCGCCTTTATACCACATGTTATTTAGAACGATTGTTGCTTGGCCACCAAATCTTGAGCAAAGAGACAATCAAAATTGTTAAAACTATTAGATTGACATTCAACATATAGTTTCACTTTTTTTCTTCTTTAATAATTAAATATAGAATTGCAGCTTTTGCAACTTCTACATAGCGATCACCAAGGTACCCGTACCTATACACGCCTCTCATAACATGCTTCTCGCAGTATAAGGGGCAAGTCACTCATTACACCTAGACTTGTACGTAATTTCGGCAATGCGAATTTAGGTACATGGATAAAGCGTAAATGTGTAGTAAAGATTGTTACTATAAGAACCTAGAAATAGAGTTGATTTCAACTCCCTTTAGAAACTCAAAAGATGGCCCGCCGACCTAGATACAACAAAAAGATTACCATGATAACCTGTGCTAGTCCCAACCCAAATAGTAGTACCATCGATTTGGAGCCCGTCGTTTCGTTCCTGGCCCCTTTCTTCGTCCCCATACCACCGTCTAGCTTTGCGTAGTTCACGTCAAAGTTATCCGGCGCGTGTTTCCGGGCCATCTCTAAAGCCTTTGCGCTATCCACAAACTCTGTCACCCTGGAAACCCGAGTGCCGTCAGGGGATAACTGGATTATCATTACGCATTCGTTTATCCATTCTCCAGCTCCCCCCTTTAGCATTCCCTGCATTCGTGCGTGGACTACTGCCATATTCCCTGGCCCGTCATCGACGATTGACTTCGGGACCATTCTGAATTCGTCGAATACGTTGAAGATGCCGGCGGCGTGCTGGGCGAACGCCTCCCTATTTCGGGGCATCATGCCTAAGCTTTCTGGTAATACCTGATGGTAAAAGTCAGGTGTTGTTGACATGAGAAGCTGCGGAACCGACAGGCTCCCGTAGCCATCTAGTAGCGCATTAACCGTGTTGCGCCGCCGAGTCTGGGCCTCGTCCATAATGACGACCGAGAAGGTGTATTCCTCTAGCGTCGTAGAAGTCTAGGTTGTAAGTTGCTGCCGCCCATAAGGTGGTGGACAACGGTTTTGTTCATCAAGCGAGACTGGCAGGGCATGCAGGACATCGGACGGGAGGGACCTAATAAATCCCTGAGTTTTTTTCCGCAAGTCCCCAAAGAAGGCTGCGTCGTGCTTTATGCCACGAAGCGTTCCGCGTAGGTTTATAACGGACGCTGACAGCTACGGACGCTGACAGCTACGGACGCTGACAGCTACGGACGCTGACAGCTTCGGGCGCTGAAAGGTTTGACGCGGCATCATACCCCCCCTACCTAGGTGCATACACCGAAAGGGGGGTTGTCAGACTAAACTCTGATATGCCGACGTATGTGAACGCAACTCTTCTATTTGACAATCTAAATAGTCCCACGCTGTGGCTGCTGACCTCCTCCGCACGACTGCCGCACAACTGACACATCATCGACTAGATCCAGCCAATAGCCCAGCATGTCGAAAGTCCTTCTCATCACAGGTGCTACAGGAAAGCAGGGTGGTGCAGTGATAAGTGCACTTCTCGACCGGGACCCTAGCAAATTCACGATTCTCGCCGTCACACGCGACGTCAACAGCATCAGCGCTAAGAATCTTGCCCAGAAATCATCCTCGATCAAACTCGTGCAGGGCAATCTTGATAACGTCCCTAGCTTATTCTACGAAGCTCGAAAGATACATCCCCAACCTATCTGGGGTGTCTACTCTGTCCAGATCTCTATGGGAAAGGGGGTGACCCTCGAGGGTGAAGTTGCACAGGGCAAGGCTCTCGTTGACGAGTCTATCAAGGCCGGTATCAGACATTTCGTTTACAGCAGCGTCGAGCGCGGCGGAGACGAAGCATCGTGGGACAATCCGACCCCAATACCTCACTTCCAGAGCAAGTACCACATTGAGCGGCATCTCCGAAACGCCACCGGCCCGGGAAAACCGGGCGCGAGTATGGGTTGGACAATCCTGCGTCCGGTGGCTTTCATGGATAATCTAGCACCCGGGTTTCCAACCAGGGTTTTCATGGCCGCGCTACATAACCACTTGAGAAATAAACGTATGCAATGGATTGCCACGTCGGACATTGGCGTGTTTGCTGCCAAGGCGTTTGCTGACCCCGAGCGCTGGAACCGGAGGGCCGTTGGTCTCGCAGGCGACGAGTTATCATGGGAGCAGCTTAATGCCTCATTCGCCAAGGCGACGGGGTCCCCCGTACCGGTGAGCTACTGGTTCCTCGGGAGCGCGCTGACATACATGGTCACCGAGATGGCCCTGATGATTGGATGGTTCGCCAGCGATGGCTATAAGGCAGATGCTACAGCTCGACGCAAGGATCATCCTCAAATGCTGACACTGGAGGAGTGGTTAGTCAAAGAAAGTCCGTTTGAAACGGTCCGTCGCTAGACTCTAGTAATGGGTGTGCCGATCTATATCGCAATAGACGTAGCATAGCGATATGTTGGTATTCCCCCCAAGCATTGAAACCGGCGAATGTAGGCCTTTCACACAATTCAAGGAGTACAGTTAAACATATCGAATTAATCAGGTAGTTTTTTATTGGTGAACTAAATTAATTGGGAAAAGAGTCCATGCCAATCACTTGTCGCTGTATGGGCTGTCGCTGTATGGGCTGTCGCTGTATGGGCTGTCGATAGTTTTGTTGCCGGAAACATCCCCTACGCTAGAATGGTGAAGACTTGAGAGCTATCGCCGGCACAAGGAGCAGAATCAAGCCTACCGTTGCCCGGCACGATGCACGTTGCATTTCGTTCGCTCTCTGGCGCGAAGACGAAATTTGTCTCCCCCGTAAATGGTACCAACTGGCCATTGTTCGTCTCGCCCTCTAGTTCAGTATTAGCATCAGAACGTGCCGTAGCATCAGGAATCAGGATAGAATAGTTACGTACCTCCAGCTGCTCGCCCTCCGCACGAGAAAATCGTTACCGTGTCGCCGGCTGGGCGTCGTCCATCAAAGCTAATACAACCGTTCGTCTAGAGACATGTTAGAATTAACTAACGATTATTAATAACGAAGCCGGTCTAACTTACCAAGCTGCTCACTATCAAAGCCGAATCTTGGGCGTTGTTATGTTTCCCGGCCGTGATGATGTCGAACTTTTCATTGGGCGTCCCGCCACACTGCACTAACGAGACCGGGATGAGGTTCTCACGAAAGTCACCAGCAGTTGGGTCGATGAAGAGACACTGGCCGTTTGGCGCCTTTATGCTGACGGAGGTGAAAGCACGCGTCGCTGTGTCGTCCCGCTGATGAGACTCTGCTACTGCGGTGGGTTGTAATACGCCACCGGCACGAGATACGGGGACAGCCTCGGTAGGATTAGGAATTGCTCCGGTAGCATCCGAGACAGATGTCGTCGACCCCTGACTCGGATTCTGTACGGTAGTAGCGGTGGCGGTAGACGTAGCAGTCGCTTGAGAGTTAGTTGGCGTAGATGAGACATCTGTTCCGCTCGATGCGCTACTAACAGCTGCTGGTGCATTGCCAAATGTAAATAGTTGGTCGGAACCCCCAGCGGCACAGGGGGCAACATCGATGACGTTACCCTTGACGGTGAAGCACGACTGTAGGTCATTCTGGGGTGAAAACGTGAGAGGTCCACTACTGGTGTTGAAAGGGAAGAGCTGGGAATCTGTGACTTCGCCGCCACCATCTGCCCGTCCACCGCAGCTAAAAAGAATGACTTGGTTGCCACCCGCACGTCGCGGATCGAAGTTGAAACAGGCATTCGTCTGGAGACTTATTAATACATGCCTACTTCGAGTAAGATGCAAGATGAAGTACTAACCAAGGTGCTAACAATGAGCATCGAGTTCTCAGCATTGTTATGCTTCCCTGCGGTAATAACGTCCCATCCCTGGCCGTCTGTGGTGTCACATTCGGCGACTTGTATCGGAGTGAGGTTTGCTCGGAAATCTCCAGACAGCTCGTCAACGAACAAGCATCGCCCATCAGAGGTCTATAATATATATACCGTTAACGCAAGGCGCTGTTTATCATCCAGAGTTATCTTACCCGTATCTGCGTTCCCGAGAAAGCCCTCGTCGCCGTGTTATCCGGCTGCTGCGCCTCTTCAAATGCCGCCTGGTCGAGTTCTGTCACCGTCTTTCGAAGCAAGCCTAGAGACGCGATGGGCGACGCAGCCACGCATGATTGCAAGCCGAGAAAGGCGAATATGAATGAATACATTGTTACTAGTAACCCCAACACAGGAGTTTGATAACGGCTCTTCAGTGGTTTTTCCTTGGAATAAAAACAGAACAGTTCCCGCAAATATACGTTCGAGATCTCGAATGATAGTATAGTAAGAATGAAAGAGCCCGCGCAGCAGGAATGAGTGACGAATATAAAAGAGGTAAGAAGCGAATGTTAAGAACCTGCCCAAGACCTGACGATGTTATGACAGATGGTGAGGGTAACAACATCGTGTAGCGTCACCGGGCACGAAGCGATTATAAATACTAAGCGCGGCATTGTGAGCTTACTATTGTATCTGGACTTTTCGTCGTTGCGAAAAGAGAACCTCATCCAGGAGATAATAACTAACTCCCTATTTTAAAATGAGGGGTTTCTGTCAAGTTTCATAGCGGCTCCCTAGGAGCCTTTGGCGAGCCCGCGTTTCTCTTAGCGCCGCGAAGCTTGGGTCAAAATATCGGTGGCGGCATTACATATTTAAACATTGGTAGGGGATTTATGCAGGGTCACAGAAAGGAACAGTGTGCATATGTCTCGCCTCGGGGTTAAGCTGAATCAATGAAACAACGCCTGTCACATATGCAATGATCGTCACTAGGATCAAAGATCGTTTATACTTCCTTTTCTAATCTTGAATGTTTCAATGAGTTGTTTCTTATAGGAGGTAAACAATTTTATATTAACGTAAGATTGTTATTGGTCAATTTATAGCATGTACTTCTTAAGGAGGTAGCCTCTCGTACGAATGAATGAGCTGCCCATGCACTCATAGCAGGGTAGGGATATGTTCCGTTGTTGTAGGTACCTAAGATATATCAGGACTGCCTCAAATACCCTGCGAAACAACGCGACCTTGTCCAACTAGAGAGATATCCTAAACCAATGCTGATTTTGGCTTAACGCTGCATAGGTACTTCATACATTACTTAGACTACCGTTCTACCCTCATATTATAATGTTGCTTCTCTTAGATCTTAGAAGAAAAAGTCTTCCTCGGGTGCCAAGTACCTAAGGTGTATCAAATCCATACCCCTAATACAACTTTCAATCATTCACCTCCGATATATTTCTATACCTCATCGCCCACCTCCCGATTAATATTTACCTACCTACCTAGGTAGGTATCCTCTAATGTCACCGCAAAAATGACGCTTCACTTACCAACGCCATTAATTACGTAACCTAGGTAAGCCCAACTACTACACAAAGTGAACAGGGATAGCTCCACAGGTAGCCCAGCTGCGACTGCCAAGAGCATCGACGAGATCTCTGATCTGCGCCAAGGTAAAGGATGCTCCCTAGGGAAACAGAAAGGCCCCGGTTCCAATGGAGCCATCGAACTCAGCCGAGACGAAGATGCTTAGGATTATAATGACGATATTCAACGTGATAGAAGGCACCTTGGTTATAGAATCAGATATTGTACCCCCCGATGAACGTCATACATATAGTGAATATCAGGATAGATATAATTGAACTCTTAACGTCTGCCTCCTACTCTTACGAAGACGCTACGCGCCTCTTATATAGTAGATCCCCTGATTCTACTCCTAACCCACTTACACCCTGACATAGAGCCTATTCGATAAAGATGAATGAACCTTGCTTGTGGGATTAGCCAGACACGCGTATTACCGGTACGTTAGAGGTGACCCCGGTAGCAACTCCAGGACCTACGTTCATAGAAGGAGAGATCAATCTTAGGTATATATGAGTATCGTATTCGAGTTGATTTCATCCCTCTCTACCAATAGCCACAGTATTCGTGATTTCCCGTTATTGCGAGTCCTTAAACGCCAATATCTTTCAGGCTATATATCTAGCCGCCAAGTCATTGCCGAGTTACCAATATCCATTAAATCCTGTCAAACATATTTGTCCCAAAGGCCAGCCAGTATGAAGAAGGATATCAAGAGAGGTATCGAAGTTATGAAGCGCGTTAATAGTAGCATTAATATGGATGGACACGCTGATCAGTCAGTGGTAGATCCATCCAACTTTATTTACCGATTTATATAAAAATATCCATGAGAGTCCATTATTGTCAGGATTTATACCCGTCGATTGATGTCATACACAGAGTGAGTGTCTAGGATAGGTAGACCAAGTAATAATAGTATTGATCTAGTAACGCCTGGCCTTCTATCTTCTTACGAGGGCGCTGTGCGCCTCTTATATAGTAGATAGACCCCTGTTAGCTACCTCTGACCCATAATACTCTGACAATTATCTCGGTACATTTCACATATATATCATCAGTGAGATATTTGCGTTGCCTTAGAGCAACTAATATGTGCTTTAATAAAGCGGTAACTACGACTACCACCAGGGAGGTATGTAGACACAAGCTAGAACAGAGAACTACTTAACCTGATATTTTGTTACAGGTAACGTTAGGCAGTTATAAAGCTCCATAGGTTCACGGTTATATTAGGAACATTTATTATCAAACTCATTGACATACATGATAACAAACGAGGCATCCATTCCATATATACTACTTCATCTTTATCTTTGGGATTCTAGCTTGCGTATATGATTGACCAAGGATCAATTTAATTGTGCCAAATTTATACGAGATAATTAATCCAAAGCAACCAAGTCTTGTGGGTCTATGAACCTACTTTTCAGCGTAACATCATCAAGTCAAGTATACAATCATGATATCCCAAGGTATAAGTCCCTCTATCAACGTAGTCTACCCCATGACGAGCTATTGATAGAGTGTATTACATAAAAGCAGTTATACTTTTAGCCGAGAACCTATTATAATGAGTTACTACGCTATCGTATAAGTATAAACCGAAGCTTCATAAATCAAATATATATTTTGTAATAAGTGCTTCTTTAATATGTATCCTTCAAGTTAAAGCATACCAGCCCAGCTTATCTCGAGTAAAGCTTCTAATCGTCCTGTCCGGAATCGAGCTTTCTAATAAGGGCACATGGCCATACCTAAACTATGAGTGTTTCTCAGCTTATGGGGCGGAGAGCTATGTGCATACCTACCTGCCTACCTGCCTACCTGTGTACGTAGGGTAACATCATGAACTCGATGGCGGTTATGTAAAAGTTAGGTTGTCACGACATCACATTATGTCGGATTAAAATACTATTAGATAACGAAAGCGTATAATGCCAGCGGGCTACGGTATCAACCCCTGGATTAGGCAGGCAGGTTGGCCACAATATAATTACGTGATATTATTCTCCCATTACATGTTATATAGTATGTCTCTTTTTGCAGGTCTCCATGACGTGATGTCTCTAGGAAAACTATCTATCTAAGGTATCCTTCATGAATAAGGTAGGGATAGTGGTAACAACCTCATCTTCATGTGGGGAATGGAAGCGCTGAGAGATCTCAGATGAGGAAGTTCGGGTTCATCATGCAATGCATGTAACGATTAATTAGAACGAGGTCATATATGTGCCTTGGCGTGAAGCCTGATAAACAACACCATCAGACTTCTGGCCAATAGTTTGAGATTGAGATTAAAGAAGCTGGTCCACTCGACCCTCCGGTTCTATGCTTCGGCAGGCTAAATTGACTGGACGTAACTCGAGGGACATTCCCTGCTTGGGATTCTCTTCGTTTCCCATATTTCTTGCGCAAGTGCTCTTACGACCTTCTGTAACCAATTGCCAAGCATGCACATCCATTGCTCATACGAGCTAGGCTAAAGTTTATCGTTCTAGATCTACGTCGCCCATGCGAAGCACGACCTGCCCGATCGGGTAGATGCAAAGCTCATCTGTCGTAACGCTATCACCAAAGCTTCAAATATAAAGTGTACTGTCGAGTTCACCCTCCAAAAATTTATCAAAAACCTGCGCCCCTTACCTCATAATCGTCCATCATGAAATTCCTCCAACCTCTTTTGTTGGTCGCGTCCTTAACCGTCGCCTTGCGACTGGATAGGCGGGGTAAAGTTATATATGACGGCTATAAGATCTTTCGCGTGGCACCAGGGGATAATATTGCGGATTTCGAAGCCCAATTGGAATCTCTGGAGGCTATCGACCTTACCCACAATCATGGCCATGTAGAGGAGGAGCATTTCGATATCGCAGTGCCTCCTGAGAATCTTTCGGCGTTTGAGGGGTTGAATTTCACCTCCGAGGTGTTGACTGATGATCTCGGAGTCGACATAGCACTCGAAGGGGAGTTTGCTGAGTATCCCGGTACGTTGGATAGATTGAAAGAGAAACATAAGTACACGGGCTGATTCCAATGGTACCTAGAACTAAGCGCGGCTGCTCTTCCAAGCCTTTCATGGTTCAATGCATACCATGCTTACAATGACCACTTGACGTTTTTGAAAGATATACAGGCGTCTTTCTCCTCTAACTCGGAGCTTATCACGGCCGGTAAATCATTTGAGGGCCGCGATATTCAGGGTATTCACCTCTGGGGAAGCGGCGGCAAGGACTCGAAACCTGCTGTCTATTTTCATGGCAATGTCCACGCTCGCGAATGGATTTCCTCGAAGGTGACTATATGCCCAAAATCTCCGCTGAGTTAGCTATATGTTACTAACATTTAACCTCAGGTTGTCGAATATCTCACATACCAACTTGTTGCCAACTACAACAATGACACGACGATCAAGGGCTTTCTCGATAGTTACGACTTCTACATCTTGCCTATCGTCAACCCCGACGGTAAATTGATCTCATTATAATGATCTTAAATAAGGTACTAGCTCATTTATACTAGGGTTCCTCTATACACAAACTACGAACCGGTTGTGGCGGAAGAATCGCCAGACGCGATCCGGCACCTCTGCTATTGGCACCGATGTCAACCGGAATTGGCCTTATAAATGGGATGGAGAGGGGTCTTCTACGAGCCCCGGGTCAGGTCAGTTAATCTCGTGAATCTTTTTCTTCTGCTCGTTTTGATTCTCCAATATGGATCAAATGCATCGTTTGCTGACCAAATTTTAGAAACGTGAGTACCTAGCCGGATATAAACAGTGCCTTCAGAGTCCTACACGATGGCTCTCCGAGTCTAATTGTTGTCCACGAAATGAATGATATTATAAGTGAAAGGGCATAGATATTAACTAAGTTATAGGTACCGCGGCGCTGCAGCAGGTGATACTCCAGAGAACACTGGTATCCGAAGTAAGATTCAACATTTATGTCAACCTAAAAGTATCTAACTTATTTTGTCGTAGCCTTGAGCGACCAGCTAGCGAAAAAGAATGGCATTAAGCTGTACATCGATTGGCACAGCTACGGACAATATATCCTGACGTCAGTATAGCTTCGATCAGTTCTCCCTGCCGGGTTTAGACACCTACAACCCTATTGTAATTCTGGGAGCTGACATGAACTTTGCAGGCCTTACGGTTACTCATGCTCAGCAGCGGCTTCAAACCAGGCCAAGCAGGACTCACTGGCTAAAAATACTGCTTCCGCTATCGCGAAGCCATATGGGACTCAATTCACTGCCGGTCCGATCTGCTCTACGCTCTATGCCGCTGCCGGCGGTAGCAACGATTATGTGACTGACGTTAACAAGGCAGAGTTTGGGTAAGTCAAGCGGTCTGTTATATAGGGTAGAATCCCGTCTGAGCGTGTGCCTGAATTACTAACTTGAACCTAAGGTGGGCCATCGAACTCCGTGATACTGGCCGAAACGGATTCACATTACCCGCCAATCAAATCCTCCCAACTGGTATCGAGGTATGGGAAGGAATGAAGTATCTTTTCGCTAATATGTGAAAATATATTCGAATTATATCGATATATTATTATTAGTAGTATTCATCTAAGTCAGATAACAGCGACGTCAAACCAAGTACGTACACTCGGACTCATCGATATTTGGACATTCGTCTAGATGTAGTTGCCGCCCGTAATAAATGTTAATTTGAATTGTTCTATCCTCAAGTCTTCAGGGAGACCTCGACGATTACTGTATCCAACAGTAATCCAACTTTAAAGCGATTTAACAGAAGTAGGTATCTTGCAAAGAGGGGTATCATAGTATTTGGGTTACGGAATCGTATCATTTTAGATTCCTGTCCTTTTCCGTATCTGAACTCCTTGGACGAGGCTCCTCCTTTACAATCCACTCATGCCTTATCGAAATTGCCCCCATCTCAAGACCAATCTCGCCTAAGCTGCCGAAGCTCATGGGTGGCTCTGGAGACTTTGCTATCGATGCTTGATACCCGACGTCTTCGGGACGTAGGCGTGTTTCTGATGTGTTTTCGGTGAGTGGTTGGAACCGACGATTGCTATTTTTCTTCGGTAGGGGTGCGATAGGCGGAGTACTGTAATTTGCCGTTCCGTCAGGTGAGTATCGACCGCCGAAAAGGGGACGCATAGTCATTGCACACGCTGCCATCACGCCGAGACAGGGCTCAAGCGAGCTAAGCACAATGGTATGCGGAGAACTGAATGTGAAATCGTTGAAGTCCATTTTGACCATCTCAGCTATACGGACGATGCTAACAATGCATGGCCTACCAAGAATGTTTGTTAGGGGGAACGCATAATGGGAAACTCCGATACTAATACTCACAACACCAATACGCCGAAGAGTGCTGCTAACCGAAGCCGCTTCTCCCATGCTAACTCAAGCCTCAGCAGGTAAGGCATCGGCATGATAAGAATCATCAGGTCAGATATCATGTTGAGGACTCCCGTTATAGCCCATGATACCGTCGGGTCTCCACAGACTCCTCCCTCGATCGATTTATCCCAGTTATAGGCGAAGGGTCTACATAGGAGAAAGGCGGTGAGAATGGCAGTTAAACCCCTTTATTACGGACCGTTAGCAACTGGAATGCAATAGGATAACTACATAATTGATAGAATGCGGCATGCGGTAGGTACATACCATCCAAGGACAAGAACGTAAGTAATTCTGGCGGTTACGATAAAACTCTGTACTAGGAAGATTTTCGTAGATAATATGAGAATCGAAACTCTGCAAAGACAAAGGCTAATTGCCCATAGTAGCTGGTTGGCAACTGTATGCTACGTCCCACCGCAAGAGTTAGTAAATTCCATCGACTGCAAACCGTCGTGGTGCCGAGAAACATACCTGGAGGAATATCTCTGCTCCGGACTCGACGCCAAATCTGTTCTTTATATCCTCGATATGGTAACCTACTCCACCTATAAGAACGGCTATCAAGTATAAAGCGTTAACTCTCAATCCTAGACTATCTTTACTGGGAACTAATACGAACATGAGATAGATACGCCTTGGTAGATGACAGCGAAAACCTAGGGTACAGCATCAGTAATGATCAAAGGTCTCTGGCCAAGTTTTCATGCTGGCAAGAATAGAGCTTTCGCAACATACACAGGCTGCAATAACGAAATAGTCACTCCAGTCGAGCACCCTATTCGCCCTGCGTCTGGCCAAGACGCGTAAGGCAACGGATACCACCGCCAGGAGACTAAATACAACGCTGCAGACTATGACGGCCCTTTGATCTTGGGTCTCGATGGGGAAGATAAAGGGCATAATAGCGTCCTAAAGTCATTCGGATGAACGGAGGAAACGAATGACTCCTTTGATTGGAATATAGAACGGCACAATTCATCGATCATCGAAAGGCGAAATAAAACTGATGGCTAAAAGATTGTGTTCCGGGTTTACATAAGTTTGCAAGCTGTAGCCATTTTCACCCACCAATCCCGTCGCAATGGCCTATAGAACCAGCGGTATGGTACGTATGTATACCGGGTGCCCGACGGGCAGGGGACCTTTTATGATGAACCAACACTCCGAAGCAGGACCCTAGTAGATAGATAAGCCAGGTTTCGTCTAACTAGTAGCTTTGGCCATTGAGAGAGCATAGCTCTACACTCGACTTGGCTTCCTTATCTATGTGGCCGATTCTGAACCCTCTGTGATATTAGAAAAGGCTAATGGTCTCAACTAGAAGTGTTCGATTCGTTAATCTTCCCACAACACATACATAGCGTGTAAGCAGCGGTAGCGGAGCGAGACCCACGAGGCAGTAGGGCCATCCAAACATCACACAACGGAAAATTCTCTACGCATTGACCTATGTGTTAAACAAGGGTTATTGAAAAGAAAGCTCAGGAAGCTGGGGTAATGCCTCCCCTTTAGCGGGCCTTCAAGGGTCTAAACAGTGATCCCTCGCCTTGCCGGTATGTCACTGTGCTTACACTAGTCAAAGACCACTACCTAACCCGAGAAATAAACATCCACACGTAGGTATGTAACAAGATACGACAAGGGACGCTCGTAACCAAAACTACCTAGCCATATGGCCATATGGGAATCATCAGTTCGCCTCACCCTCAGCACTGAGCCATACCGCAGCGTCGGATTGCCCGGTACTATTATACCGAGCCGGGCTTCGGAATGCTTGCCGGGTAAAGATACAACCATACCTAACTGGAGTTGGCCCTCCGCGTGAAATGTTTGTGACTGGTAATCCTAATTACTTGGGCCCAACTTGGCAGAAGTGTACAATTTACTATATACGCAACACTAGGGAAAGGCTAATGGGCTTGTAATGGAAACATTGTCTAGGTATGTACTTGGGTAGCTCAGCTGACTTGTCTGCTTGTTTGAATGTTTGCTTAAACCTCTTGTTTACGCTAACGAATGAATGTTATCAGTCGATACTGTATGGAGTCTGCAAACCCGGTAAGAAGTCCACTTACCGTGACGGGGTACCAGCATGTCAATCCTTCCGGAGGTTAGCGTACCCATATTGGGATGACAGTTATGCATCTGACGGGAGGACTATGTATGTAAAACACCACAATGACCTTATTACGACGAAGTTACTTGTTAAAGTAAGCTACTTGTTCGCGTCCAACTTTTTGATATTAAGTTACAGACAGGTGGTTAGCAATTCCAAAGCTGTTACTATATCATGCGACTCTACATACCTATGCATGTTTTACAAGATTACGATGATATCTCGAGTTTAGCCCGGCTAGCTTTGAAATTGTTCATAGTTTAGGAGCCTTTTCTTTAAATATCTTGCCGGGTAGATTAATTCCGATGCTATTGGAGACAGTCGGGTTAGACTGTCACTTCTACATTTCTAAAGAAGCTTACTCAATATGAGTTGTAAAAATAAAAGAAATCTGCTGTTAAAACAAGACCAAGATCTTACAACGTCCAGCCGATGGTGAGAGTGGCCGTATTTAAACGATAGTAGTACCTATGTCCTCTAGTGCCAGAAAAGCATAGTATATTGCCACTTTCCATCTGATTAGTTATGCTCTTTATACTATTCCGAGGATGGTATGTTTTGACTCTTTTGGAAGCCTTGATTTGTTGATATAAGTGGGCTTCGTACCTGTGCTTTTCTGGCACCAAAGGACATAAAATTGACATTATTTTAATGGACTGACCTAGGTACCGAGGTAGATACTGAGTTGGTTTACAGACATGTAAAAAAGAATTGAAAGCGTGAAGACATTGGAAGAAAACCGCGTGGTGCGTAATACAGTACAAATATATACACACGAGTTAAACATACTGTCTTTCCAATTCGGGAATCAAATTCTTGGGGTTAGCCAATCGGAAAAGAAGCCAGTGATTTCGGGATTTACATAAGCAAATAAGACGGTACCCAACTTGTTGCCTTGTTGAAACTAAATATTAAGTCGAAGTAACATAATATATTGGTGATTTGTACACCTTATTCATCAATCAAGTAACAACTGTGAAGATAATCTAGGCGTGAGGAGCATTTCGTAAGCATTGCATATGTAGGAAGAATCTCCAGACAGATATTTGTCCCCTTGCAATATTAAACACAGCTGTGTAAACATATACATGTTGGTATGGCTATAGAAGTACTATTTATGCTATTTAAGTAGCAACCGCCGCAATGCGGTAAAATCTGTGAATACCTAAGTGCCCATGATGTTTGGGTCCTCGCTTTTGCCACCCGATGTGAAATAGCCTCTGAAGGCAATCGAATCTGAATCCGAATCTGGCGCAAGTGTCGAATAAAACTGCCACTACCAAGCATCCCTGAATGGAGAAGAGTTGACGAACCCCCTTGCCTTATTTCGTATTTACCGGACCTAAAGCCACCCCGAAAAAAAAAAAAGGAATTAGCAGCATCGCTCACTTGCCATACGCCTGAGAAGTCATGATAGAAACCAGATCCACTTTTTTCCTCGTTGTCGTAGTCAAAGCGCCGCCGAAACGCGTCGAATCGCAGTGAAAAGGAATATACGCATAATTAAGCCCTGCCCGATGAACGCCAGTGTAATAAACTTCGCTTCTGCCCTGGTCCTCTATCCGCCGCAATAAAAAAAGGAACCGCCACGTCTAAGTGGCTTATTATGGACATGGGGGAGAAAGGGTGTTGAGAGCCAACCTCTCGTTGTGACTTATGTCGACATGACGATGATGGCTGGGTTAGCTGCCAACTGAGGAACGACTGCAGCGGAAGCTAGTAGCAGGTTACCTATTCCTGTCGAAGTGTCTCGTGGTGTGGCTGATAAATCGAGGCCGCCGTATGTTGCTACATGACAGGGCCATCTAGCATAGGCCCTCCCATCTCCATGTTATCCATGGGCACGTCCATACCAGTTCCTCGGGTCTCCATGCTAGACATGCGCGCTTCTACCGCACCCATGCGCGACTCCATAGTTTCGATTCTTTTTTCAATGCCGTCCAGGCGCTGCTCGATGCGATCGAAGGCTTGTGTCATCTCGTGGCTCATACGATCCATCTTATTCGTGAGGCTTCGTATACTCTGTGCGGTCGGTGTGTTCTCCTGGCCTGGATTGCTGCTATGAACTCGGGGCTCGTGGTTGTGCTGATCGCACTGAACCTGAAAACGCCACTGGTTGCCGAGCTGGACCTCGCATACTGCCTTCGCCCTCCAAGGGCAATCAACCTTCCTCGTGCTCGGGTTACGCTTCTTGGCAGTGCTGTTGTACTTGACGCCGCCGCGGTCACACACCAAATCATATCGCGTAGGCTTGTGGTCACGATAGTTGCTAGCCCGGAGCTTTACGATTCCGAAACCCTGATCCTTCGCCACGCGCTGGATGGAACCGATAAGGTCCTCGAAGCTGGGGAATATGCCTTCGGGGGGCGATCGAAGGGCTCCGGAAGGAGCGGGATCGTTGGTCGGCATATTCACCGGGGTCGCTGGGGTTGTCGTCGGGCCCGGGCGCGGGGTGTTTAAGGCGCTCGAGTTACCGTTGACGACGACGCCCGGGGCGACCGCACGGTGGTGGGGGGGCTGTTGGAACGAAATGTTGGCGGTTGGGGGTGAACAGCTAGGGGTTGAAGGTGGAGTATAAAAGAGGGAGGGAATAATAGAAGGTGAGTAGGTGAGGCTATCTCCAAACTTAAGCTGTGCCTCGGGTTTCTCGGTGGGGTAGGTTGTCGGATACGGCTGCTGGTCACCGTGTGAGTTTGCTGAAGTTGACGCGGAGAATGCTGCGGTAGGACAGTGGGAAAGTTGAATTGGGGACGAGGATCGGGGCGGAAGAAAAGAATTGGTTGGTGGGTGGGGAAAAGGAAATCGGGCACTTTGCTTACCTGAGCTACGTGTGGCTTGTGAGGCTGCAGAGGTTGCAGAGGCTTAAGAGGCAGAGGGTAGCCACATTGACGCGTCAAGTGGGTACGCGCCTTCTTCTGTGCACGAGCCACTTCCAATTGAATTTGGGTAGGGAGGTGGGCTCGGCTCATCTCCGGCTGAGGCTTAGCTTGAGCTTGAGCTTGAGTTTGAGTCGGTACCTGCCACTTGTTCGTCTGTCCCGGCGATTGGAACTCTAACCCAGTATTAACGACCCGCTGTCGATTATCGCCGTCCATCTTCAAGTGCTCCATCGGAACTTCGGAGGGTATTATATTTTAGTTATTCCTAAATCACTTGATGTTCTGACCGGCTTATTGTTGTAAGATCTAGAAATCGAGTTGCTGATCTTATGCTTTGGACTTTGGTTAAATAATGGCTGCGGTCGGAAGTCAGTTGAAGAAGTCTAGCGTTGGTGGCTCAGGACGGAGTAAGGAAGGAGAAATGCCAGACGAGGAGCAGCTGGAACTAAGTATGAAGCAGCTGAATCTCCTACACATCAAGGTGCGAAAAAGTTTTTTAATGTTTGCCCACCTTTTGGACTGGAAATGGTCAATGCTCATACTTCCATATCATCGCTTCCATATCATCGTATTACTGACACATGGCGGAAAACAGTGCCGGGAGTTGAGAACAACTATTCAGCGCATGCTCGAGGCTATCCCGAACAACTCTACTGGTACTGTATTCGTTTCTTTCTTGTATTCATCTCTTTTCGCACTTGGGCATGCTGACACATGGTAGCCGAGGAAGTCTATGAGTGTTTCGTCAAGTCAGTCGTCGCCGCAAGCACTCAGATTAAAGACTTCAATGCCCTTTACAACAGCGAGGAGAGTAAGAGGGTCCTTGACCAAGCTAAGAAGAGTCGCGACGCCAACCCTAAAGGCATCAAACCTTGGCGTGCTAAAGATCACCCAGACTGGTTGGATCTTGCTCAATAGAGCTCCCGCCACTTGATTAATAGAGGTTGATATTTTTTGAAGATAGTCGGCATCACCAGGCCAGACTACGGCATTTTCTAATGTTTCGGTATTGCAGCGGCGTTTGGTCAACGGTATAGTGGTGTTACGGTGGGTTCATGCTTACGTAGAAGGTACCTAACATAATACCGTCTAAAAGACATTAATACGAAAGTGTCATTATGCTTAGTTAACATGTTATTGTACTATGTTATTTATATATGACTACCTATCCTAAAGAACTACGTAGGTTAGGTATGACGAGGCTATACTCTACCACAATTATCAAACTATATTTTTTTAATATAAGAGAATTGTGTATATGCATATTGCTGATATACTAACTTCTCTCCCTCGGGATTAGTTCTCTTCGTATCTTCATAGTATCCAGATCCCTCTATATTTAGGTAAGTAAAGGAGTCATTTAAAGCTGGCCTATTTTGGAGAATTTTATGTAATATGAGCTTCGGACTTTAGGTCAACACATGTACCATCGAGTCACATACATACCTAGGTATAAATGCATGATTTAGGTAATTCCACCTAATAAATTACATGCTCTAGTGTCCTGAGGAAAAGTAAGTCAAAATCTGTGACGCACTTGGGTTACTAACAATTATCCTCCTGCTTAGGTAATAGAGAAAGCAGTAGGGCACGGACCACATAAATCAGGAGAGTTCGATAGGCCGATAAGCTAGCAGCCTGCCTGTCTGCCTGTTCACCCACCCCTCGACCCCACATGCACCAAAAATTCGTTGTGATTTTCCAAAAAAACTGTGTGCACCTTTTTTAATTTGCCTTTGCCCCTCCACATTCAACTTCAACTTGCCTTCTTCCAGGCATACGCGGCGCAACCCCTACTTTGTCGCATTGACACGTTGTCACAAAACATCCCATTCATTCGTCCTCCACTTATTTAAAAAGTAATAGAGAAACACCCGACAAAATGTCTCGATTCTTCCGCAGTGGCGACGATAGCTCGTCCGAGAGCAGCTCCGAAGAAGAGGAGCTCTACTCCGAGGAAGAGGAAGAGGAAGCGAAGGAGGAAGAATCTGAAGAGGAGGATGAGGATGAGGACGAAGATGAAGATGATTCTGAAGAAGAATCTAGCAGCGATGAGGAGGGTGGCAAAAAATCCGGTGCTGCTCGTTTCTTACGTGGCGATGATTCCGAGAGTGAAGAAAGCGACGATGATGCTCCCAAAACCCTCAAGAGCGCAAAAGACAAGCAGTTTGCCGAGCTTGAATCCACAATTGACACCATCGAGAAGCGTCAGAAGATTAGTGATTGGGGTGCCGTATCTGTTGGTAAGCTTAGCTGATTGAGATACTGATCAAGTTCATACTTATTAACGACTTTTTATTTAGAATTCGACAAGCTCAACAGACAAGCCGCCAAGATTTCTGAGCGCGGCAGGACACCGAAGCTCTACATAAAGGCCCTAGTCGAATTAGAAGATGCGATGAATGAAACCATTTCGAAGCAGAAGGTCACGCCCAAGAAGATGAACGCCACGAGTGCCCGTGGTCTCAATGCCGTTAAGCAAAAGATCAAGAAGCTCAAACAAGATTATCAAACCCAGGTCGATGCGTACAGAGAGGACCCCCTTGATTTCCTCGCTTCGGATGAAGAGGAGGAAACACCTGTTCCGAAACCCAAGAAGGCTAAGGCAGATGTATACGCCGACCAAGTCGAAGAAGACCAAGAAGGCTTTGCTACCGTCGGAAAGGGTGGCAAGACGCTCCTGTTCACACCCGAGAGCATCTTCAAGCACCTACGGGCAATCTTGGAGTCTCGTGGTAAGAAGAATACAGACCGGATCGAGCAGATCAAAATTATGGAGAAGCTTCTCGAAGTTGCCGCCACTCCATACCAACAAATCAAGGTCCTTTTAACTATTGTTTCCGCGAGGTTCGATCTTGGCTCTGGTGGTACGGCATCCATGCCATTGGAGCACTGGAAATCCGCCGAGAAGGAAATCTCAACCTTGTTCGAAGTGCTCGAGTCAAACCGGGAGTATATTGTGATCGAGAACGCCGAGGAATGGGATGACGACGAGAAGCCACCCACACTGCAACCGGGCGAGAAGTATATTAAAATCCCTGGAAGTATTGTGTCGTATGTTGAGCGGCTCGACGACGAGCTCACACGTTCGCTGCAAAATATTGATCCTCACACTTCGGAATATATCGAACGACTAACCGATGAGGGCTCACTGTACAATGTTATTTTCCGCGGCCTCTTGTACTACGAAACCCTCGCTAAGGACACGTCTTTGCAGACGCCACAGGACAGTCTAAACCGCATTGTAATGCGCAGGTTGGAGCACGTCTATTTCAAGCCTGCGCAGGTCGTCAAGATCCTCGAGGAGAATGCTTGGAAGCCGGTGCCCGCAGATGTCGAATCTACTATCACCCCTAGAGGAAGCATCTCGGATGCTACTAATCTCCTCAACGTCCTCTGCAATTACTTGTTTGTTAACAGCGAGGGTATCATTCGAGCACGTGCGATGCTGTGCCAGATATACTTCCTCGCTCTACATGACGAATACTACAAGGCTCGAGACATGATGCTCATGTCCCACTTGCAGGAAACAATTGGCAGTTTCGACGTCCAGACTCAGATACTCTACAACCGAACCCTGGTGCAAGTTGGGCTGTGCGCTTTCCGTAAAGGCCTGGTGTACGAGGCGCAGAACACGCTGCAGGAAATCTGCGGTAGCGGCCGACAGAAGGAATTGCTAGCACAGGGCGTTATGATCCAGCGTTTCGCTCAGGTCTCTCCCGAGCAGGAGAGGCTAGAAAAGCAGAGACAGCTGCCCTTCCATATGCACATCAACCTCGAGCTTCTAGAGTGTGTCTACCTAACTTGCAGCATGCTCCTCGAGATTCCGCTCCTCGCTCAAACCGGCTCCTCACCAGATATCAAGAAGCGAGTTATCAGCAAGACCTACCGACGCATGTTAGAGTATCACGAGCGGCAAATCTTCACCGGACCTCCCGAGAACACCCGCGACCACGTCATGCAAGCATCTCGTGCCTTGGCTGCCGGCGAATGGAAGAAGGCTATCAACTTCGTCCACAGCATCAAGATATGGGACTTGATGCCAAACACGGACGAGATCAAGACCATGCTGTCGAAGCAGATTCAAGAAGAGGGTCTACGAACATACCTCTTCACTTATGCTCCCTACTATGACACTCTTGCCATCTCCACCCTATCCTCTATGTTCGAGCTTGAGGACCGCAAGGTCTCGGCCATTGTTAGCAAGATGATCAGCCACGAAGAGCTAGCTGCTGCACTCGACCAGGTCACATCAACGGTCATCTTCCGAAAGGGCGTAGAGCTGTCTCGCCTTCAGAGCCTAGCGCTCACGCTGTCGGACAAGGCGGCGCAGCTCATCGAGACCAACGAACGCACGCTCGAGCAACGGACGCAGGGTACAGCCAACGCCTTCGACAGGAGAGGCGGACAGAACCAGCGAGGTGGCCGGGGTGGGGGACAGCGGGGGGGCCGAGGGGGCCCGAGGACGGGTGGGACTGGTCAAAGACAGGCCGGTGGTACACAGTTTACAGGTGGCGTACTAAGTGGTGCAGTCCGCACTTAGACAGCTGCTCGGGCATGGGATTTTCTTCTTTTCCTCTCTCGCGTTTGTATCCACTGCATACGGTTAGGTTTGACATTTAATGATAAAAAGCCTCGGTATGGGTCTAGTAAAGTCACTGGTGGAGGTTCACCTACGATGGTCATGTAGTTATGACTAGAGAATTGACTTTATTTATTGCAACACGGCGTATTTGACTCGGTGCATTTAATATGCATTTAATATCGTGATACTTTGGTATAATGCCAAGACTTACGCCCCGTACGGTTCCATAGAGTAAATGTCACATGAATGTCACATGAATGTATTTTATAAATGCATATCGATAGTAGTCCGAACTAAGCTTAAAAGGGAAGCATCCCACTTGATTTTGCACCACTAAGCGTCTTTACTAAATACAATCATTTCAGTACTTAAGAGAGATTCTGTTGCTTTCTAATCGCTGACTTATTCGATACGAGACAGCCACCAAGTTCCAATGATATCGGCGATATACTAATGTTATGTTAGGTATATTAGGTATATTAAGTACTTTTTCTAGGTATATAAACACCCGTGACGATGTGATTAAGTAGGTAACGAAGTGAACCAACCGCCTATGACTCTACGACGTATACCTGTTACTTTTGCTAGACTTTGTCTTGTCGGAAACTATCATCAATCTCTAATCGGGATTCATTCTCGGCCGATATCCCTTTCACGACATAACCTCGTGCACCGCATCCATCTCATCGCTGCCAATATGTCGTCTACCAACACGTCTTCGCCGAGCGACCCCCTGGCAGCCCCTAGCAGCAGCTCCAAGGATACCGCAACGATCCCGAAAGAAAGGCAGGATGAGGAGACGAAGCAGGAAAAGGACGAGAAGAAACTTGCGCCCCTCAAGGGAGCTGAGTTCCGCGCCTACAATCGTTTAGCCGAGCGCATGGATCTATTCCACGCCCATTTCCGTACGGCGTGGAATACGCTATGGGCGGCGGCTTGCGCGGGGAACGGTAGTAAAAATAAATCGTCGTCGCGAGGTGGACGGTCTATCATTAGCGACGGATTGGCGTTCGTGGCTCAGCTCGAAGTGCACCACAACATCGAGGAGACGTATATATTCCCTATACTAGCTCGGCGGATGCCCGAATTCCAAAACGACGGGAAGGGTGGCAATAACGCAGCGGAGCTGTTGCGACAACACCGCGAGATTCACGACGGAATGGAGGGTATGCGCAAGTACCTTAGGAGTTGTCGCGACGGCGAGCAGGATCTAGACATGGGAACGCTAAAGGCACAAATGGAGAACTGGGGAGCCATACTCTGGACCCATCTCGATCAAGAGGTTACGACGCTGGGTGCTGAGAACATGAGGAAGTATTGGACCGCCGAGGAAATCAGGCGGATACCTATGTAGATAAATATATCTGGATAGTACTGGTAGAGGTAGATATATGATGCTAAAGTTAGACTGAGACAGGAAGAAATCATTGCTACAATCTTGACAACATGCCAGTAATCTATTTACTATAGTTACTTTCACCATTTTAGCCTTAATTATGTCATATATACTAATGTAGCCATATTGGTGAACTTGGCCCTCTAATAAGTTAGTTCCCTATAGCTCTTCTTTACTCTTGTTATAATTATAACGAGCTTAAGTGAAATTGTATAATGATGGCAATTCTAATTACTAATTAACAAAGAAACAATATTAATCAAGTAATCCACAAGAATTTCAAATCTTCGGACCAACAGACAGAACTGTATAAATGCACCGACTGGGAGAGTATCCGCCCCCGCACCAAATTCTTACTGTGACCTACGTACTGTATCATATCTTAGGAGGAGGAAGAATACCTAAAGGGATATGAAATCCATCGATAGCCGAAGGTAACGAACTCCAACCTCCCAAATCCTTATATGCTATCGCCGAGCAAACATATTAGTAAACCTCATCCATCATCATGAGCCGGTGATATCTTACCATCTCTCGTCGGTTGCCACGATGGAGAAGTCTTCATCCTTGGGTGATTTAAATCTAGATTCACAATATAGAGCATCATGGCCAAAAGCATTAGTTGCAATTAGCTTAGTCGGGATCGTTGCTTTGTATAACCACCTCCCAAACCTATCGTATGAAGGATTTCGTCAACAGTATTACCATGACCTCGTAGGTGGCCCGATACAGCCTTATGCCCAGTCTCCCTACGGTCGGTTTCCGCTCCCCGACGACCCATTCCACTTCATTCCCTGCACTAATACGACCTTACTGCCCGCGCTCGACGATTCTAACCCAGTCCGCAGCTGGGCTCGCCTTTTCGACCCGAATCCTGAACACTGGAGCTGGGGGGCACCGACAACAGAGCAGAACGTCCAGGGCAAAGATCCGTATTCCGAACGGGGGATATATCTTTGTGGTTACCTCGAGGTTCCTCTAGATTACACCAACAAATCTGAATCTCGTATTGTTCGGCTCGCGGTAACCAAATATCAAGTTTCGGGCCTTGCGCGTGTTGATACGGCGCAACCCAGTTCTCCAACCGTGGGGTGCAAGAGTGAACGGACCATCATTGTTGATCCTGGCGGTCCGGGCGCGAGCGGCACGTCGCTAGTCTGGAGAGCTGCAGAGAACTTCACGAAGCGCTTGAGCGATGGCAAGTTTGACATCTTGGGATGGGATCCGCGAGGTGTCAACGCGTCATTGCCTTCTATAGCATGCTTCCCCTACGATGCTTTCAGGGACCGCTGGTCTATGCTGACGGGACAGTACCGTGAAGCGGCCGGACCACCCGAAGTCAAACTTGAACTCGCTGATGCTATGAACAATGCTACATTTCATGCCTGCAAGGAAAAATATGGCGATATTCCCCGGTTTCTCAGCACGGCCTTCGTTGCGCGTGACATGGAAGAAATCCGTAAAGCGCTCGACGAAGACGAAGTAACTGGCTATCTCGTTAGCTATGGCACCAGCATCGGCCAAACATACGCCAATATGTTTCCACATAGCGTAGGCCGCTTGATTCTAGACGCTCTGGAATATGTTCGTGACCATCGTCAGCTCGGCGGTTTTGGATGGGCTGCGCTGGATAATACTACTGATGTCTGGCGTGACGGATTTCTAGGCGAGTGTCTCAACGCCGGCCCAAAATACTGCGCCTTGTCACAGCCCAGAGGCTCAGAACCCGTGACGCTGCAGAACTTAGAGGATCGAATGCAAAGCTTGCTGGTTTCACTTGGCCAGCGACCCATCACGGGGTATCTCGAATCGAGCGGACCTTCTCTCATTACATACTCGGCTATCGTATCTGCTATATATGGCGCCTTACACAATGCTAACAGTTGGCCTGCGCTGGCCCAGATGTTATACGAACTGGAAGCAGGAAATTCGACACTAGCTACAGCCTTCCTTGAGCATTCGGAATGGGAGTATCACCCTTCAATCTCATGTCCGACCTCCTCTCGGCCTCGGTCCCACGAGCTAGGCCCCTTAGTTATCTGTGCAGATTCATATGATGCTCCCTTGCCGCCAGACGGCCTACTCTGGTGGCAGTCGCTCTGGGCTAACATGACTACCCGATCTTGGATATCAGGGAACGAGGAGTTCTTCAGCGTCCTCCCCTGCCAACATTTTCGTACCTACTGGCCTCCGCCTGCTGAACTCTACCGAGGAGACCTAAACCACACGCTCAAGAACCCTTTGCTGCTAATTGCGGAGACACACGACCCGGCGACCCCCTTACGGAACGGGAAAAACCTTTTGAGTGAAATGGGCAAGAATGCTAGGTTGATTGTTCATCACGGCTATGGACATTCTTCCAGGGACAAATCCAGCTGCACCGACTCCATCATACTGGCATTCATCCTCAACGGCACCCTGCCTATAGAGCAAGAAACATCTTGCTACGCAGACGGCAAGCCATACCTTTACGGATTCAATACAACGGAGTTTCTCATCGAGAATGCTACGGCTCAAGACCCGATTCAGATATGGCGAGAGCATATCCGAGAGCTAGCATTATGGAACCCAAGGCTAGTTCCCAGAAGATGATGTGATATTTAACACCAAGCATACCCAGATGCCCGTAAAATATTCAACTAGTCTTATTCATATAGACTGGAGAAACGAAGCCATGCCCAGCTGGCTTTATCACTATGCTCTCTATTTGTAATGCAAGTGGCAATATTTATTATCTTAGACTAGCCCTCGTATAGATATTTCAAGCACAAGAGTTATGGGCGAATTATGTAGGATATTAGCGACTGTAATAATATTAGTATATTCTATATTGATATATTTACATTGGAGTTAGGATAGACTCGCTATTGAGAGGAGCTTCTTCTTAGTGACTTGGCCATATATGATATATGTATAACACTTATCATCTCAATTAGTACCGTGCTCAATCTTCCCTCGTCTCACTCACCTACATCCTAAGGCATTACAACCTCTTTCTCTCCGCCTAGTACGTATCGGGCGCTCGCCATCATGAACTCCTTCCAGATGCGAAACTCCTCATCATCCCGCGGTGCGTATATCATGACGAAACTCCATGGCATTATACTAGCGACACCGCTCATGCGATGCCGCTCCGACCAACCACGCTCGATAGCGGTAGCAGCATCAGCTAGACTCAACACCATATGCGTGCTGCCCTCAGCATGCGAATGCGCAAACTCGCCGTTCAGGTTTTTGATCTCGTCACGCAGGGCTAGGCCAGACTGTAGCCATACGCTTTTGAATAACGGGCCTTCGAGATTCGACGGTCTGACCCGTATCAAAGATGGATTAGCTACGGCGAGCGCTTCCAGGAAGGACTCCTGTCTAGCCCGCATCGCGGGTGTGGCTTGCTGTGATGTCTGCCGGTGCGGACCGACGAACGTGGGCACCTCAGGCCGGGTCCCCTTGCGCGGCGGGATCGAGCCGGAGAAGAATGAGCGCTGGCTCAGCGGCCCGTATCGCGCCGACCGTGCCAGTTTGGCGTTGTCATAGGGCACGGGTACGCGAGTGTCTGATCGAGCGAAAGAACGGCTGATCGATTGAAACAGGTATCCGAAGATGTTAAGGGGCAGGCCGTTAGGACCGAGCGCATACCAGGCACGGTAATCGGCCACGATGCGGGAGAATATCGAGGCAGCGCCAGCGGTGGCTACTACGGCAGCGATAGCTGTGCAGAGGGTTCGATTCTGGCGGAAGAGCTCGAGGACCGGTGCCGTTGCCTTGGAGATGTCCATTATAAATGATGTCTGCGGGTTTAGTATATATTCCACCAAACTGCCTTTATCACAGTAAAATAGATGGGTGTGGTGAGCAAACACTTATTCCACTTGTTGAGTGATATTGTACGGTCAGAATGATTCTCCGCCTTGGGCATCAAGTTAACTGTCAGGTATTTATATATTAGGTACCTAGTGCTTATATATATCATCTAGGACCCTCATGGGTGCGGTTATGTGATAGACGATCAACGGTAACCAAACCAGGAGGCATTACAACGTTCTCGGGACCGTACGGAAAGGCTAATAGGTTCTACTCCGACGTGTCTCGGCTCGGAGACATCGGAAACGTCGGACAACACTACCGGGAGTTTCTAGTTTAGAATTTAAAATGCTGACTAGGTTTTCCATGTAAATAATAAATAGCAGATATCACTTACACGCATTGTCAAAGAGGGCGACTTATGAAATATCTAGCGTGAGTTTATATATTCAAGTTCTTGTTGTTCCAACTTACCTAGGTCATATCCCTAGAATTGACGATAATCAGTCCAGCCAGTATGGATCCAACCCCTCCAGAAACTCCAAGTCAACGTTGACAAAACTCTTCCAGAGGTCGATCTCTCGGTGCCATGGCTTCGTCTGGATCGCAAATACAACTGCTGTGACGTACTTCAGTAGCTCGGCCTCGTCAAGACCCATAACGAGGATAGTCTCGCCGCGGTGCACGACACGTTCTCCGACCTTGAGTTCCTCTTTTAGAAGCTCAAGGCGCGTTTTTATAGTATGGTACATACTCCATTCGCTGATTGGCATGTCCTTGGGGATGAACTTCCAGATCCAGGACCGTGCTGTGCTGTCAAGAAACGCTGTGGCATGCCGGTTCCAGCCACCCAACATTGCTGGGTAGAAGTGCGGCGCCGACCAAATGCGGAGGACCGCGAATCTCGACTTGTCGTGCTTAGAGGCAAAAGTCCGGGCGAGCGGGAGGAAGACAGGCCACTTATCGGGACTGACGAAGCCCGGGATATTCTGAGGATACTGGATCGCCTTCTGTCGGTCGGCGTAGTCCATGAATAGATCCAGCTTGCCTGGGCGGTGCGGCTCGGAGTTGGCAACGGCAAAGCCGGGAACAACCAGCGGATCGTTTTGTAAATATCCCGGGGCGATAACTCCGGCGAGGTATACTTAAAATAAGATTAGCGACGAGCTTGTGAGCTATATGAAAATATGAGACTTACACTTCGCAATGATGGGCCGAATGGCAACACTCCATTCCATCGGGTATATATCCGCATAGTATTTCTGCTTTGTCTTGGCTTCCTTCAGCACACCCTCCCACTCCCTCCAGAACTCTTTTGGTCGATACTTGAAGCTTGTCCTCATGCGACAATCCGGGAGTTTCTTGGCGCGCTCGTCCAACTTAAGAAGGGGGGTATCCTTATACTTTTGGCCGTCTTCCGACTCGAAGAAGTCTGTCACAGGTCTACACAGCTCCAAGCTTGGGAAAAACATAGCCATGGAAACGAACGATTTGATGATGTCCTGTGCAATGAACGGGTGTGGCCAGCCCGCACGTGCATCGCGCGTATAGTTCTTATAATCGGTTCTAAGCCCGAGCCAGTCGAGCATGTCAACCAGAAACCAAACCCAGTCTGTCGACTCGCTGGTTTGGTGAGACCCGAGGATACCACCAAGGATCTTGCGGGTTTCAGCATATTTCTCTTGAGCACCTGGTTCTAAGTCTCCGGCATGGAATGCCTCGACAAATGCTGTAAATAGATTATTAGCAAATATTGTTATTACCGGATAGCACGTTTGACTTACCATCACCACGATCCTTTTCCATGACCATGATTTTGTCGGATTCTTTCAACTTGGATTCCACGCCGTAAAGGCTATTAATGCCGCCACGAATCACCTCTGAGGACTCGCTCAGAAGCCCGACTCGACGTAGCAGTTTTTTCTTCTCGCTACTAATATAGTTATGATTGATCGTTGCGATCGCGTCTTCCCATATCTGTGGTAGGCTCCAGTGAGTTACAATTTTCTTCTTGTCCTCGTCGTCGCTATCGGATTCGAGATCTGTACTCCAGTCCTCATCGTTGTCGGAGTCAGGGAGGTCAGACAGGTTTTTGTCCCGCTTGCTCATCTCTCTGGCTCCCTCGGCTAGGACGTTAATCATCGTAGCTGGCGTCGTCTCCAGCCGAGTAATCGAGTTTGTAACCTCCCTAAAGGGAACATTTCGATTAGGTGTGATGAGTTCATCGGAAAAGAGGACCAAGTCCTCGGCAGCATCGGAATCATTGTAGAATAGGTACGGGGAAGACTCGATATGCGCCTCGCCGCTCGTTTCGAGGACCGTCTTATTCACTACGTCCGCTGTGAGAAATGTGTTTGATGGATCGTTGACGTCGTCCCACAAGCTTGCGACTTGCTCTCCCGGCTGGATAGAACGAACACGCATCGTCTCTTTATCTCTTGTGAGACCGCGAAGGAACGGCTCTCTGTGCCGATACACGTCAAAAGGCTTGGCTACCCTCCATGCTTTTCGGAGTTCCTAGACAATATTAGCACTAGGATAGCCTGTATATATGTGTTTGCCATACCGTAACGATTATGTTGTAAAGAAGGATAGGGTCGTTGCAAGGGACAAAGTCCCATAGCCAGACTTCGTAATAGTCTTCGAAGCCCAGGCGCCATTTTCTGAGTATGTCCACCATATCAAAGTACTCAGGGCCAACCTCGAGTAGTATATCCCACTCATTCTTCGAGGCGCGACCAAGTCCTTCCTTACGGCGTAATGTCCACAGATGCTCCTCTTCAGGGGCGGTAATTATCTTTCCTGTCTTGCCATCCCGCACGAGGACGAGCAACTCACCGGCGCGCATCGTACAATATTGGAGAAAACGGCGAGTTACCGAGTCGTTGCGTCTCATGTGGCCGACAACAATGTTTCTAGCTTCGACAATATTGTGCTGGCGCCGGTGCTGGCTCCGAGCACCAATCTGAAAATGCCGGCTATGATTCCGGGCCTCGAAGTCCTTGAAATAGGGGAAGAACCCCTGTTCTACAGTTAGAATAATATTCCCAACGCTTGGCTTACATGGCTAGGGTAGCAAGAAAGGATAATGGGGGGAATAGATGATACTTACAAGTTCATGTAGCTGTTGCGTTAACCTATCGCTTCCCCAAGATATCCAGTTCGATGCGGGGAAGTATTGCCAAACGGTAAGGAAGTTGAGCTGCGAGAATTCGTCCCAGTTTCTACAGAGCTGGACGGCATGCTTTAAGTCGCAGTCTTTTGCCATGACGGAGAACTGAAGCCAGCCATTTCGAGACATGGAGTTTTCGCTTGAATAGTTCCAGATGCTTTTACCACAGATACGAATTTTCATCTTGCTCTGCTTACGGGATTTCTTGCCAAACTCTTTCTTAAACTTTTCAAGTTCGCCATCTTTGCCAACGAGTTTCTGACGCTGGGCAAGCATGTTAGACAGGAACCATTCAGGGCCTTGGAGGTGACCATATCGATGTTCTTGGAGTATAACGTCTTCGAATGATTCTTCCTCGAGGACGTCCTCATCGTCCTCCTCCACCTCAGGCTCGTCTCCCCTAATAAGATCCGCACAAGCATCCCGAATGTCCTGAAGACTAGGCTGTTCTACTTTAAGGCAGAGATCCCGGAGGTCGGATTCAGCAATCTCGGGATCACTAAGGAACGCTTCTACGCTTGAGGACCGCACAGCCGCAGGGAGTAAGGAGGCGTGCGATAAGAGGAGACGGCAGAATAAGAACAGCTTAATCTCCTTTATGTCTCTCATGAGAGAATCAATCTCTTCATCTGCTAAGGGAGCTGTCTTAAGGTGGGTGCCGTGAGGGTTTTCCAAGGTTCCAACTAAAATCGGACCCTCGATATCGTCGTAGTTCTTTTCTACGCCTTCTTTGAGGCGTTTTCTCATTTCAGACTCGGTCTCGATATTGCTCTTGTCCGGCTCTGGGAGCTCCTCTAGTGGCTCTGAATCATCATCTATCATCTCCATGATTCGGCTTTGGCCTGTCAGACGATCGCGGGATGAGGCGGTGCCTCCCTGGGGTTTAGTTTTACTTATTATAGGTACTTGTTTTGTAGCTTTGGATTTCGCCTTCTTCTTTGACCGTTTGGGCTGCTTCTCTTCAGATATTGCAAGCTTTTCCATACTACCGGCAGGATTGGAGGAATCGGCAGTTTTCCGAGTAGAACTCTCGCTTTCGTCGATGTCAGCGAGGACCTCCATCCATAGGAAATGCTTTATAAGGTCAACATATCGACTACGTTCGTCATCGACGACATCTTCGATGGGATCCCACATTTCCGCGTCGTCTTCGTTATCAACTGACATAGACATGCGCTCCTGGTAGGCTGTTTCAAGATAGGCATCTTGGCGCTGCTTTTCTTCCTTCTTGCGCTGAGCTCGCAAGCGAGTCTGCATCTTCTTCCAGTGGCGCTTGAACATGGCTGCCTCGAGCTTGGCTTTCTTCGATTCTTTTTCACGAGTCGCCTCTTCTTCCAGTTGGACTTCGCGGACCCATTTGTACCATTTTTCTTTCTCATAAAGAACCTGAGCAGTGCGTGTCTCGAGCTTCTCGAGCGCACGCAAGACGATATGACGCCGATTAGAAAGAGTATCCAGATAAGCCTGATGGCCATAGTCCATCTGGAGCGGGTAGAAGTGCTTATGATGAAGCTTCCGCGCGTCCATCACCTTTCCAAGAAGTACATATTCTTGGTAGAGATGAGCGTGTATCTCCCGCAAGACAGTCTCGTCGCTGGCATCTTCAAACGTTTCGTTGGCCAGTGGAACCTTAGCTGTTTTTAGGTAAAGGGGAGCATTGTCCGACAGAGCATCCAGTTTGGCATTTCGTCTCTTGTAGCCGATATATAGGCCATGGCACTGCTTTCCGTGAAACCTACAGAAAAGGTTTTCCCACGTCGTAGCGACAGCGGTACATGGCTGGCCATCAGACAAGTTCACTGCCTATATATTGTGATATCAGCTTTGGAACCGAAGTTGGATAAATGATAGTCGGTTTTGACTAACCTGGCAGGTTGGATCTTGTGACGCCATTATAAACAGTAAGATAGCAAATCTAAGTCTAGAAGTATGGCTAGTTATATAAGGATAATACCATGTAAGTCTATGTTTGTGTATACATTAGAGCTTTATCGACATGAATATCGTAGAAGTTGTTCTAGTTTGTCAGCTTTAAAAAGTTAGAAGTTAGGTGGGAAGATCCTGATCAGGGGTTATTTACCCACTAAGCCCACTTATCAAGCCACTTAAGACTCGGACCAATAATCAATCTTGGACAAATGAAGGTTTTATGACGAATCGAATTTCTTACAACTACCTGCCTAAACCTAATGATACCCAATCGTGTATATCGTTACCACTACTTCTTCATCTCGTTATCGCCATGTTTATATGCGACAGCGGCAAGCCTGATTGGACTGGTATTGGGCGTCAACTACGCCCGAATTCTTTTTCCGGAATTTGTTAGATGGCGGACGAGTGATGCCCAAATCGATATCTCATAAACTGCTACCATCTTTTTGCTAATTCTGGTATGTAGCTTTGTGTCAACCCGTAGTGTAGTTATTGGGGGCTGCTGTGTGCTGAAATAGATGTGGCGAGTCGAGCGTGGTAGTGACTAACGACGTCGTTGCACGCCTAACTTGCTTCGTTTCGGTCTCCATAGTCCGTGGACGTTGAACTCTAGATCCTTCATATTTGAGTAACACGTCGTCCCCAGGAATAGCCAAAGTGGATTTCGCTGGTCGATCAGACATGCGAGCCTGGTACATGAAAACCTGAGACAGAGCTATCCTGTAGCTTAACGAGTGCGCGAGTCGCGGGTTTCTGTCCGTCTCATCGCTAAGACTGTTCGTTGGCTTAGTGATCGACTCGGGTTGAAAGGACATTGGAAGAGGCCTGTCATGTGATGCTCGCGCTTGTGACATCTGGAATTCGGATCTGCTGGGCCGGATATGGATACTATACTCAGATACCATAGAGCTACAACTTGTGCTTGGCGTTATGGACAAGAAGGTCTGAGGATAAGGGTTAGTTGAGTCAGAGCTACTAGGTCGGTTCTGTAAGCGGCTCGGGTATGATTCTGTATGAGATCTAAGACGGTCGGGTTGCTGAAATAGAGCACTTAGACCGGTGTTAGGTCCTATTACCAGCGCAGTGTGGTTTTGAATCCAGGGAGGTGGTTGTTTGGGCAAGGTTGATGCTCGTATATCTGGAGATATATGATATCTACCAGAAAAGTCATCTGGGAGCTTTGATGATACGTTTCCCGAGATCATCGTCTCTGGCAACCCGAAGTCCTGGTAGGGTGAAGTAATTGCTACAGGGCTAAACCGCGGCTGGGCTATATCACTGCGATCACAGCGATCACACTCGAGTGAAGGGATGGATGTCTTCCAACCTATATCATTGTTGGTCGGTATCGTAGCTTGACCCAAAATCGAACTACCAGAATTTAATGGCTGTTCAGACGTGGAAAAACGACCTAGGTGCCTGGATTAGCGCTGCGAAAGAACTATGTGTGTATTAAGATGTCCATAATACCTAATGCCTCTTTTTTCCTATTTCCCAGTAAACGTTTAAAGAAACCAACGTTCTTCAACTGCTTTTTAGGTGTTTCCCTCATCGCTACTAAAGACTTGTCTGACCGACGCCCCTTGAAGCGTCGGATCCTTTCTAACATCGTCGCACATAAAATTTCACATGTTGCTACCTCACGTTAGAGCCCTGTAAAAGCTAAAAGAAAAAAAAAATCCTAGTTATGTATGTCTTAAACATGATATATATGTAGACCTACACCTTGGCATGAAGTCTGTCAACGCGTTACCAACAAGACCCTGATCTAATACCGTGAAAGCGTGGCTTGACTTAATTAGCCAGCTGAACTCGCACTCATACCCTCGGATGAATCGGTTATGTAATTCAGAATGATTATACCGTCTTCGGACAATAAATTCAGGAGTCTGAGGCGGTCAGCGCTTGTCGTCCCAATGGCGTCTTAACTAAATTAGAGATTACTGATCTACAACGTAGGTCAGCCCATTACAGAAAGCTGATCCGCTAGAGCAAGAAATATCGGACTTGGGCTGAGCAGATAATATGACATTGATCTAAAATTGCTTATGGACGAACCATTTCTTCCACACAACTACCTAACCTAGTCATAAATCAACACTCCGGGTGGGGGCCGTTTTGTTGTGGCTCTAGCGTGGAAGAGGTTATACAGCCAAGTGGTGCATTATTAGGGGAACATATGCTTGGCTTCCACTTACATATACCTATGCATAATACTTGCGGTTTAAAAATATACAGCACGGTTCCCAGGTCAGACGTTTCACTTCTATTTTATATACGCATAGCCGAGACTGCTCTCAGAAACCCTATATACAACCGGGCAGATAACAATCCAAGGACTGCCCATTTCATTAGTACCTCTTCATCCCCGAATGCATTAGATATGGTAACCCTCCGTCTAAAAGCTTTCAACCACAGGCGTGACGACTGTTTGTGTCATCGAAGGATGTCTATGGCCGTCTTCATCACTAATCCTATCCACCCCCGGGAAAACGATTATGTGATTCGGATTTACACCATCTTCGAAGCGGAATCGATACTCCGAGGGCTGAGAGAATAACAAATAGCCAAACGTAGCGCATTCTACAATCACTTCCCGTAAGTGGTTCTCCTGTTCGTATCTGTCTTCACGATCGCCCGCTACGAAAGGCTCGAGGAAGATATTCAGGGCCTCAGCAAGCCGTTGCGCTTGGTGAGTGCTAACATCTTCAGATGGAACTAATGGTGTCCTATCGCTTCTGCTTGGGTGAAGCAAGAAGGCGGATAACTGTCGCCATCGAGTGAATGCAGCATCGACAGCTATTTTGATCATATATGTATCAGTACTTGCAATACCATTAACCGGGCTGCCCTACTTACCGTCCGAATTTCCTCTAAAGCTCTCCGTAGCCGGTATCAAGGAGGCGAACGAGGATACCGGCTGTGGAAGCAGAGATAAAGGCGAGGTCCCGTCAAGGGTGACGCTGGCAAATGTAACGCTGGCAATGATGTGCTGAATAGCACTGTATCGACTTCTCGGGCTTAGGGCTAAAGAAGCAAGTGTATCGGCCAGTAAGGTATCGCCCTGGCCTACTCCTAGATGAACCAGCTCCGCAGATAGGACACCTACATTACGCGAAACCGGCAGGTTATGGTAGTTATTTTCGACATGTTGCTGCAGCAGTTGGCTCAAAGAACGAAGCTCCGTGCGTATTTCAGCATCCGGGGTTGGATCTAAGAGAAATTGGTCCAGCTGCAGTCTATCTGTTGATATATGACTCTGCAAAGGCTTCTCCTGGCTATCGTATTCGCCTCCGCGCGACCTATCACCCGACCCTCGCCGCCTTCGCTGTCGGAACAAGAAAATCCCTAATATAGTTCCCATTATCAACCCCGCGACAGCACACGCGATAGCAATCCCAGCGACGGCTCCACTGGAGAGACCTGAGTTGCCATCTGATTCGACCGACTGGGTAGCATTTATAAGCGACGGTGATACTCGGCTCGAAGACGTACTCGAACTATCCGTTGTGGATGTAGAAGACGTAGTTGAGGAGGAAGTAGTAGAAGTGGTAGTGAAGCTGTTCCAAAATTCCGTCGAAAAGCTAAACACGGTCTGTCCTGGCGCCCTGGTCCATACATCAACTGCTTCATAAGAGGTCCCTTTAGTAAATACGGTAGAAACCGTTGTCTGCGATATCGATATCTCTGCCATTGTGCCGAGCACCAGAATCTAGATGGTTTCAAATTTCACCTAGATTCGTGATTATAGAAGTAAGACAGACTATCCTGTGAGATGATAGAGAACACCGTTATTTTACGGTACGTGGATATACTCAAAATAGCACAAAAGAGTATCCCGCAGGCCAGGTAACACAGCCCCGATTACTGTAGGGCACGAGTGGGATCTGCGGTACGAGGACAACATTCAAGGCGCTATTGTCTAGGTTACTAAGAAGCCTCTACTATGATAGTATTAAAAATACACAACAACTCGCGATAGCTACTACCTCACTATTCGCTTCGAATCAACTCACGAGACCTTTAGTACGGAATACAGTAGTTTGAATTGGGTATATAAACTAAAAGCTGTTTCCGGAGACGCATTTACGCATGGTCATATTCCTTTAGCATTGAATGACCGGTGAGACGTGTGCTGGGGAAGACAGGGAGACGGGGAGATAGGGCGAAAATGGGAATGAACAGGGATCAGCCGCAGCCTGTTTTGCTAGATGCATGCTCTAATGAGTTGGGGGCTTAAAGCTATACTTGATTTGACCACTTAAGATGATACACATCGCTACCGGATTTGCTACTCTTGAACAATGCATACTATGTATGTAGGGGTTGCACTTTGAACGACTCGGAGTAGTAATGTTTGCTTATAGTATCGTACCATTATATCACAACGCCAACATTCTTTGTTATCGGCCACCTGGATCATGAGTTGAATGAACAAGAATAGAAGTTTGCCGAGGGGTCTTAGCACAGCCATCCATGAGCCAACAAACGATCCTATCTCCACACGACCCAGACCCTAAGATCTATTATTTGAATTTCAATCCTAAGGACGGAGAAAAATGTGATCCATGCGCAGCGTCTATCGACCCAACCTCGACCCAACCGGAACACACAGCCTTATTATTATTAAGGGATAGGTACAGGATTACATAGATCGAACCCTTGTTCTTTCAACGTGGATCGGTCGTAACGGATACTGCTGTAGGGCCTTTGAGGCTCTTGGGTAACGTCCACTTATTTATCAAGCGAACGTTGTAGAGCAATCTTAACAGATACCTTGTTGTTGTCGCTTTACAACTATTACATACCCAGATACCTTAGATACCTACCTAGGTATGTTTCTAGTTACCCGACAATTCTCAAGTCATGCACGTAAATGCGCGTACTAGCCCACCATGGCAAGCGAACGACCTGATATACTTGTAGCCATTGACTTAGGAACAACTTACACAGGCAAGTGACATATATTCACCGCTTAATCTTTGTTATAACGTGCTCACTCCGCGCAAAAGGTGTCGCATGGGCGCGACCGCAGCGGAATCAGACTCTGCAAAGCCCTATTCAGATTATACATAACTGGCCTGGCACCTCGACTAAGAATGAGCAGAAAGTTCATACTTGTCTTGTCTATAATGATGACGAGAGCTTGTCATCGTGGGGCTATTTGTGCGAAGATGATGACATGATAGATAAAAAGAAGCGAGAATTCTTCAAGATCTTTCTCGACCAGCGAACGTTGGAGGATGCGCACCGCCGAAACATTGGCCAGACGCCCAGCTCCGTCTGCGATGCACAAAGATTAGTCTCTGACTACCTACGCGAAGTTTACTCGCACGTCAAATCAACCGTGGAGTTGCATACTGGTATAGGCCACGTGGGATGGCAAGAATTGGTTGTCGAATTCATCTTCAGTGTCCCGACGACGTGGAGAAGCCAGGAGATAATCAACTCGTTCAAGAAGTGCATCGAAGATGCAGGGTTTGGCATCGAGGGACGGTACCATACAGCCAAAGTCGAGCTGACAGAGTCTGAGGCCGCAGCCGTCGGTACCATCAAGAACTCACCTGTGGTTTTTGAAGCAGGCAACATTTTCTTGTCTGTCGACGCAGGAGGGGGAACTACGGACCTCGCCCTAATGCAGATCGTCGAGGCGCGGCAGCCGTTTCCGTTACTGTCCCAGCTGAATCAAGTAGACGGTATTGGGATTGGCTCGACCTTAATCGACCAGGCCTTCGTAGCGATGATAAATAATCGTCTCAGTCGGTTCCCTAACTTAGTAGACCAACTCCCTCCTGACTGTGCTGAGAGACTTGTCAAGAGCGAGAGATATCGAACAACGAAGCATAAGTTCGGAGAGCGAGTTTACCAATCAACTTGTTATAAGCTCCCCTTAGACGGTGTTCCTTACAACCTTAACCACAGTGGCGCGCAGATCGAGCTCGGTAGGATAGTAGTCTCATGGTATATCAATTCTAGACGCCATATCAAACTAGTTTGGATCTAACAAGCCTCGTAATAGGGAAGAGATGCAGTCCCTCTTTGACCCGCACGTCGAAGGTATCATGAAAAAGATATACGAACAGCTAGATTGGATGTTAGCTAATGGTATTAATCGGCCGATAGTAAGTTTACATAATAGCTTCACCAAGGACTAAGAGACTGATGCATCGAATCAACTAGAGCTATATGATTCTATCCGGCGGACTTGGGAGCTCCAAATACGTCCGCGATCGCATTCAACATGAAATGATGACTAGCTTATACCCACACGCCCATCAAGTCAAGGTACTACAAGCCCCTGATCCGCAACTAGTCGTTGTGAAGGGTTTATTGTTAGACAGATTGCAAAATCTGGAGTCCGGACTGGTTCCGGTCATAGTAAGTAGAGTAGCTCGAGCGAGTTACGGTCTTGTATGCAAGACAAAGTACAATCCAGATATACATTTTGATGAGGATATTAAGACGGACTCTTACGACGGAGAGCAATATGCCATGGGCCAGATCGACTGGCTTATTAGAAAAGTATGCTTTCTAAACTTCTATTTTTCTGACGAATGCTAAAGTGCCTACTCACTTACCTAGGGCGACTCTATAAACACGAATGTCCCCATCAGTACAACTTATACGAAGAAAGTGGACCCAAAAGATTCGAACCGCAGTTGGGATTCGATTGTCGTGATCTCAGACTTAGATCCTTACCTTTTACCACGCAGCATTAATCAAGGTGAGTCATCCGGGATGTTATAAGACCCAATAAATTGTATATCGTACTCATTCTTAGTAGAAGGGTTCAAACAGCTCTGCATAGTAAAAAGCGACATCACGGGGATAAGCCACGGCGATATGGTTATGAAGCGTAAGTCAAGAAGGTTCTTGTTCCATGGCAAGAAGTTCTATCTGTGTAGTTACGAGGTCCGGGCTATCGTAGCCCCTGCGGAACTGAGGTTCGAGTTGTGGTTTGCCGGGCAGAAGTTCTCGGGGAACCACGAGCCCATCAAAATCACTTGGGATGCCGAAGGATCTAAAGTCGGCGGATAATAGTTAATCAAAAGCAGGTCTTGGGTTGGATAGCATGATACAATACCATACTTGAAGCTAATATTAAAGTAATATGAAAAAGCTTAATCGATATATTTGTCGATATGGGATATTCACTTCGCTGTCTACCCGCCAGTTGATTACTGCATAGAACTTCGTAGGATATATCATTCATGTTATATACTTAGTTTCTAATACTATATATTATCTCTATTGACCAAACCGAGAAATCACCCACTGGGCTACCCAGCGAGGGGGCAACAGTGTAATGTGGCTACTACCAGTTAAAGGGGTAGGTGGGATAACTTCACTCAGTACTGTTCCCAATCGAGACTCGAGACTCGAGACTCGACTACCTATTTTCTAGTCCACATTTTACTCCCCGTCACCTACAAGTCAGATATATAGTATACCATGAAAGATATGAGCACTTTCACCAATAGTTCATTCTACTTATAGAGTTGATAGTAGCTTTCGCGCCCACCAAGAGCGTAAGAGCAGAAACTATTTCGACCCAATTATTAAGATATCACGTATTCGGTCCGGCCGGTCATTTTATAATACCCTCAATTGATATCAACTACTCCGCGACTCTGATTACACCTGATTTAATAAGCGGGCCGATTCATCAGATCCCTAATCTTGTCCCTCATGCTTGTGCTACTTCGCCGACGCTGCTGAGGATGATCAACCATGTTGACGGCGTGGCAGTCACCGCTGGAGGGGAGCCGAGTGGCACCGATGCGGTTTGTCCGGCCTCACCAGCAGGGTCAGTATATTGTATTGTGTGGTTCTTATATAGGGTATTTGGCGATGCTTACACACGAAGTCACCTCTGCCAGCGTCGTCGATCACTGCCTGGTACTTCTCCTTGGCCACGAGAAAAGCCTTTGACATGTTGGGTTTACTTTCAAATATTGTTTCAATCCAAGCGGTGATATGATGCTCAGATGGCTTTGAAGTTAAACTTAAAAAGTTGTGTAGGTTGAAGGTTTGAGTTCCCGTTCACCTTAAAGATCGATTAGACCTCCACCTATATATAGAGAAGTGTATCGGCCATGTCAGCTGGGGGTTGACCCCTCACCGTGATATCAGCAGGTTGGGGGTCTATTGGGGCGACCTACATCGTTTGATTTCATCCTAAAAGGCAATTGGCTATTGAGTATCAATGAACAGAGAATGACGGAGGTAGTTCATGACTCCAATGTAGTGAAGTCTACCGGTACCTATGCAGGTAAAGAATAGCTAAGGAGAGCGGGGTGAGTGACATCTCAAGATTGATAGGACACCGAACATCACCAGGCAAATACGGATATAGATTCGTCTGATAGCAAGTCGAGAAGAGAGATTAATGAGCTCGAGACGATATTTCATACAGCAGCCCCGCCAAGTTATATTTGTGTCAGCTAACCACAACGTTGATGAAAATGGCTGTGACTTGTTTAAGACCATATAGCTGCAATTAATGTCAAATTCAAGACAAGACGAAGAAAGGGATATATGAATTATATTCCCCAGGTTTTAGGCTTTCAAGTAAGGGGGCTAGAATATATCGTAACTGGAGTACGAAGGCATTGTACCTAGGTACCTTTACCTTAGGAAGTACATACATAAAAGGTAGCGCTAAAACGTAGCTCTAAGATGGGCTAAACTTTCAATTAATTTCTATAACCTGATTGGTAGATCCCCCAAACCCCTACCCACCCATCGAATATGAGCACGGTCCACCTTTTGTTCTTGCCAAACTTTAGCTAGTGGAAACTTTCCCAGCCATGTCTCACCCTTTTCCATAGCAACGAAGCGCTAGAAACTCCATTCTTCAGCCAACTTTCCAACCACCACTCCCACCCACCTCCAGCCCAGCCCAGACGTTTAGCCGAGCAACGAAGCCAAACGCAAGGACAAGTCGTTCAGCTCTGGCCATGTCATAGTATACAATACCGTACTAGCAGGAGAGACACCTTAATAGTCATTCGTTCCAATTTACATACTAACTACCGTTAATAATACTATTTACTTTCGTTTCCTCTTCGAGCCCTCATCGTCTGGGCTCCGTGAGGTCATCGGCACAGCGCAATCCCGTCCAATAGTAACGACTACCATATATCTCACCCACATCATTCGTTATACCCCTACGTTTTTCCCCTCTCGCGTATATCTGCGCCGAATAGATATTGAGTAAATCACTCGTCGTCGCCGACAAGATGGGTGGTTTCGGGGACTTCACGGACATATGCCACACGGCGCCCTTGCCGTTGTGTCCATCCGTCGGACCCATCACTTCCGTCTCGAGCGGCGTCGGCGTCGAAACCGACTGCTTCGCGCGAAATATCGAGCTGGCCAATACCATCATCTTCCAGGGCGCATCCAGTTTCATACACATTATCGCTTTGGTCATGACTATAATGATGATCTTACATATCCGAGGGAAATTCACTGCCGTTGGTAAGCAGCATTCGTATTGAGCAGCCTGTAGAGCCATTCGTATAATCCTAACCAACATTTATTTGCAGGTCGCAAGGAAATCCTAGCGTTCTTCTACTTTTACATGCTACTATCGTTCATCTCCCTCTGCGTCGACGCCGGTGTTGTTCCTCCAGGCTCCGAACCTTATCCATACTTCGTTGCGATACAATCCGGCCTCACGTCCGCGCTGATCACCTGTCTATTAATCAATGGATTCGTCGGCTTTCAGCTCTACGAAGACGGCACCCCCTTGTCCGTATGGATGCTGCGGCTTTCCTCCTTTGCGGCTTTTGTCGTCTCGTTCCTCGTATCGCTAGCTACGTTTAAGTCATGGGCCGGCATGGGACCGGCGAATACAGTAGGCCTATTCACGGTTCTATATCTCCTGAACGGCGTACAACTCCTCATCTATGTGGCTCTACAGATTTTGCTCGTGGCCCGGACCTTGGAAGACCGCTGGCCGTTGGGAGATATCGCCTTCGGCCTCTTCTTCTTCATTGTGGGGCAAGTCATATTATATGCGCTCAGTTCCACGATTTGCCAAGCGACTAGTCATTATGTTGATGGTCTGTTTTTCGCAACAACCTGCAATCTGCTTGCTGTCATGATGGTTTACAAGGTAGGCTCTGCTCACATCAACCTTAGCGCTCGAGCTTTCTAACAGTGAATTTGTAGTATTGGGATTCGATCACGAAAGAAGACCTCGAGTTCTCCGTAGGTACACGGATGAATAACTGGGAAGTGAAAGAGCTTCTTCCCGAGGAGGAACGCCGTACTACTGTCTATATGGACGAACCTTACGGTCACTCTAGCCCTTACGACCATTCCTCGTCTCCTTCAAGAAACCGAATGTCCCGCTATTAGTTGCCCGGTATTGCGGAATCTTCGGACGGCGAGAAGGAAGGATCCGAGAGAGGAGACTGCGAGAAAGGAGGGATTATCTGCTTCGAGGTGGCCTGAAACGTTCAGAAGCATGTTGCATTTGCGAGGCGTCTTGGTTTGGTTGGTGAGCTCATGTGGGCTCCATTGGAGCAATAGATGAACATATTCAATATCAGGGTATTGGCACTTGCAGCGATTGCTGGATTGCGATTGCGATTGCATGCTTAAAATGGACCTGATGTGGCAACTGCGGCGACGACGGAAGTCGAGTAATATTTATATTGTACATACTGAGTATTTAACTACTACGAATATATGAATCTATCTTGATGGAATTTTAATCAACAGATGCCCTTGCTACGTTTGGGTAGGTGTCGATTGTCTGCAAATGCTTCGATTCGGGCGTCTACGCATAAAACGCTGTCGTCTTTATGTAGTAAAGCCTTCGCTGCAATATCTATCAAGGTCTGCTTTGGCCGAAGGGTTGGTATCGAGAGTCCCTATCAGACCCAAAGAATCATAACAGCCTAGAACGCCCTGACATGATCTTGAGGTGTTCTCGTGAGACTCTAACTTTGTCTAGAGCTAAATCTCGTATCGACCTATCCACCTTCCCTAGAGGATGGGGAATTTGTCGTCTCTTCCCTTTTAGACCCAACCATCCTCTCGAAGTATACAACGCCATTCTACTGCCTATTGACGATGGGACCAGATTCGTTATAGATGCCGGCTGTTCAGTTGCCTATCGTCAAGGGTGGTGGCTCTAGAGCCTAAAAATGAGGCAGACCATGCTGCATATCAGACATCGGTATATCGTCTCGTTTAATCTCGGTAGCATATATCCAAGCTTCGCATCGTATTATATATAGACCTTTTTTTTTCGTGCTTTCGGAATCCTCAGCCCCCTTTAGTCTCCGTCGTCGTTAAAGCTAAGCTTGATCTTCTTCGCCTTCTTCTTGGTCTGCTTCGTTCCCGATTTGGCGTCAACGGCGGGTTTATTACTGTTCTTTGTCGAAGAACTCTCTTCCTTCTCTCGGCCTTTAATGTTTCTTAATGGCTTTCGCTCCTCGTCCTGGACTCCGTCCTCATCGGTGCCGCCAACCACCCGTCCTACCTTGCGTTTTTTGCCTGCCCCAATGCCAGCTATTTTCTCTTTCTCCCTCTCTTTCCCATTGTCTACGCTGGCACCATCATTCCTACCATCTGCATCGTCATCTGCAGGAACATCCGCGTCCGCGCCGGACGGGAGAGCGACGGTGTTCCCCGCCTCGTCGACGACAAGAGGCGCATCTTCGGCCTCCTCGCTGGCGGACCGCGGCCGTGCTGCTCGTCGTCGCGCAGCTAGGATAGGGTCCGGGGAGTCGGAGTCGCGCTGTTGCTGGTGCTGGCCGCGGAGCTTGGCTAGGAAGGGAGGTAGATCGCTCGAGTAGGCAAGATTCTTGGAGGTGATTTTTGGCTCGTGCTGTTGGGAGGACATGGTCTGATTCTTGTAGCTGGGGTGGAATGTGATTTATTAGTGAACAAGCAGTACAAGTTGTATTGAGGAAAGCGTTCAACATCTTTGGCTGGTTTACCTCCCGTTAGCGGGGCCGATCTCTGCAGCTGTGGATCCGCTGCTACGCACGGACCAGCCACCAATGAGGCGTCACCGCCCACGGAATGGCTTTAATTGTACACACAATTATTCTCGTAATCTTTACATAGATTCAATAATCAACGATACTACGCGACTCACTTAGATGCTATTACTGATCGTAATACTGCATCCTGAGTCCTTGTATTCGTAGGCATAGACGCACACAGCTGTGGTACCTACATAGGTACCTAGGTACATAAGTACCTACTTAAGTTCATTCCAGTTACACCAATGCTACCTACTCAGAGTGTGACTACATACCTACCTCATGACCCCAAAAGTTACCCAGGAGTCGAGAACAGCGAATACTAAAGCATTATGTAGTCGTCTTATAAGGCAAAAAAGGTGGGACATAGGGATAATAATAACAGGTTCTTACACCGGTTTATTGAGGCAACGAGACGTGAGACTAAGCAGACGTATTGTAAACAAGATCATAAGCAAGGAAAACCACTTCCAAAGATATCTCAATTTTCAACTTGACTTTACATTCCTCCCAAAAATTGTGTAGGAGGACGCTTATTCATTTCAAAGTAGACCAGCAGTCCCGACAGTCCCGACGTTAGTCTTAAATCAAAATGAATTAAATCGAATAGGATGTTTAGGTATTTATAAGTTTGCCTCATTACTTATGACTGGACTCATGTGAATTTACCATATTTATTTTCTTTTAATATCAAAACTTGATTCCGTTTTTAGATGCCAATTATGGTGGACCATTAGTGCAACTGTGCTAAAATCAAGAAAATGGGTGGCATTATGTTTAATAAGGTAATAGTAACGTTAAAGGTATAGTGTAAGCTCGATTATTTGCCTTATATACATAATTTACAAGGTAATACATACTTTTTTTAAACTTAATAATATAATAACTTTACGAATATTTATTTAGATTTTTTTTAAAAGGTATTAATATTTCGATTAATAAATAATAAAAATTATAGTTTAAATTATATGTTATTTAATTTAATATTAATAAAAATATTAAAAAAGTTATAAATATAATTATATAAATTACTTTTTTAAAAGGTTTAAAAAATTAATTAATTAAATTTAACCTTTACTTTAATTTTAAACTATTTAATTATTTTATATATATATATATAATATATTTAAATAATTTTATAAAAATAACAATTTAAACGTTACGATTAATATTATTTTATAACTTTAATTAATGCGAAAATAATAAATTAAATTACATGTTTATACGATATGTATTAAATATTATAATGTTATTAAAATATTTAAAGTTTATTTAAAATAACTTTATTAAAATGTTTTTAAAAAATATCACGTGTTTGTTTTTTTAAATAAATAAACGTTATTTAATTTTATTACCATATAATATTTAAAAAACCGATTTAAATGTAATTTAAATTATTATTTTTACATTAATTAAAATTATAAAACGATTTTAATTATAATGTTTAAATTATTATTTTTATAAAGTTATTTAAATGTGTTATATGTTATATATAAAATAATTTTTTATATTTTATTTTATATATATCCCGTATAGTGTATTATACTCTTTGTTATATTACCTTTTTTGGAAAATTCCGATTTATTTTATTGATTTTGGCACAGTTGCACTAATGGTCCACCATACCAATGCCTTGCTTAAAATTTCCACGAAAAGAATATAAATGATTAAATCGCCCAAGCTAATCAAATCTAGCTACCAATACATAAAGTATAGACTAAATAAGTATTGCTATCGCTTAACCAAAGTTAAGTGGTTTAAAAGGGGTCTGTTGGGCATGCTTGAACACGTCTTGTATGTGGTAAGGTTGACCTATGAAATTCAGGTATAATCCTTAACGTCCAATGCAATCGAGTCATGACCAAAGAGTGCCACGTGTGTTAATATAATTATACTCCCAAGTGTGATAGTACATCCTATCATTTTGATGCCTTCTAATCTCGCCCTAAATTGCCACCGCCATCGCCATCGCCATCATAGCTGGGCTCTAATTAGCGAGGTAATACATCTAATGTAAGAAGATGCCATGATCATACACTCACAACGCTTCTTTTTCCTGCCCTGTTAATGTGATCGTGAATTGGTCCCGTTTTAACTTCTCCGTTGTTATTACTCTCTCCACAAAGCAATAAACCGAATACCGGTGTTAAGGTGCTTGCTAGCGTACCTGTACAGAGTATTGACCAGGATATTTATGATCAAGATACTGCTTCAGTTGTCTCGACGTGATCCTTGATGCTGATATATATAAGATGTTTGGGCCTTGCCATTTCCCTGTTGGCGCTTGGGATGGAGCTCGTACTTCGTAAGTCATTGCTGGAATTTTTAAGATATCAACATATATCTCTACTAGGCAGCGGGCATTAAGTGGTTTTTGATTGGTTTCGGCGTAGATAAATTGCGAGGATGATTTTGTAACTCTTATATATCTTCGACGAGATAAGCAGGGGCGAAAATGTCGTGTAAAATTTTCACGGGCTGTGCTCGTTATATAGTGGGACGTTTCAAAGCCACACAATTTGCTTGTTTCTGGTAAGATGGATTTGAAGAAATGTGCTGAAGGCCAACATCAGCGAGCTCTTTATATAAAGCCAAAAAGCTATGTCTAGGAGCTTTATGTTCCAGACCTATCCATGGTTCGTACGTGGAGCAATTGGAATTAACGCCTTACTTGTGCCTATGATTTGCTATTGCAGTGCAATTAAACTTGTATGCCAATGCACAAGAGTTATGAACTTCTGGGCAATGGTTGCTCATATTCTGCCTATCGTTAAGCCTTAAAAGCCTCGAAGAGGAGATTTGGGTTGCCCAATTGTAAATATACGGTCCTAAAGTGTCACATTAGTAAACCCTGCCTGAACAATATTGCTACGGAGGACGATAATCCTAGCTTATAAATAATTGATTTTGCTTTGCGGCTTACTTAGAAACGTGTCAAGATTTGGAGAACATTGAGAGGATCAATCTACATACCTATTATAAGATTTCGAGATTTCATAATTTTAAACCGATACATAGGTACATACTGATTGTACTTTGTGCAACTGCACAATATAAGGTATCGAATGTATGTACCAGGTACATTTACAATGTGCCTCATTAATAAGGCTATCACTGAACTACCTACATGTACCTATTTCTGCGGCGGACATCACCCCTCCACGATGCCCGGAGGCTGAGCGAAACTACCCCGGCGGCTGTCAGCCTGCATATGCCTAGCCGGGAATAGTATCATGAAACTGCGCCGGCTTGTTATGCTCGGGGATCTAAATACCAGATAAGACATTGAGCTTATCATCGCCGATCTGATGCCTCCATTTTATATTTGCTTACCTACTATATTTCTTTTATTTCAGTTTTTGTTGTTATTTCTTGCCCTCCTAGTCTTTACAGCCAACTAGCTATTTACATAACATATTAAATGCTCGTCGTCGCTTCGCCAGGAATTGACCTTACCCTTTATTATCGAGAATTTCTTCCTTAGGAGACGTCTTATCTATTGGCCAACATTAGGATATGCGCGGCCCTGCCTATAGCTAAGATACGGTGCAAGAACGAGGCTGCAGGTGAGCTTCACACCGGTGCTACCTTGTGGCTTTAGAGCCTGCTTCTCGGGCTGCCCGCGCACCATTTGCCCTGTCCGTAATGATTATATGCTAGCCAATATGCCTTAGATTAGGCAGAGTAGTGTGATAAGTGTAAGAGGGCAACTATTGAGGGAGCCGATGACTCTGAATGCAGTTCGCAGATGAGAAGTATGTATAGGTGATGACGCAACGCTTAAAGTCAGCCCTTATTCCTACGTTTTCTTCTTAGCCTTATTAAAGTATAGGTTTCCTTTCCTCTTCTATCTCTAGAAAATACTATTAGCTTCTTATCCAAGACAATACTAGTACACCAATGAACTCTAGAGTCCTCTATGCTCTATTAGCCACAATTCGAAGGTGAATATTCCAATTTTGAATATTCCAATTTTTCTTCTACTCCCAGTCGTATCAGTTACATCTACACATCAACCGCTACTGTCACGTACGTTCCATTCCAGGGATCATCATGGCTGGGCAAATCATTGTAGCCAGACAAAAGAATATATTAGGCGATCCAGACAGGGTTCGTCATATCAAAAACCGAGGAAAAGATATTTTCCACACTCTCAGTCATACTTCTCAGCACCATCTACAAACTCAGATACCCGAACCAATTCCCGGTGATATCAATGAAATCCACAGAACTATTGAGGTGGAGCTTGATCGCTCTCAAGTCCTTAGTGCTATAGGTCGGGACAAGAGATACGTCCCGAGGGATAAACTTCATGATATTCTCACCATCGAGAGGGTTCGAACCATCGTGGACCTGCCATGTTTTGGGGAGTTCACAGACAAGAATAAGTTAACCATGCTTATCTACTATGGATCAGTGGATTTACAACCTCGTTTGAAGCTATTGGCCGTGTTCATTGGGATTGAGAAGTTGGAAGATTTCCCGAAATGCATCAAAGAGGGAATGAACGACCAATGCCTTCCAATGACAGTTGACAATACCGATGATGGTCAGATGTCTCTCTTCTGCCAACACCACAAAACGCACCATGAGACTATCAATGAATATCGTCGACCTAGTCACAGAACACAATTTACGCAGTGGTCATACAGTTTAATCGCACCTTATATTACGTCTACTAAACGGAAACATTCTCATTACCATCTACACGCCAGTGATATTTTCCCTATGCCCTTTGGGAGAAAGCTACAGAGGCAAGAGATGACCGTGCAAGACAACAAAACCCAAATAAAGGAGACGGCGTTTGCGTATGGTGGGTTTAGTGAAGTGTATCAAGTCAAGATTGATAAGAGTCATCAAAATTTCAAAGATATCGGGGTACGTTCTAGAGATCCCTTGACGATACTATGGATGGCGAGACTAATTCCTTACTAGATACGCCATCCCGAAGAAGTGTTCGCTTTGAAGAAGCTCATCTCTCATGACCGGAATAACTTCAATATGGAACTCTCATCCCTGTTATTCTGTATGGATAAATCCATTATCAAGAATGCCGATAAGCACATAATCCAACCTCTTGCAACCTTTGAAGTTGAAGAGCCCGCAGTTAGTGGATCGACTTACTATATTCTCTTCGACTGGGCTGAGGGAAATCTTAATGATTTCTGGAAGAAGAACGGTCATCTCGTCGGGGCCAGGGACCATTGTAGATGGATGTCTCGTGAATTCTATTCACTCTGTTTGGCGCTCGAGTGTGTTCATAATGAGCGCAAAGAGACATTGAAGTCCATCGACAAAAACACGCTCGAGAAAGAATTATTAGGAAGATCTCATGATGCCGACGGCTTATATGGGCGTCATGGAGACATTAAGCCTGATAACTTTCTTTGGTTCAGTTCACCTTCATCGTCAAGGAGTTTAGGCCAGCTGACTCTATCTGATTTTGGGCTGGGAAGATTACATACCCAAGTTTCTCGATCAAATCAAGATCCAAAGAATATCGCTAGGACAGAAACATATAAGGCGCCAGAGTTTGACCTGTCCGATGGCAAGATCTCTCGCGCGTCCGATATTTTTAGTCTTGGGTGTGTGTTTCTCGAATATGTTACCTGGTTTTTATTAGGAAACGACAGCGTGACAAAAGAGTTCCCTACCTATAGACTCGAACAAGATATCTATACATTCCAGTCAGATACTTTCTTCAGTATTCGCTCGGACAAACGTGGCAACCAGCGACCCTTTTTAAAAGAAAGTGTCAAACTTTGGATCAAACAGCTCCAGGAGCACGAAAATTGTAGTTGGTACTTACACCAACTCCTTGATATCATAAGGGATAAGATGCTCGCGCCAGACCGCGGGAACCGGATCCATATTATGGAACTTATAAAGGACATGGATGTGCTTCGCCAAGCATGCGAAAGGAATGACAGCTTCTATTTGAAGACGAAAAGTGAATCTTAGTTTTATCAATACTGTGCGAGGTGATATTCAGCATCAAAAATCACCAACCCCAAGCAGTGTCAAGAGACACAGGGCAAGTGCTGGTTAGGTATAGCACAGGTTGGCGTTAAAGTTTTGATACCAGTTTCCTCATATTCCACAACCATATATTCCAGTAAGCCTCATAATCCTGAACGTTGATAGCCAAGCTAATCTTCCTAGCATTACAAATTATTCAACTGACGCCACAGTGCCCCTAGGGCTCTTTAATCATCCCCTATACCTTATAATGGAAGCTGATTGTCCTTTCTATCTCAGCTATTCGGTCCTTGTGGATCAGAGGATCTCAGCATCAATCATAGAACAGTTACGGGTTATATTACCTCGTGCGGTGGTTCTGGTAATTGAAGGATGTATCTGCTGGCTTTTATCTACATGATGGGAGAATTAGTCCGTCGTCCGTTGAAATTTATGCCCAGAGACGTTACCTTCACTTTATACCTGCCTTGGCCGTACATGCTGTCGAGGGAGCTCTTGAGCTTTTGGGGGTCGTTATATTTCTGCTTTAATACAACTTCGTACCATGTCGCGGTTTCTATTGGTGGCTGCGGCTCAGGCATTCTTAGTTTATTCCGGCGCTCACAACCCTGTAAGAGACTGGCGAAAGCTTTTCACCCAAGGTTAACAGGCGGGCTGATGGAAAGAAAAAAAGGAACGACTCTAAAAGTATACCCGACGTGGATAGATAGAATGAAGGTCAATCTGGTGAGGGGGGTGTGGATTAGCATACATGGAAAAAAAGCAAATCAATCCAACGGCAGCTCCCGGCTGACCAACAGCGGAGAGCGTCAGACAGAGAGGTATGATATGTCAGGCTAGCACATAGGTATCTGCATCACGACAATCTAAGCAGCTTTGAGAACCAATCGGATACGATCTGTAGTACAGCGTGGAGTAATATATGCAGCAAGCCTAAGCGTGGCAACCTAAGACGGTAACCACCAAGACTTTCTAGAAAGCCCTCATTTCCCCCGAAATACCCTTAGCAAGACCCTTTTTAGCGAGTTTTCAACTAAGTTAACCTTCAGAGCCACTCGCTATTAATAGGCATTCAATTTCTAGCCCCTTACCCACACTCACCCTGGCTATTGATAGACAGGATGGATTGGCCTATGGAAGACTCGGCTTGGTCTAACATCGACTTAGAGACATTTGGTTTCGAATCACGCCCTACCATAGTCCTCCGAAATTCGGAATCGCATACAGCAAGTGCAACATCATACATCTTATATCGTAGGTATTGCTAATAGAATCAATACCAGACGTTGACACGGGATCTACTTCAGAATAAGAACGATTGGGAGATTTGGTTCGATGCTGTACGGAAACCAATGCGAAGATCATTGCGAGCAGTAGGTATCGGAGGCTAATGGCTATGGGTGTAGGCTCTGAACCCCACTCCCGAACCGAACGAGTTTCGTGCCGTGTAAGAAATATATCTATGGCTCTTAGAGATTGTGCTGACTGGAACTTCAACTAGACTTTGCAGTAGGGCTTCGCCTATTTTTGAGGGGGAAGATGCTCCAGTTTCGTACGTCTCAGTCTCGAGAGACACGTGGGAGAGGCTTACAAGATTCTTCCATATCCATCGGGCTGTCACGCGGTCGATAGCTAGACAGGTCGCTTGTATTTCTTCGTTCTACGAGGAGGGAAAAGGAGCAAGTGCGAAGATATGTAAGTATATAGCCCATCGTTCAAGAGCATAGCGAGTTGCCTTCTAATGCGGTATAGGCTTTACTGCACGAATGTCGAAGTATCTCCCTGGAGACCTGGCATTGTCTGTCACCTATATCCCGAGCACCGAATCCATATATGCTGTTATGTATGGTTGCAATAATAATCAGATGCAAGAAATCGAAACTCGTATTCGATCAGCTGGTGACAGAACTAAATATCCATTATTAATGATCGGAATCTTCGTCGAACTAGAGAGAGAAAGACTAGTATCTATGGCAGATCAGCTTCTGGACGGGTTCACCTTGCGATCAGAGAATCTGGAAAATGGATCCTGGGACCCGTCTATAGATATGAGTAAGGAGAAGACACAAGAATACCTGGCGCTTTGTCTTCAAAGTCGAAGCCTTATAGACCACATGAAGGCCGTAAAACGGCAAGTGGTAAAGCTTCTGGCCGAGATCGAAGAGTTTGAAGGTCATTTTCCCTCTCATAGACATAGTGAGCGTTCTCATGATGGTAAGAGAGCACATCGGTTCAAGAAAATCGGAGCTCAGATGAAGAAGAGACTACAAGATACCATCAATGAGTATGATGGTAAAATAGACGAATGTAATATGATCGTAGGAAATATTACTCTAGCTATGCAGACGGTAAGTCACACTCAACCATTCCTAAGAGATCCAGAATACTTAAGCTCAGTAGGTTTGGAATCAAATTGCGATGCACGATTCGGACCTCAATACTCGCATTGCTCACGTAAACACAGGGGTCGCCCTCGAAACAAAACGGGAAGGCATCCAAATGAGGTCGATTGCTATATTATCAATGATTTACTTGCCCTTTTCCAGCGTCGCGGTTAGTGATGCGAAAATAACTTCAGAAACTCCGCTAATATTGTATTAACTAACTAGAGTATATTCTCGATGGATATGTTTGACTGGAATGCCCAAGATGGGGGCTCTGTTGTGTCCAAGTACATCTGGCTGTTTGCCACACTCGCGATCGGGCTCACTGCGATCACGGTCTACGCCTGGTATCACATTACTATCCAGCGTGAGAGAAAGGCGGACGAAGAAGCTTCGGAAATCCAAGTAAAAATGGAAAAGATGGTTTAAGATAACTTCATCATATAGTAATGAGGTAGGTAGGATTTACATCTCGAATCATACTCAATAACATGCTAATATCTGACAAAAGGTTGCTATTCCAAATCATCATGCCAACCTCCTAATTTCAACCGCAACAGATATACCTTTTTGCTACACGAAGGATAGAAATCACGCAACCCATGTTCCAGGTGCCTCTAACATTATTATCAATTCGACAGCACCATCTCTTTCTAGTTTCATTCTTGTGGAAAGACATCTCTCTCCCGTTCATCATATGGAACTTCCTCATTAAACATCATAATATTCGTGCCGTGTTGTTTTCGGATATTCTCAAGTGTCCCTGCAGAAAAATGGCATGGTTAGATAACACTCACCACGGGATATAACATGGAATGAGGATCACGTACAGCAATGCCAAGGTCAGATCGCCGTGGATACGAGCCTTGAGCGTTACCTCTACCTCGAGGTTAAGGTCGAGACGGAGCTTGAGGGTGTCCGACTTGCTCTCATTGCCACCTTGCGGCTGCTGCTGCATCATCTGCTGTTGTTGCTGTTGCTGTTGCTGCATCATCTGTTGCTGCTGCCTCTGTTGAAGCATCTGCTGATCATCTTGCTGTTGGAGGGGTTGCACCGACCCGGGGCGACGTCGGTTACGGCGACGAGTGCGAGGCGGTCGCGATGTTTCAGATACCTGGTCTGAAATGTCCGAGTGGTCCGTCTCCTGAGTCACCGTCTGCCGCCTCTGAGGCTGCTGTTGCTGCTCATCACCGCTGGAAGACATTGTATCTTATCTTATTTAATATTGCAATAAGATGGGTAAAGTTTTTTTTTTTAATCTAATGAATATAGTATTAACTAGAATATTGAACTTTCCACAGGTGAATATGTAGTAGTATTTGAAAAAAAAATTTAATTACAAGATAACTTTATCGGCCAGTCTGTTGGAGCGCATCTAGATACTTATTTGTAGGGGAAGCTCGTGTCTAAAAACTTGAAAATAGCAGGATTTCCAACATGTAGGTACGTTACTTTGGTTAATCGACGATAGGGGCTGAAATTCAACGTCACCGTTTGGTGTACTTCCCACCTATAAGATGGCTTATTCAAAAGGGTATGAGCCAGCCATATACTTAAAGGCTCGTACTAAATCCTGATTTCGAACCTCTTACATCATGAGGCGACAAGGGGTTTGAGGAATTCCCTGACTGATAATTGTTGGCGGTCGAATCAGAGGCCGCGTCGCAAGCCTTATGCGGTAATTTGACGTCGAAGTCCCCCATTTTTGCCAATTACTCCATACCCTAAGCCTTTCCACAAGGACCGGGGTCAACGAAAAGGAGGGTCATTAGTGTATTCCTGTTCGATCTCTACGATCTCTACTAACGCTATTGGTTTCTCCGTTTAAAGTTGATTGGTTGGGGTTTTTATATTATTCCTAAAGTAGTATGTTTTAAAGCTTTTAAAGTCTTGATTTGTTGATATAAGTGGGATGTGTACTGAAGCTAGTTCGCACTTGGGGACATACGTTTCGCATTATCTCTCCATCATCTGGTCAACCCCGGGTTATGTACATAGGAGTCAGCTAATCCGCTACGCCGGCACAGCCGCTAGGCCCAGACTACCGAAGAAGGTTCCCAAAACTTGGTTCATGGGGCTTGCGACGGCCCTGAGACGCATGGCTAGTATCTAGAAATTATATCTGGTAACCCGCCCAGCCACAGTTGTGGTGGGACCCCGAGGACCGGATACCCAAGAGCGAGTCTGGGACGAGGTGATGGCTAAGATAGATGCGATCGAGCTGATGTAGAAAGTAACACGATGCACGATGTATGATCCCACGACATAGATAGCTCTTAAACCAGCGTACTTGTTAATCCTGGTCCTTAGACTGTAACTTATTCCATGAAAACTCCGGGCATGGGTCCAAAATAACTCCGTTGTTTTATCTGAGGACTTAACAAGATTGAAGTTTGCTATCGACCTTTATATCTTGAAGGAAAACACGTTGATGCAATCTAACTTATAGAATGCCTCTCACTAAGGTATTAGAGTAGACTTATTTGCTCTATATAAGATATGGTTTGAACTCTGCCCGGAGTTGCATGGGAAGGATATTGTGCATCCGCCATCAAATCCGGATCGAACCTAGGTGCCTACGATGCGATCGCACTGGCTGAGCTTATATATTCAGCCGAGCTCCTACCAGCCTACACGGGAGAAGGCAGTGGTATGTAGGTAGTTATAAATTGTCAAATATATATATATATTCAACTAGAAGTCTTTGGACTAGGGGAATATTTCCTTTGGCTACAAATCCCTCTTACTTGTGTCTTCATTAGTCTGATTTCTCCGTCGATATTATGGCTACTGTGGACAAGCTGGACGTGTTGACTCATGATAGCATCAGAATACAGTTGTTGCAGCGTCTTAGGGGGTCCAGCGTTAATATTCCGGATCTATGGCATTTGATGAGCCACTGGCCCCAAGGAACCCATGAAGAAATCGAACGGCTAGACGAAGATGTGCAAAGGGTACTTACAGGGTATGATACCTGAGTACTAGCGACTTACGACTTCTAATACGCCGCAGCTTATTCTCCTCCCCGAGTGACGAGGGACGGCTTCGAAAGATGAAGGCTTCCAATTTTGCGCTTTTTGGGGCTTTGTGGTGGGCACATGCGCCATTCGAGGCTTTGCGGATCGCTACATATCTAAGTATCTGGGTAAGATCTAGAAAATGACACCGCATATATGTCAAGACTACTAACAGATATATTTTGGGAGCTATTTGTCTGGGATGACGGTACAGCATCATCGTACCTGTGTCTAAGTAAAAGATAGCGGGCTGATCTTCTCCTTGATTTAGAAACTGATTCACTTGAATTCTCTGGCATCTTGAACGATGCGAATGCTGCCGCAAAATTTCGACATGAGACTGCTACCTATCTTCAAGAAAGCCTGTCTGGGAAATCAGAGATTGACCTCATTCACATATCCACCAATCCGATCGTCACTAGCTTTAGGCCTATAAGTGAGGCGATACTAAAATCTTGCAACAGGCGTGAGTTCACCCCATCCACAATCTATTCAACTAACATTCCAAAGGCCAAATCAATACCTTGCTTGACGAATTATTGTTCTTCGTGGAAATGTGTGGGGAGGAGCAAAGATATCAAACGACCCCCTATCTACCAACTATTGAAGAATATAACCGAATACGAGTTGGCTCGAGCGCTACAAGAGTCTGCTTAGCTACCATAGAGTAGGTAGGGACTTTAATTGTTGAAATTCCGCTTCCATACTTTCTCTCCGAGTTTATCACTTAATCCAAGGGGTAATACATTAAAAGCCACTAGATATGCCCATGGAATTAACTTGCCCGAAGAAATAATGAATAATCAAAAGATGGAACAAATCTGGCACGAAACAAGCATTATTATCTCGACGTGAGTATATACTCCGGATGATTTTTTGGGCTAGGTTAATGATAGCCGCTACAGTACTAACGACATCCTATCTATCAAGAAAGAAGTGGTCAGTTGGCAATATATATATATATATATTGTTTCTATCTATATCAGCGCTAATGACCTGAAGGCGCAATCACAGCTTGATACACTTATCCCTCTCCTTATGCTTGAGTCTAGGTCCATCCAAGACGCAATTGACCACGCCGCCAATATTGTGAGCTCCTCAATCAAGAGATTCGAGTCTGCGGAGGAAGAAATTTTAGCACAGTATTCCTCCATGCCCAACGCCCACGAGGACTTGCGTAAGTTTCTTGAAGGATGCAAATGTGCCTGTACAGCAAACTTAAAATGGAGGTAAGTGCTTCATGATATTATCTCGGCTCTCGGTTTAGCTAGGCTGGAACTGAATAATGCTAAAATATCCACTACATATAGCATTACCTCTGGGAGATATCAGCTTGGTTGTCAATCGATGCAAGACGGTATCCATCTTACCCTTTAGCGGTCTCGACAGAAGTAGGTTTCATAAGGCAAGGGTTAGGACTGGTCAGGCAACGAGGATGACGCGTTAGGCGAAATATTACTGCCACTGAGTTTGTGGATAGGTACCTTTATACTATACCCTCACTCTTCACTGACACTTGATACGGCGCGTTGCGCCGTTGCCCCTCGTAGAAGCTCATCAACCCCGTACGAACCGTAACATGATAGCTACCTGTCACTCTATGAGCGATATATCATATCAAGGGCAACCTAATGCCTGCTCAAAAGCACTATTCTATCTATACTTCCCAAAAGTACTAAATCAAGATATGCATTCTCTAAGGTCTATCAGCAAGCGCCGACGTGCGGTCACTCATCCCGATTTCCAACCCGTTATCTAACCATTTCCCAAACTCCGCTATCCCAAACAATTCTAAAATAGAAACCTTGCTATGGTACAGTATCTCGCTGAGCTATATCATACAATATACGATGGAAAGTTAGGCCTTCCCATTGCCTACAATTTCAATATCATCGTCCGATGACCCTGCAGACAGCTCCCTCTCAACCCACGCCGAGATATTCGAAGCAGCCTCTATAGGATTGTCTAAGTGCAGTTGGAAAAAGCCTTGTAATTGAGAAGGGGTAAACGTGTCTTCTGGGATATGCGTCGCGAATTCCGAAGCGAGCCTCCGTAATAGCCCATGGTCTACTTGAGGAATGTGATCATCACCCAATTTATCATTATCTTTTTGTGAGGGCAATAACGGTAACGTATTAGCGTCTGATATGAACATGCGGAGAAACATTTGCTCAGCTGAACCTTTACTGATGTTGCCAAGCATGACTTTCATATCGACACGACCAGGCCGCACCAGAGCGCTGTCCAGTCGATTCGGTTTGTTTGTCGTCATGATTACGATACGCCCTTCTGGTGACCCGACACCATCTAAAACATTGAGCAAACCGGAAAGAGTACAGTTCGATACAGCCTCGTTATGCGGCTCGCGACTCGCCAACTCGCGCTTCACCCAGATGGCATCAACATCCTCTAGGAGCACGATACACTGCGGCGGAACCTCGTTGAACATTTGCTCAAGATCTTGGTCGGTCGCTACGCTTGGAATCTTAACTTCGTATAAGTCGAGGCCAAACTCGCCCGCTAGAGCAGTCGACAGTGATGACTTTCCCGTACCTGGTGGCCCATAGAACAAATAACCTCTACGATAAGGCATGCTACGACTCTGGTACAATTTCTTGGTGTTAGGGTCGAGGTATTTTCTGATATCTGTAAGGAGTTCCTGTTTCAGGGCGTCGTCAAAATGAACTGTCTCAAGACGACGGATGGGCTTGCGAGACTTTGGTTGCCAGGACATGCCGTAACGATCTCGTGCATAGATAATGACATAGTATTGAGCCTGTCTATCTGCATGTTCCTGGCAATTTTGAATGAGCCTCTTGATAGGCTCGGTTGACCGTCCAAGACAGCCTATGGTCAACTCTTCTCCTCCGACGCCATCGTAAGCAGAGTCGACCATAGATGCGTTGAAGCTATCGAGTGGTCGCCTAACCACGAACAGATTACTCTCATACCAGAACCATACTGTCTCAAAGTGAGGCAGATACTGGATGTCACGACGAGTCTTCTTTAGCAAGGCGGCTCGGTCCGCGATAGCACCGGGTTGGATTTGAGTGCGGGCCGTAAAAGACCGTATGCCTCGAAATTGCACGACATTGGTTAAGACCCAATTCGTCACATGTCTATTCAGCGGGTCCCGGCCAGGTATTATCACGTAGGAAATGAAGAAGTGACTGACCCAGCCATACACTTCACGCCAAGCTGTCTTTAAAAGTCGCCACGCTGCGGGGGCAGCGCCGACGCACGCGGCGAGGGATCCTAAGCGTGTGATATCTAGCCCGGTTATCCAGTGACCAATGATCTCCCTAAGAGAGTTGAGGCCATACATTGACGGGTCAAGGAAGCTATGGCTCGTTGTAACCCCAAGGTGAAAAGGCCGCATGATAGTGGCGCCGCTACCGTGGAATTGACACCAAGGCGGCTTAGTTTCCCATAACTTAACAATCGCACTGGGAGCTGAAGAAGGAGAATGATGGTAATATTATAAGGAATACATAAAGAAGATTTAAAAAACAGATAACGGTTGAGGTTAAACCAACATAATATTTTCTTGAAATTATGTAAATTACATAGAAATAGTCTCAATGCTACTGAAGGTTATCTGTCGAGGTGAGCTCGGTGAGATGAAATTTAAAAAAGGGAAAAAAAGACAAAAAGATTGATTTGCGCCACAAACACCGCTACGGTTGACCAGATAAGCCACTGTGCCAAAATGAAAAAAATAATCGCATATTAAATTAAGAGCAACACTAGCTCGGCAGTGGGGGGGGCCCTATTCAGGCAGTAGCCACAGTCAAAGTGGGGCAAACCAAAGGTACGTCCCCCACCATACAACTTTTCTAGTATCTTTTCGTACCTCATGTTCATTTTTCTTGTACCTGCACTACAATTCTTACATATGTAACGCCTTTCGACCAGATGCGCGCCCTCCTATTGGCTAAATCCTACACCGCCCGCCTGGCAATACCCTTATCTCGCACCTTATCTTGCGGCCTCTTTTGCGGCCTCTTGTACGGCCTCTTGTACGGCCTTTTGTACGGCCTTTTATTCAATTCAATTAAGTCGATTCAATTCAATTCAATTCAATCATGATGCAAGGCCCTTAGATCCAATTATAGGTACTACTATTACTCGGTCGCATGCAGTCATTCGGAGGTAAAAGGGCTGGAAACGAGGGCTTTTTGAATGATCTCTGATATATGTATGTACCTATGTATATATGTATGAGGCCGGCTGGCTGGCCAATCAGGAGGCTATATTGTATGAGGCTATTTGATTAGATATGAGGCTGGCCAATAAAAAGGCGTGCATCCTGGACAACTGGGGATTACGCGGGGTTGGAATGAAAGGTACATGTGCATGCCAGTAAAATTATATGGGAATACATGTAGTACTTATGCGACTCCCGCGTGACACCCGGTTGTGGCTGGACGATGTGGCTACTGCCTGAATAGGGCCCCCCCCACTGCCGAGCTAGTGTTGCTCTAAATTAAAGTTGGTAAAAGGTTATCTCAGTTTTTAGACCAGATATTTTCGAAGCGGGCTACGCTTACTGTGCGCCACGTAACGCGTGGTTTATATATTTATATTTATAAATTATAAATAAAATATTTGAAAATATTTGGTTTAAAATTATATAACGTTACAGGGATTTTTAACGGTTTTATTAATAATGAAAAAATTAAACATTATATTTATAATAATTTAATATATTATAATAATATATAAAATAATTTTAATTTTAATAATTTAAAATTAATAATATATTTAATTTATTTTTTTAACTTTTTTATATATTTATATAATATTACATTTTTATATATTAAATTTTAACGTTTAAAAATTTTTAATATTTTAATTATTTAAACTTTATATAAAATATTTAAATATAATAATTTAATATTTTATAATTACGTATAAAATCTTTTTTTTTAATAATTTAAAATTAATAATATTATTTTTTAAATTTTTTAACTTTTTTTACATATTTATACGGTTTTATATATTAAACTTTAACGTTTATTACAATTATTATTATAATTAATATTATAATTAACGTATTACAATTATTATTATAATTATTTTTAATATTTTAAAAAATTTAAAACGTATAAATTTAATTAATAAATTTAATAATAAAATTAATAATTATTATATAATTAATTATTATTTATTATAAACGCGCGTTAATATTATTATTTTAATAATATTATTAATATTATTATTAATATTGTTTTTTTAAAATATTAAACGTATATTTTTAATATATAAAGTTTTAAAATTATTTTAAACCATAAATTTAATATTGTTTTAAAAAGTTGTTTTAAATTTTAATTGGTTAAAAAAATAATGTAATTAAAAAAGTATAACTTTTTAAATTAATTTTAAATTTATGGTTTAAAATCATTTAAAATAAATAAAAAGTCATTTATTATAATTTAAAAAATATTAAATATATATTTTTAAATTTTATTACGGTTTATTATAATAAAAATATTAATTTAATTAATATAATGTAAAAAATTAATTAATTAAATTAAAAAATTTAATTATTAATTTAATTTTTAATTATTACATTTATATATTTAAATAACTTTATAATTTTAACAATTATAATATTATAATTAATATTAATTAATAGTTTTAATTAATACGAAAATAATGATTTAAATTATATATTTATACGATATATTATTATTAAAATTGTTGGGATACCAGTCATGTGCCATGCCACGTGACTAGGGTTGTGCCAACACACACCGCCCACGCAAAGTCCACACGCATGTAAATAAATATTTTCTTTACTTGGTAAATCTTTTACCTTACCTAATCAACTCAAACCAATCAAACAATACAATTCAGTTACCTTTTCTTTATTACGTAATACATACAAAACCTTGTCACTCCAACAAAAATATTTAAAATTATTTAAAAATAATCGTTTTAAAAAATATTAATTAAATAATTTTATATAATATAACCTTTTAATTAATTAATTAACCAGTTTTATATATATATATATATATATATATATTAAAAATCATTTAAAAAAACCTCGTTTTTAACTTTTTTACTTTAAAATGATTATATATAACCATATAATTTTTAATTAATATATACGATTAAATAAAAATAATATATAAAAATAAATAATTATTATATCGTTATTTAAATTAAATTAAATTAAATTAAATTAAATTAAACATAAAGTTATAATAAAAATGTGGTGTAAAAATAAAAATAAAAATAAAAATAAAAATAAAAATATTATTAAACGGGCGGTGTAAAATTTAATTAATAAAAAAACGCGTATTTTAAAAAAAGTAAATTAAAATTATTTTAAAAATATAAATGTATAATAATAAATTTATATAATAAAAAAAATATTTAACGATATATAATAACTTTATATATTATTTAAATAAACCGTTTTATATTTAAATATTTATTATTTTAAAAACAAATACGTATACGTAATATTTTTTAAAACAATTATTTTTAAAAAACTTTAAATATTTTAATAATAATATATTATATAAATATATAATTTAAATAATTATTTTCGTTTTAATTAAAATTATAAAATAATATTAATTATAAAGTTATAATTATTAAAATTATAAAATTATTTAAATGTATAAATACTTTAATAATTAAATTTTTTAATTTAATAAAAAATTACTTTTTTAAAACATATTATATATAACGTTATAACGTATTATCGCATTAATAAAGTTTTTAACTAACGTTATGGATAGTTTTTAATTAACCATTAAAGTGGTTAATTTTAATGTAAGTTTTTTTGCCTCGTATAAAAAGCTACATATATATACGGTAAATAACTGTTTTTTTAAATTAATTTAAGCTTTTATTTTAAAACTTATTTTTAATTTATATTATCCGATTAATAATTATAAGTTTTGGTTTATGTTTAAAATAATTATTATATATTATTTTAAATTATAAATTTACGGATTAATTATTTATTTATTAAATATTTATATATTTATTTATTTATTTATTTATTTATTTATTTATTTATTTATTTATTTATTTATTTATTTATTTATTTATTTATTTATTTATTTATTTATTTATTTATTTATTTATTTATTTATTTATTTATTTATTTATTTATTTATTTATTTATTTATTTATTTATTTATTTATTTATTTATTTATTTATTTATTTATTTATTTATTTATTTATTTATTTATTTATTTATTTATTTATTTATTTATTTATTTATTTATTTATTTATTTATTTAT